TGATGCATACATGTATATTGGATATCCCATCATATGGTTTGAAGCTCAGAAAATGCATAAAACCCATGACAGACAACAAATTTACTCAGAGCCAATCGATTATAATGTTTTCAGTAGTTCATACCAATAATTAACAGAGTTTTTTTTATACTAGCTCTATAAAACAAGGCCAGGAACTTAGATAAATCTGATGTATGGAGATTTCAACTATCTGTTGCAAAGTTAAATATTTCCCAAGAAAACACAAAAATGGTACGGAACAGCGCTTATGTCAGTGAAGTCTACAGCCCTAACCATGGTTTTTTTTTATCCACTAAGTACATATAAAATCGACTTCCCACATAATAGAACTCACCTTTCTAAAGACAGTCTGTAGTTCTGCATCTCTCTCCTCGTTTGGTATAACCCTTGGTCTGGTAGGGGTGTCCTTCACGGGGTCTGGTAGGGCCACGATGCGCCCATCCTCACCAAACCAACCTTTACCCTGTGGATGCATGGCCACATAGGAAATACTGTCATTGACTTTATACTTATACAGTGAAACCTGTCTATAAAAACCATCCAAGGGAGACAAGAAAAGTGGTCTGTGTAGACAGGTTCCATTAGTACATGTTTCAATGAGAAACCATTTGCAAGGGGGGAAAAAATGTGGTCTTTGTAGACAGCTGGTCACTGAAGCAGGTTTGAATGTATAAACAAATATCTTTTAAATACTCTTTCACTCATTTTTTGTGAATACGGTAATTAATGCGAAATCTTAAAGACCTGTACATGAAAGCATGGGTTCTTGAGGGGAATTCGACACCAGGAGCATACTAGTACAATAACAGAATGTTAACAAACACCAAGCTTGGCCTTCGCTCTTCTTCTTCTTCTTCCAAGAAAAGTGTTGCTTCAAGGCCTTGAAGATTGCGCAATATGACCACCTTTTCTTTTGTAATGCCGTAGATCCTCCATCAACCACCGCATAATGTAGACTCTGCAAGAGACAGGGTTTTTTTCTTAGTGCGACATCTAATTTGCTGGGTGCAAGACTTTATCCCCATTAATGGAATGTACTGTATTTCCACCAAGTCTGGAGTCGGTGAATTATGACGTACTGTACATGGAAACTGACGACAGGATGTGTTTATTAGATGTCCTGCTCCATACCTTTCGATCTTCAAATGTGTACAAAGCAGCAAAAACTGTTTAACAACCATAGCCTCCAAAGAGACACTGTTTGTATCTGGTATGTGCTAAAACCTCACGCAATCTACGGTCATCTTCACAACTAAAGCTTGTGTCTACTTCTGTGTCAACTCTTTCTTATGGTCATCGCTCTTTTTGCAAATCTTCTGCTGAACTTTGGAACAGACTACCTTTAAATGTAAAAAACTGTCAAACTGTTAACCAATTCAAAACTTGTCTTAAGACAAATTTATTCAAAATTGCTTTTGATGATTAATTAACTTGCATTGATGTGTATTTCATATGTATTGTAATTTGTAGGTTTATTTGCACTTTTTGTTTTGTCTAATATGTAATTTTTTATCAGTCTATTTTGTTTGTTATAGCACTTAGAGACTTTGGTGGTAAGCGCTTTATAAGTAACGTTTTTATTATTATTATTATTAAACAAAAGCAGAATGATTTCATTACCTTGTCAGATCTCTGCAGAAGACGATGCTCCATGATGTTCTGGTTCCTTTGAGAGACATCAGGCCTTACACCCACATAGAAACCTTCATCCTCTAAGTACCTTGGCTGGGTGTTCTCTGGAACCTTCTGATCAGATGGCACTGTACAAGACCAAACAAGAATGTATTTCAGGGGGTGTTTCACAAAGACTAAGATTGACTTTAAGTTGGACTTAAACATGGCAGGCCATTCATACCACTGGTTGCTCTCACCATTGGTCTCTCAATTATGATCTTTAGATATTATTTTTCTCTTCAATCATGAACTATCAAATCAGGTAAATCCTGTAGATTTGTGACCACGATTTGTATGTCCCTTGAGAAACCAATGCCAGGATTGGTCAGAGGAACTAGTGGCATGAAAGGCCTGCCATAGTTAACTTCAACTAAAAGTTGATCTTAGTCTTTGTGAAACACTCTCCAGGAGGGAATACTGTATGTACATGTAGGTGCTTCAAAACAAGCTCATGCGACGACTGCTCTGAGCTTTATTTCATCAAAAATATCTGAGTCACGCTTGCAATCAGCTTTTAGGATGGGTTTAAGTAAGGGTAAGGTAAAGTGTTTGGTCCAACCTTAAAGTTCAAAATACAGTTTGTGTAGAATATATTGGCCAGAGTAATCATCATTTAGGTCCCTTAATTTGACTGAAAAGAAAGTCTTGAAACTTAGTAGTGACAGTGCTTGAAATCAAGTAAAAGACCCACTTCCTGTTTACTCCACAACTTGAGGAGGCGCGATAGCTCAGTTGGTAGAGCAGTGGTCTCGTAATCCAGTGACCCGGGTTCGAAACCAAGTCGATGAGCTAGTGCCCTTTGGTAATTAAGGCATTAATCCTCATTACCAGGTCCCTTGGAGATGACCTAAAGCCGTCGCCCGTCTGGTTGCTTACTAACAAGCATTTATGCTGTCTTAGCAGTCAGGTAAAATAACCACCACTAAACATCATAGAAAGGGACAATAAAAACAAGATTTGCTAGCTTTTTACACCATACATGTACATTGGGTGTTCTCTGGAACACTATGTAGACTATGACTAATATTATATTAAAATGAGATTGGAAAAAGAAAAAAAATAAAAAATTACCAAGACATTAAAAGAAAGAGATGCGATGAAATTGGCAACAGTAGTCAGATTTGACTAATAGCCATTATAATACCAAACGAGGAAGAAGAATTGTAGGTCCCTACCTGTTTTGATGCTCGGAACAAAGAAGTAACCTTCCTCCTTCTTCTCCCTCACCCCCAGAGGTACATACTCGGCAGGAACCAGCTGCGTCGGTTGTAACTTCCACATATCTCCATCAACGAATACCTCTGACAGCAAGGGTGTGCTCTCCTTCCCCTCCCCATCCTCCCCATCCTCCCCCTCCTCCTCTATGACCTCGCCCCTCGGTTTCTTTGTAGCCCCCTTCGAAGTGCTGGGTCCTGGCTGGTCGTCGGAGAGGGGCTCTGTTTTAATCTCGGCCGTTTCTGGTTCCGGGTCGAAGTTGCGGGTGAAGAAGTTGAAGGCTTCTTCTTCAGTTGGGAGAGCCGATTGCTGAAAAGTCAAGTTCATTATTGATTTTTTTTTCATTGATTCTATTCATTCATCTCACAAATGTAGACAAAGTTGACAGTGCAGGAAATACAATTATGAAATAATATTTTCTTAAAAAGGAAAATAAATACAAAGCGTTTACGCAAAAGTATGAAATTATATGACAAGAGCAGTACATCAGAGTTTAAATAAAATCAAACTAATTTTTTTAATTTCAGCGAAATACAAATTAAATACATAATAATCAAAGTATCCGTCTAGATCAAAATAAATTAGGCAAACATTTTTTTAATTACATCACTTGAACTCAAGAATGCTGCTCCATCACAGTACATGCTCTATCAAAGTAAGCCCTTTGACAATTTTTCATTTCTAAATTCAAAGTCTTAACATTCATTCATTCATTTAACTAGCCCAAGATATCTTGGGATGATTATCTCGACCAGATATCCTGCTCACTACAACTTCGGGCTGATGAAGACGCAAATTAACTGGATACTTTGTGATCGGGATAGTTCAAATAGCGGGATATTTGGCAATCTTGAGCTGATGAAAACAGGCCTAGTCAGAATTCTTGTCACCTCAACCGTACCTTGGCTTTGACCTGCTTGAATGCTTCTCTCCATTTCTCCTTGGCGATTATGGATTCATTCAGCATCTTATCTTCCTCGATCTCCTCTTTGGTAAGCTGTAGGAATAAAGCATTAAATACAGTTAAAAACCTGCTTTAACTACTACCTGTACAGGAAGATCCCCAATCTATGAAGACCTCATCTTTTTTCTTGAAAATATTTTCTCTTTGAAACATGTACTAAATAAGACCACCTACCTGTAAAGACCACTTTTCTAGTTTTCCTAGAGTTGTCTTTATATATACAGGTTTCACATAGATGGATTTTAAGCCTCAGGCTACCATCTTTTTCAAATAGTCAAAAGAACTTAAACTAAAAGCCAGAAGTTAGCCTAGTTCTGTGTACATGTTATGTTAGATTCATTGTCCTAGGATTTTCAAATGGAAACTGAGATTTCTTCAAGGCTCTATCGATTATCTTTTAATTTCCAACAGAAATCTTCTCTTGTTTTTTTTTTCAACATCATGAGCTCTTTGGACCTTTCTAGAGCTGAACTGCACTCTGCTTAAGTGTATTGTTTTCACTAGAGTTAAATGACCTTATTTTTCCCAGAATTGATTGACGTTTGACCTGGGAAGATTTTGACCTTACCAGTGAGGGTTCGTCGAATCTTGTAGCCTTGTCCCTGGCTCTGAGGCCTCTGAGCCTCCTGGCTGGAAGGTCTTTGTTAGGGTCATTAGCCACTTCAACCTTCATTGATTCTTCAGCTTTCTCCTGTTGATGATGATGATAATAATAGATAATAATAGTAACAATGATAATGATAATAATAATAATGATGATGATGATGATAATAATGATAAAAATAATTATAACAAAAGATAATAACAATACTATTTCCGAATTCTACGCAATCCTACATTTTCAAAAGTGTTGTGAGCTCATTTATTTTCTTATATTATTCCACAATGTAAAAATGATTTATATCCGTGTTTCCATATGAATATGTCATGGTACATTTGCTACTGACTATTATCTATTTGTGTATATTATTTTTCTATTGTACATTGTTTATTTGCTTTAGGTAATGCCAACAACCGAATTTTCAAATCGACCAATGAAATGAATCTGAATATGAACATAAAAGAGAAAGCATAATCACCATCAGACAGAAATCGAAACAATGCACCCCTGTCCCTTTGCAAGGTTTAATAGGGGAAGTGAAGGGGAGATGGGGATGGGGGCTGAAAGGGCAAAACAGCAATCAACACACTCACTATCCTTTAGCATAAAGCAGGATGGAGGGTGGAGGGCTAAAAACACGTAAAATACCTTATGGTGATGGGTGGGGAGGAGAAAGATGGATCGATGGTCTCTGTCTATCACTCTCTCTCTCTCTCTCTCTCTCTCTCTCTCTATCTCCCTATCTCTCCCTCTCTCTGTATATCTCTGTCTATCACTTTGTCTCTCTCTGTCTATCACTCACTCTCTATCTCTCTCTCTCTCTCTCTCTCTGTCTTTCTATCACTCTGTCTCTCTCAGTCTTTCACTCTGTCTTTCTCTCTCCCTCTCACTCTCTCTCTCTCTCTCTCTCTCTCTCTGTCTATCTCTCTCTCTCTCTATCTCTCTCTCTCTCTTTCTCTGTCAACTAATCAGCCATACATGTACCTTTGCTTCAGCCATCTTCTTCCTGATTCTGTCTCTGATTGTGGCATTCATCGTAGAGGGCGCTTTACCAGTTTCCACACTGGTCTTGGATCCTAGTACAGCTGCTGCCATATCTGTAAATTAAGATAATGATGATTTTGATAAAGTAATGACAGATTTTGGTCAGTACCTTATCTAAAATGGTTAACACCAATAACTCATAACTTCTCATTATTATTTCTTTCTCCTTTCATTACATCGTAAATCTTTCTCATGTTTTCTAATTCATCTTTAATATAATATTCTGGATGTACCAGTATTTGCCATGCTACACCGTCTTTAAATTGATGGGAGAGTGAAAGTATACCTGCTTTGTTTCTTTTTCTTTTCTCCTTTTTCTTTGGCTTTGTATCTTCATCTGGTTCTTCATCCTCCTCCTCTCCCGTCTCTTGGATGGTGGGAATCTCTGCAGGGGTTCTTCGCTTGGGTTTGGGCTTCTTCTTCTCCTGCTCTTCGTCAGCGGGCTCCAGGGATTGAAACAGCTGATGGCAAAATGAATTTAGTTGAGTTAAAGGCATCGTTTAACAATGTTAGATCTGAGATGCATGGCCTACGTGTTATCAGTGTCTGTGATATGATGTAATATTGAAGTCCTAAAAAAATTGTGCTTCAAAATGATCATGAAGACGAGTGCCTCAAAAAATTAAAAATCTTTGACTGACCGGTTTTACCATACTCATTTTCCCCAATAGATTTTTAAAAACCGCTAGGAAAACGAGAAATGAAACTTTGATTCCAATCATAAATATCTTGTCAGTGATAAGCAGACCGGCGATCGGCTTGTAAAAGTCATGGGGTTCCTGACTGACGTAAAGGTTTATAATTATGATTGCAGCATGAGCTAATCCAGGATTTTGTTTCAGAATCTGAGGCAATGTTATCGAGTCACTTTAAGTGTTTGTACTTCTCCATCAAACTTGCCTTGCCCAATACCACATCATTATACATACCTCCTTCTTCTTTGATTCTCTGTCAAGGGTGAGCTTTTCCATGAGGGACTCTGCCTGCTGTATCTCTTCAATTGGCTGATCGGGGAAAGAAGAAAAAAGAAATACAGTCAAACCTGCTTTAGCGACCACCTCAATATGGTTTCTCATCGACACCTGAATGAAAGGAACCTGTACATAAATACCTTCCTATTAAGACCACTTTTCATGTTTTTCTTGAGTGGTCTTTATATATAGGTTTCCATGTAGAACGTTCAACTCTCTCATATGGATATATATTACCAGATTCTTTCATAATCATTTGTAGTATTATGTATTGTCTATTGTATGTTTCTGAATGAATATCCAAACCACTTGCATTATCTGATTGGTCAAGAATTTTACTACACTTGATATGCATGTATTCATTAATCAACAAATCTTTTTCATACAATGACAAAGGCAGGGGAATGCTAAAGCTACCGGTACCCCATTAAAGCGAACCGCACGTTATGATAAATCAGGAGAAATCTGTGGTTTTGCCCAAGGAATGTGAAAGCCCTTGCATACAAGACCCTGGTGAGACCAGTATTAGAGTACGCAAGCTGTGCCTGGGATCCATACAGGGTAGGGCAAATTAATAAACTTGACGCAGTTCAAAGGAGGGCGGCACGCTTCTTAACAGGAAACTACCAAAGGGACAGCAGTGTCACACAAATGCAGACCCGCCTAAAATGGGAAACACTTGAATGGAGGAGGAAAAACAGTCGTTTAGTTATCATGCTGTACAAAATCAACAAGGGAAAGGTGGGCCTAAAGCAAGAGGACTACATACAAGTATTAACAGGGTCAAGGTTAAGAAGAAACCACCAATACTCAATAGAAATCCCCTTTGCCAGAAAGAACGTTTATAAATACTCCTTTTCCCCCAAGAACTGGACGAGCATGGAACGCTCTTGACCAGCAGTCTGTAATAGCCACATGTTTTGAGAACTTTAGAAACACACTTAAGCATGTAACCGTAACTAACCCCTGCCATACAAGTTAGCGACATACAGAATACTGCCCTGCAAACTTCAATTTCAGAAGATTCTGTTAACAAATAATAATTATTTATACTTACATCGGCTGCCATTTCTTCAACATCATCTACACCACCATCAGCAGCAGAGATATCCTCATCATGTCTGCTGCCCCTCCCTGGTGTGGCGGAGCTGGTATCAGCAAGCAGGGTGGAGTCGGCCATGGTGTTCTCCCTCATGTCACGGCGACGTTTTTCAATCTTCTCTCGAAACGTCCTATGAAAAAAGAAAGTCAATGGGGGTGTTTCACAAAGATCCTAAGTCAAACTTATCTCTAAGTTGGACTTAACAATTATGGACAGCCATTAGCATCTTTGAAAATATTATGTAAAAGCTATTTTAAAAGGCATAAAATGTTGATTCACATCATTCGTAGTTTCTATTATCAAGGAGATTTCATGTTCTTGATGTGGTTTAATAAAAATAATTGATTTTCTGCTTTTGAACACATTTTATTTTAAGGCTACAAATGGCTCTCCATAATTTTTAAGTCTAACTTAGAGTCAAGTTTGACTTAGGATCTTTGTGAAACACCCCCAATGTTTCTTGAAATGAAATTGTAATTCTATTTAATCTATATACTACTTCCTAAAAACCTTGAAAGCAGTTCAATCGTTAGATAATCTGTCTTTGATTGTAAGAAAATTGTATGCAGGATGAAGCATGTGCTGTTAGTACTGCGCTAACTACCGAGTACATTTTCATCAACGATGATATACCTCGCAGATATCTGACAGCTTGTGAGTTTATTTTCAAACCTTACACTTTTTCAGACAAGCAAAGAAAATATTTCCCTTTAATCATGGTACATGTACTTTACACACCTGCAAAATAACTGGTTTCTAAAATGTAGGATATCATTTGGGTAAAGTGGGGGGGGGGGACAAAAATACAAAGAAACAATGATCGGCAGTGTCACACGAAGCAGATCATTGAACTCACTTTCAGGTGTGAAATGGAACCCTGCTCAAAAAATGTTTCTTTTATTTCTAAATTCATGTATGATACTTACTGCGACATGATGGCTGACTGTCTACTTGCTTTTTCAGGTAAACTTGAGAAATGTAACAAGCTACATTCTTTATCTGCATAAAAAAAAAATATATAAAATATAAAATAATCGCAATGACATCACGATTATTGAGATGTTTGATGTCTTGAAATGTAATCTCAAATTTTTGTTATGATGAAAATTAAAATATCAGAGAACCAAATCCAATCGAAATGAAGCATGCTGTCAAAACTACAAATAATGAGATGCACACAATTAAATGATGAGAATAGCTATGGCAGTTCAAATTAAATCAGAATATGAAGAGTTGAGATCAATTAAAACTGCACAAAATAATTCTTCAACTCAATTCAAGCGTGATCGTGACAAGCGCTCGCTCGAGTCGAACCTTGTCTCGCTCTCGACGGCGACGCGACTAACCACCGGCGAATACAATCGGACACTAGGCCTACACGGAAATATATTAATGGGACAATAATACAAATTTGTTTACATCGTAGCTAAGTGTAAAATCTCAACTCTAGATGATGATTTGAATTCCTTTAAAGAAATAAAACGTTACTTTATATTACCTAATATTTACTGGATAAGTAAAAGAAGCATATTGATTCAGTAGCATTACATACCACGTACCTTTAGGCTTTTTAAAGTGGCAATTAGTTCTTCTTCTCTTTAGAATACCGAGGAATGCCGCCGCTATTGTTGTTGTTGTTGTGTTTTGAGTTATTGGCGATTAGTCAGTGATTTGACTATTGTCGCCAAATTACTTTACGGCACGTGTTATATCTCTCAATTTTGGATTTTTTTTTAAAAATACATTTATTTCGTTTTATATTTATCTATCTTTTAAGATAGTATCGTAAAATAATATCGTAAGCAAAACATTCATGGGCTTTGTTAGTGTTTCTTAACAGTACGTGCAGATTATTTGTTATATCACATACACACCATACATAAATATGTATATAAGATAGCACCTACACAAGCTTCTATATTCAGTAATCTTATCATACCTTTTATCATTGTTGTTACTTTTTCTTATTTTATTTTCTTAATACATTATGTTATTATATTTTTAATGTACTGAGTGTAATTTAACATATTTATAATATCGTATTATGTTTTACTGTTCTTATTTTATTTTCTTATTACATTATGATTGTTATTATATTTTTAATGTACTGAGTGTAATTTAGCATATTATAATATTGTATAATGTTTTACTATTCTTATTTTATTTTCTTATTACATTATGTTATTATATTTTTAATGTACTGAGTGTAATTTAACATATTTATAATATTGTATTATGTTTTACTGTTCTTTTTTTATTTTCTTATTACATTATGTTATTATATTTTTAATGTACTGAGTGTAATTTAGCATATTTATAATATTGTATTATATATTACTGTTCATCAAGGGAGGTATTACTTCCTGTTAGGGAACCGTTTCGTTCTGAGAAAGAACCGTACAATAGCTTTTTGTATACTGGACTCACTCTTTTTTAAGTATTCCATAATTTTTTCAGGTTGGGATTCGTTAATTTCTGTTAGAAACATAGCCCTTTCTATAATATAGTTAGGGCAATGTACTAAAAAATGTTTTACAGTCTCTATTTCACTGGGGCATCTATTACAGAAACCAGTAGCATGAATTCCCAATCTGAGGAGATCCTGGTTAAGTCCAAGGACTCCAAAGCGGAGTCGATGTATTATTGTTGAATGTTGTCTCTCTAATGAGCATATATATGGTTTATTAACATCTTTTTGATATGTTTTCAAATACGAGTTGGTTTTGTTCCACCTTTCTTGCCAAAGGAGTTTGGAACTTGTAGTAATTAAGCTTTTCATTTCTGACATATTTAGGTTATTATTGACTTCTATTTTCTTTACTAATGCGGCCTTTGCGTGGAAATCCGCCATCTCGTTCCCTTTTATTCCACAATGTCCAGGTATCCACTCTACATATATATCAACTCCTTTATTCTTTAAGTGAGTAGTCATGGTGAGAATTTCCAGAATAAAAGATTCGTCCTTCTGTTGTTGTAATGCAATAAGTGCACTCAGTGAATCACTAAAAATAACAACCCCCACATAAATGTCTAATTCATCTACCCATCTGAGAGCAAGAATGATGGCAGCCAATTCAGCCCTGTACGAAGAGGTGAAATTTGCTAACCTTTTGCTCCGATGTACAGAATAGTAAGGGACGTAAAAAGCAGCTGCAGAGGTCCCTCTTTCAGGTACTTTTGATCCATCGGTGTATATATGTAATTGAGTCGCCCATTTAGTATGTATGATTTCCAGGCTGCTTTGTTTTTGTTGTGTAGGATGATCTGTTTTCTTTATTCGAGTACTTAATTCCGTTGACACTGCCGGAGGGTAGAATAACCATGGTGGAAATGTGGAGTAGGTTATCGTTTCTATACGTTTTCCCAGCTTGCTTTGTATTCTATATCCAAAGGTTTGTTTACGTTTTTCCCCTTCAAGTATTCAAAATGCCAACATGGTTCAATGTTTTTTAACAACGGATGATTCGCCCATCTTTCGATGTTTTGTCTATATTTACTTGAAAGCATTTGTCTTCTTATATCCAAAGGCATTTCCCCCATTTCCACCTGTAGTGATTCTAAGGAGGTTAATGGCAGCCCACCTGCGCATATCCTCAGTGCTTGGTATTGGACAGAGTCAATGGCTTTTTGGTGGTAGCAGCTGCACTGTCATACGCCTCACATCCGTAATCAAAAAGAGACCTTATAATTGCTCTGTACACCATGATAAGTGATTTCGAGGAACTTCCCCAGTTTGTTCCAGTTAGACATCTTAAGATATTTAATTTTCTTTTACTTCTCGTGATTACATTTTCGATATGTGGTTGCCAAGTTAACCTTTTATCAAATATAATACTGAGTGTGGTATCTTCAAAAAACAAATTGAAGCAAAAACAATCATATTTTCAACTTTCGTCTGAGCTACTTTTACAAAACGCTGAGAAGACTCATCAAAATAAGACTCTCCACGCTCCAGATGGTGAGGGCAAAGTTTTACAGTGCCCCCACTTTTTCAAGGATCCCAAAATGTACCCTTATTAGGAAGGAAATATGCCCCTTTTACTACAGAATGTGTCCCTTTTTCTTCTTAGCTTCCCCTTCCTTTATACTTCCCTTTTCACCTCGAGCCCCCATTCAAATCTGATAGGTGCACTTTTAATTTGACGAGTGCCCCTTTTTACTTTGTAATAAGTGCTCTTTCCCCTTCTTATTAGTGCCTTTTTTCACCTCTGATGAGTGTCCCCTTTTTGGCCGGATAAATGCCCCTTTTCCCTTCCGTTATAGTGCCCTTAATTCTCGTTTCTAACAAATGCACCCTTTTTCCTTCTGATATATGCCCCCTTTTCAATTTGTAATAAGTGCACCTTTCCCTTTTTTCATAAATATAAATGCCTCTTTTCACCTCTGACAAGTGCCAATATCCAAATCTGATAGATTCCACTTTTACCGACTTTAGTGCCCCTTATCCTTTGTATTTTCATTTTAATATTTAATAAAAAGTCGTATTCGTGTATCAAGTGATTGAATATAGAATGTCGATTATAATATGATTACAACACACAATTTATGCCAAATTAAAAAATTCGTTTCTGATTTGAATTCTTGTTATATTTATTTTTTGCTCGCTCGCTCCTAAAATTTACTAAATTATTAACGTGCCCCTCACTTGTGCACATGGGTAATTGACGAGTGCTCGGGTGAGGCAACACATCTTCTCAGAAAGTTTTTGGATTAGTTTGACACAAACATTTTTAATTTCTTATAAGGATGCATGCATTAACTGGGGGGGGGGGGGAGGGTGAAAAATGTTGTTTTATATATATATATATATATATATATAAAACAACGACCAGACCTTCCCCGTCCGTATCAAACCTGTCCGAGATGCATTTTGTCTCTTATTATTTTGTAAAAACAATTGTTGAAAAATTAGAATATCTAAGTCATAAGGCAAGACTTATTTTTGACCGCTCACTTCGATCGCTTATTATACAAAAGTTTCAGAATCCAAATTGTATATGTCAATCAGTGCAACTCATTCAAGTTTTAAAAAAAAAAAAGACTTTATGAGCTGAAGCGCTGAACTCTTTAATTCCAAAATGTCAATTAATGAGCTATGACGTCCTCTTCAGTGATGTATTAAAGGAAAACCACTGGAAATAAGCTCTCGAGCTTTCGTGGGCCTCCCCCCTCCCCCTGAAAAAAGTACAAAAGTACCCAAAAAAAATTCGCCCCAAAAAATTAATTAGTGTTTCTTAACCTCTCCCCCCCCCCCCCCCCCCCCCCCCCCCGCCTATTCACCGGCTTGCTGATTTGCCGCTAAATATTTCCTCACAAATTGGACACAACACACAATTTTTGTTGTTGTAAAGTGCTCTTTAGACCCCATCCCCCGATTCGCCGCTAAATATTTCTTACGCATTCGTTCCGCCCCCAGGCGCGGATCCAGGGGGGGGGCGAGCGGGCCTTGGGCCCCCCCCCCCCCCCGCAAAAAAAAATGAGAGGGAGAAAAGGAAAAGAAGGGAAAGGGAAAGAGGAGAGAAAGGGAAAAAGAGGAAGAAGAAAAGAAAAGAGGGAAGAAGGAGATCGGGGGGGGGCAAAAGGACTTGCCTCCCAGGCTGTTGCCTCCCCCCCCCCCCCTCCAATCCAAAAAATAAAGGAGAAGGAAGGAAGGGAAAGAAAAAAGGAAAAGAGGAGATGAAGGGAAAAAGAGGAAGAAGAAAAGAAAAGAAGGGGGATATTAGTTGCAATTTCCCCGCCAACAAGTTTTGGATCGGGGGGGGGAGGCAAAAGGCCTTTGCCTTCCCCCCCCCCCCCCCGTCCCCGCTATAAAAAAAAAGAGATGGAAGGAAAAGGGAAAGAGGAGAGCTAAAAGGGAACAAAAAAGAGGAAGAAGAAAAGAAAAGGGAGAAAAGAAGGGGAGATCAGTCAACAATGTGTGAAGCTAATAATTTAATGAAACGTCGAAAATTCCGCGCTTCGCGTGGGAGGGGGGGAAATTGAATTCAGACGAATACTTTCGAGAGCGGTACAACGAATCGTCTTCTTTCTCTATGAAACGTCGAAGCTTCCGCGCTTCCCACGGGAGGAGGGGGGGGGAACTGAATTTAGACAAGGATTAAGAGTCGAGAACGGTACAACGAATCGTCTTCTTTCTCTAATGATTTAATGAAACGTAAAAGCTTTCGCGCTTCGCACGGGAGGGGGGAACTGAATTTAGACAAGGATTAAGAGTCGAGAACGGTACAACGAATCGTCTTCTTTCGCTAATAATTTAATGAAACGTAAAAACTTCCGCGCTTCGCGCAGGAGGGGAAAAATACATTCAGACGAGGATTATTTTCGAGAGCGGTTCAACGAATCGTCTTCTTTCTCTAATAATTTGATGAAACGTCGAAGCTTCCGCGCTTCGCGCGGGAGGGGGGGGGGGGGAACTGAATTTAGACGGAAGATTAAGAGTCGATAACGACACAACGAATCGTCTTCTTTCTCTAATGATTTAATGAAACGTAAAAACTTCCGCGCTTGGCGCGGGAGAGGGGGAAACAAAATTCACACGAGGATTATATTTGGGAACGGTACAACGAATCGCTTTCTTTCTCTAATAATTTATTGAAATGTCAAAGCTTCCGCGCTTCGCGGAGGGAGGAGGAAACTCGCCCCTCCCTGTACTCACCCCCCCCCCCCAGGGGCGTACGCAGGATTTTTTCAAGGGGGGGGGGGTTTAAAATCTGGCCCAAAATATTTTGCTCCCAAAAATTTGAAAATCGCGCCGGCCGAAAAGTCGCTCAGTGGGGGGGGGGGGGGGGGGGGGGGGGGGGGGGGGGGGTGGTAAGCGGACAGTGACTTTTTTTTTTTTTTTGGTAGTCCAAAAAAAAAATCGCAAAGACTCAGCCAACCGAAAAGTCGCTCAGTTGGGAGGGGGGGGGGATTTTTTTTTTTTTTTGGTCTCGAAATTTGAAAAATTGACATTTTTTCGTTGGGGGGGGGGGGTAAGGTCACTTTACGTTAGCCTTGAGCATATTTTTTTTTTTTTTTTTTTTTTAAATTAAAAACAAAAAACAAAAAAAAAAAAAAAACAAAACAAAGGGGGGGATTTTACTTTTTTTAGGGGGGTTTGCACACATAAAAATACCAAAACAAACCCCCCCCCCTGCGTACGCCCCTGCACCCCCTCCCAATTACGTCACTGCTGGTCACCATAACGTACCAATATTTGGCTCGCATGATTTCAAATTTGGCCCCCCCCCCCTAAGAAATCCTGGATCCGCGCCTGCCGCCCCCCCCCCCCTCTTGCCGCTGGCTAGATCCGCCCCTGCCTGTTCACGCTGACTTAATGTTGATCTGATATTCTTTTATATTGGTGTATGTTGGAGGCTTGCATGGCGAATAAAACCAATCAATTAAAAATCAGTCAAGATGGCAAATTGTGGAGATTGTCAGAAGCATGGTTGGGACAATCTACGTTCAGCACAATAAGAAAATGGACACTATATATACAATTAAGATTTTCGAATTAATATATTCAACATTTACTTATCTTTCATACATAAAAACACACAAATTAATTGTATTTTAGATGATATGCATTTTGAATCATACAATCTATGCACGAAAGAGCAAGGTCATTTAAACATAAATTAGTCTATGAAAGAAATTGAAATGGCAAAAATGAGGCATCTAGCTGGCCATCATCCAATGTTGAATGTTGGAGGTATCTTATTTGTACTCTCGATCTCGGGTGGAAAGGAGAGTCATCTAGACCCCCGGGGGGGGGCCCAAATTTGAAATTATGTGAGGCAAATATTGGTACGTAATGGTAACACCGGCAGTGGCAAAAACTTTTTTTGGGGGGGGGGGGGGTAGACACAAAAAAATCCCCATCACCCCACTCTTACATGCAGGCCCCGCTGAACATTTCTCGGCGGGGGTCAAGGAGTGGAGCCCTCAGAAGCTCAGGTGTTTTATACATTAAATTATCGTCAGATGAGCATATTTTATACCTTATTTGTGACACCGGCAGGTCATGAATTGGCGTGGGGTCCAAAGGACGGAGCCCCCGGAAGCTCAGCGGGTTTGGGCAATACATTACGGTCAGATAAGCATATTTTGATACCTTATTTGTGACATTGGCAGGTCACGAATTGGCGTGGGGTCCAGGAGACCGGAGCCCCTAGAGACTTGGGGGTGTTAGGCATTTTAAAACGGTCAGAGAAGCCTGGTGGGGTCGAGGGGGCGGAGCCCCGGGAACTTAGGGGTTTTAGGCATTAAATTACGGTCCGACGATAAACATATTTTGATACCTTATTTGTGACACTGGCAGGACACTAATTGGCGTTAGGTCCAGGGGGCCGAGACTCCAGAAGCTCAGGGGTTTTAAGCATTAAATTACCGTCAGATTAGCATCCAGGTGCCTGACTTTGGGCCCTAGGTGAAATCCAGGGGGCAGAGCCACCGGATTGTCAAGGGAATTTAATTAGGCATTTTATTACGGTCAGATGAGCATATTTCGATACCTTATTAATTTTGTGGCACTGGTAGGTCACTAATTATGTCCAGGGGCGGAGCCCCCAGGAGCTTAGGGGTTTTAGGCATTAAATTACCGTCAGATGAGCATCTAAGGGCCCGCCTTAAGACCCTCGGTGGAATCCAGGGGGCAGAGCCCTTGGGGTTTTTGGCATTTAATCATGATCAGATGAGCATATTTTTATACCTCATTATAATGTGACACTGGCAGTTAACTATTTTTTTCTTTTTTGCTCTCTTTCTTTCTATTTCTCTTTGATATACTTTTTCAAACAAAGTATGTGGGGGAGGGGGGGGGGGTTCGAGGATCCTGTCGAGGATCCCGATCCCCGTAGTTCCGCGGGCCCTGACATGAAGGCATCTCAAGAAGCATTTTCTTGCCTGTCTGTAAATTTAGGAATTTGTCATTTTCCAACAAACGCATAGAAAAGTACAATTTACTTAAAAGTGAGGAAAAATCTCGGAAAATTATGTCATTTCAGCATTATTTGTAAACCACCATTATGGAATTAGAAATAAACCACGTTTGAATTTTATTTCCCCCAAAGCCCCCCCCCCCCTCCCCTATCAGTACGCCAGTGGCCCCCACCCGGCTACAGGTTGTTGGCGAGAAAATTGCAACTGATATCCCTTACCTTTTTTCAATCTCTTTTTTTTCTTCTTTGCCTCTCTCTCCTCTTTAACTTTCCCTTCCCTTCCTTCTCTCTCTTTTAGGTTTGCTGGGGGGGGGGGGAGGGGCAAGGTCATTTTGGCCCCCACCGGCCCGCTCCACACATTGTTGGCGGGCCTTAACCGCATCTGATCTCCCCTTCTTTTCTCCCTTTTCTTTTCTTCTTCCGGCTTTTTTGTTCCCTTTTAGCTCTCCTCTTTTCATTTTCCTTCCGTTCTCTCTCTTTTTTTTTTTAGCGGGGACGGGGGGGGGGGGGGGGCAAGGGCCTCCCCCCCCCCGATCCACAACTTGTTGGCGGGAACATTGCAACTGATATCCCCCTTCTTTTCTGTTCCTTCTTCCTCTTTTTTCCTTCCCTTTATCTTCTCTTTTATTTTTCTGATGGGGGGGGGGGGGGGAGGGGAGGCAACAGCCTTGGAGGCAAGTCCTTTTGCCCCCCCCCCCCTCCGATCTCCTTCTTCCCTCTTTTCTTTTCTTCTTCCTCTTCTTTTTTCCCCTTTTCCTTCTCTCTTTCTATCTCCTTTTTTTTTTTGGCGGGGGGGGGGGGGGGCCGGGGGGGGGGGGGGCAAGGCCCCGCTCGGCCCCCTGGATCCGCGCCTGCAGTCATGGTTCAGTGGCAAAGCAATGGCCTCGTAACTGTGAGGCCCCAGGATCAAAACCGTGTCGATGTGCGTGCCCTTTTGTGGGGCATTAATCCTCCGCATCATACTGTCACTCATGACTTAAGGGTGTAGGTCCCCTAGTTGATAAGCATATTAGCATACACATGCTTTAGCAGTCACGCAAAACAAACACTAGCAAATTATTATTCAATACAATCTGAGAATGTATACTATATCTGGATCTATTAGGAATAAATCGTCAAAAAATTTCCATAAATTGGGGTTTTAAAAAAAATCCAACTTTATGAGCAACAGCGTATATTCAGTGGCAAAATACACCACACGTTAAAAGGCCTATATATCCATGAGTGAAATACCTAAAAATAGTTACAACAAGTAATTGATTTGATTTGTTTTAATGTTCAGACCAATTATTTATGGCATGAATGCTTGATTTCTTAGTTTACGTTATGTGAGATTTTATAAGTTCAATGATAGCTGGATTTTGATTGGCTGCCCCTCTTTGGTTGTGTAATGTTATATGCAAAGTAGCACAGCTGATCGCGACCATAACAAACACATCATCTGGTTGCACAGCCACTTTTGAAACTTGTAAAACTCCGTGGAAATAGCTCAAAATCGCATACTTTGAAGTTTTACAGAATGAAAACAAGTTATTCTCATACATTGGATGGAAACATTTCTTTTAATTGACTTTAAAATAGCTAAATTTATTGAAAACATGGAATGGCGCGAACTCATATTCGTCTTTCGCGCCATCACGGTTTTGCCTCACCCCATAGTTCACAAATATCAAGCCGCTTACTCCTTTATACACAAACGGGTAAATATAGATTTAGACTAAAATTTCTCTTGATTATAATGACCCATGTTATATGTTTATAATTTTTCATATTCATAGTCAATATTATATGATTTTATAAGTAGATTTAATCATATGTAAATGAACTTTTTTTCTGTCTAAGCGCAAGTCTTTAGCAGCCGATTGAACTCTCGGTGAACTGGCGTGCGCGCGGTGAAAGGTTATCGTGTAAACTCGGAATTGTGCACTCAACGCGAGTAGAACGGCGCTAAAGTAACCAAAATGGTGAAAACCCGGCACGGGGGCGACGTGGATACTAGTCCAGGAGGAGAAATTCTTTCTCTCCGTTCCAGAAATGCCAAGAGATTTTCAAGAAGTGATGCAGAGGTGAGGAAAATTGTATTCCTTTGCGTGAAATCGTTTCTCTTGCGAGCCTAATGTATGTGAGCGTATTGTGTGTGTTCTATGGGGTTTCTGTGGCGGGGCGCCCAGGCACTGTTTCTATGCAGGCTGCCGTAAGCGGAGCACCGTTCGATAATATTTATGAGGAGAATGTCTGCCCGTGCACCGCAACACAAAAACTCGGAGGCAAGGTGTGTGCGCTTTACCAGTGTGTTTCTTTGGGGCAGACATCGGAAGTGCAGCTGTTTTGGCGCGGCAAGCGATTATTGAATAAAGTGTTTGTTGTATGTCTGCCTTTCATGTTGCTGATATTGTGGAAGAGTTAGAGAAAAAGAGTGACCAATGGTATGGTAGTTAAGTACTTTCTCTTTGCTGAAATTCTATTCAGATCAGATAGTCTAGTTGACTGAATATGATCTGATCATGGACATGGTGATTGTGAGTGACTGAATGTGATGTCCTGATGTGATGATGACAAGTGACAGATAAAAATTAAAATCTCAAAGAGTCAGAGTCAATTAATTTAAAAACAATAAACAGAACAAGGTCAGGGGCCATATTCTATTGTAAAAATAATGTTTTCTTTTATTTTATGTTAGGAAGAACAATGTTAATTGTCACTAGACTCTAGACCTCTAGATCTAGGTCTAAATAAAACTGAATCAACACTGGACTGGTGCTAGGGTAGGGTGTCTGGACGATCTTTCAATTTTCCCTTTTGGATCGTTTGTCATCATTATTATGGTTGGATATTTGGAAAAAACATTTACTAGGGTGTCTGATCGCGCACCCAATGTTGTGTGCTAAAATACTTCCCATAGAGATTGCACGCATCCCTATGCAGTCTACGTGCATTGCGCGACCATGAAAATTGGTCAATGATTTTATGAAAAAAAATTGAAATTCAAACCTTTAGGGCTTGTGATCCTTTAGGTGAAACTCAATAAATGAGGTGTCATATGAAAGAGCAGGTTTTTCTCCATATTCCCCAAAGGGGCGCACCCCCGAAATTCTAAAAATATCTTGGTCAAAACAGCGATTTAAATGTTGTTTGCATCCTAGCTCCAAAATTTGCCACTTTCCTGAGCTGCGCCCCCCGGGCTTATGTCCGGCATGACGTAAGGAAAATATGTATGCACTTATTTTTTCGCTACCCCCAAGAGATCACTCGCCCCAACAGTTTAAAAATACCCTTCCCACATTTTTGGAATCAGCTAATTAGGGAGGCGTGAGCTCCGCTCAGTCCAAACCATGGTTACATCGCGTAACATCTGCGCGTATAGTGAATGAAAGTATGGATAGCCGTTCGCGCCATAAACCCCGGAAGTGAATACACGTTATAGTAAATGGCAATATCGCGGAGACAACGTGCACGTTGTCTCTGCGATATTGCCATTGACGATAACGTGTATTCACTTCCAGGTTTTATGGCGCGAACGGCTAGCCATACTAGTCAATGGCACATATCGCGGAGACAGAGTGGCTCAAGCTGCAAGTTGCGCATGACATGCGTACGCTATGCATACGCTTGCATATCGCGCGATACAGCTGTTGGCTAAATTTAGCAAAACAACATAGCTCTGCATGTACGTCGTCTTCATCGATTCTGATCAAAATCCTATAAATATTGCTGCGTTTTGGAGGGGCTGTATCTTTTGATAGAAACATCGGTGAGACTTGAAATTTGAAATGTATTATTCTGATTACATTTTTAATTCAAATATCAAACAAAAATGGTGAAAAACGATCCCAAATTGAAAATTGAAAAATCGTTCAGACACCCTACATTTACTCAGAACTACACATTTCAAATTTCAAGACTCACTGATGTTTCTATTAAAAGATACACCCCCCCCCCCCCCCGCCAAATCTAGTCAATTTTCATAGCATTTTGGTCAGAATGGACGAAAAAGCGGTACACGCAGAGTTATAATTTTTGCTCAAAAAAGGTGCACTGCACGGCACGATATGCAAAGCGTGGATTACGGGTATTTTCAAACTGCAACTGCTTGTGATCCCTTGGGACTAGAGAAAAGATAAGCGCATGGATCCTTAAAGCTGGCCCTACTTATCCCTCGGGGGCTCTCTTCATGAAATTTGTAAATCTCTGAGTTACCATGGAAACAATGTTTAAATTGCTGTTTTGATCAGGATATTTTTAGAATTTTGGGGGTGAGCCCCTCTGGGGAATATTGAGAAAAACCTGCTCTTTCATATGACACTTCACTTATTGAGTATCACCTTCAGGATAACGAGCAGTATTGGTTTGAATCTCATTTTGGTAATAAAAACATTGACCAATTTTGCAATGAACATGGCCTGAATAGGGATGTGTGCAATCTCTATGGGAAGGATTTTAGCACACAAAACTGAGTGCGCGATCAAACACCCTACTGGTGCATGTGCAGATCTAAGTCAAACGCAATCAGTTTTGCGCAGACATTTATTTACCAATGATTTGTCCTAGTACTTTAATGTTTAATTTGTTATAACAACATTTTGTTAACAAAAAAGCACACACAAAAAAGTTAGAGGAAGCAGTTGAAAATGTATTAATTTGTGTCAGGAAGCAGCACAACAAATCTAGAGTAAGTCAAACTTTTGAGGAAACATGCCTCCATATTCCCCAAGAGGTCTGGGGAATGTTTCATAAAGTTGTTCGTAAAGTTACGTATGACTTTACGAACGACTTGTACATGAAGTGCCAGATAGGATGCCCAAAGTTTTTTCTGATATTTCTGATAACCTCAATTAAATTATGGCAAAAAATATACTTTGCATTAAAAATGTTATAATCAGAATAATAATCTACATCTGCACAGATCAACTTTATTTGATGCAGTTAATAATGATTGAGCACCAGACCTTTTATTAATATGGGGGTATGTTTTCACAAAATTTTGGGTAACCCAACAACCTTACCTGATGCAAAGACAAGATGGTGTTTCACAAAGATCCTAAGTTGAACTTATCTCTAAGTTGTACTTAACAATTATGGAAAGCCGTTGGCATCTATGAAAATATTTTGTAAAAATTTATTTTAAAAGGCATGCAATGTTGATCCAAATTGATCATTCATATTTTCTATAATCAAGGAGATTTCATGGTCTTGTGGAATTTTTATAAAAAGTCTGAAATACCTGAATTTTCGCTTTTGAATATATTTTATTTTAAGGCTACAAATGGCTTTCCATAATTTTTAAGTCCAACTTAGGTGAAGTTTGACTTAGAATCTTTGTGATACACCCCCCGCCCCCCTGATGGAACGATGAACTGTGAGGAAGAACTAATGTATTAACTATCTCTCTCCTTCATGACAGGACAATATGTTATCAAGCGGGGATGACAACACTCCTAGGAGCAAGAGACAAAGAATCGTTTCGATGAGAGCATCAGGAGGGAACTCAGAAGAGAGTTCAGGATACAGAGGCATGACCAGAAGAAGGTAAGAAACAACTTTGATCCAACATATGCTGAAAAGTAACTACCTACCTAAGGTCTAAGGGTGCGTTCAAGCGACACTTTTTCACCCTAGAAACACAGTTTTCAAAGACGGTTGAAGCGATTTTTGTTGGTCGTAAAACTAAACGTGTTTCAAAAAGCAAACATGAAACGCTGGAAAAAAAAGATGCGTTTTGTAACATGGTTCTGCAAAATCGAGGTCGCTAAAAATCGCTTGAAAGAAACAGAGATCTCAATCATGATTCTATGACGTCATTATCGTGGCCTGCATCCAGTTTTGCAGACAGTCGACCGTAAACAAACTCAGAAAGCGCTTGCCGAAGTTGACCTATACTTTCTTGGTCAAATTCCCCCATGTCATACGCAGTGGTTGGGCTTGAAATGAGCGAGAATCAGCATTGATGGAAAATCGCTCGAACGATCTCCCGCAGTAACCGTGTTTTGTAACAGCGTTTGTGATTCATGTTTGTGATTCTAGCTTCAAAAAATCGCTTGAACACATCCTAAGCATATCCACATTCTGTAATTAGCTCAAGTAAAATTGAATCCCAGGAACCTATCTTTACTTTTTTTAAACAAGGAGGAAGGAGTTCCACATTTTGATACTTTTCTTGCGTACACAACTCCAAAGACGTCATTTTCAGGACAATTACTAAAGGAAGAAAGGATTCACTTGTCTAAACCAAACTATCCTGTACATTTATATATTGGCATACATGTGAGATACAGTTATAAGTCGGCCTACTTGTAAACCTGCTTCTTATAATAATAATAATAATAATAATAATATGTCTTGTTTACCCAGGGTAGCCTCATCAGTATCAATACTGTTCTCCACGAGGGCCCTGCAATCATATCATTACCCCGGCTTTAGCCGAGCTACCATGAAAAGGTGCTCGAGCATACAAGGAATTTCTTCCTCCCAGGTACCCATTTACCTCACCTGGGTGGAGTATAGCAAATGTAGATTAATGTCTTGCCAAAGGACATTGGTGCCGCGGCAGGACTCAAAACGGGAACCATGCGATCAATATATTTCACCTCGCTATCATTATACATATCGTAATCAGAGAACGATAAGGGTCATTTCAAAGAATGAGAAAATGAAGAAGAATTTTTTAAATTCCCATCTCCTAGCTATCACAGTTCAGGGGCTTCCCCTCCGACCCCTGAGCAGCGGACCAAGGGCAAAGACAAGAGCAGCCCCGACTCGACCGTGCCCAGCAACCAGGCCCCCTCCACGTCATCCAAGCTGACGCCCAAGAACCAGAAGGAGTTTGCGTTGAGTCGATCCAGGGAGTTCCGTAGTCTCACCAAGGATAGCCACGTGGAGGTGATCGAAGAGGAGGACGATGAGGATGGTATACGCCGTAGTCGACGACCGAGGAAACAGATTTACAGCACCATGAATCAGAACCTCCTGAGTAAGCAGATATTCACTTGATCGTTTTTGCCTATACATGTACCACAGAAAGTGTTCAATGTCTGCAATGATCTCTGTGTTTTTGTCTCCCCATCCAGCCATTTTATTTTGGAGTAGCATTTTGGATAGATATATGAATAGTATTTCATTGCATCTTTTATGAATGGCAGTTTCCGACTGAATTGCACATGAATTACACAAATTGACAATATATATGTTGTCAAAAGTTAGATAATCTGTAGTTAAGTTATTTAAACTTGTCATGTTACTACTGCCTAAATACCATAAACAATTAAAGAACAGTTAATGTACTTTCAAAAATTGTTATAGTGTCAGAGAAGCGACTTTTCCGGCCATAGCCTGAATTCAGGCGAAGACACATCCCCATTTCAAGCCTTTTCAGGCTTCATATTGTACACCACATTTCAGCTGACTCCAAAATGTCCGATTCGTTTTCAAGCTCATCTGTTAAAAAACAACTGATATTCATTTTTTTTCCCTCTTGTACAGCTGAAATGATGTTGGCTGGAGGTGCGAACCCAAGCCCGGAGGAGGTGATAGTACGCCGGAAGAAGCCCCTGAGACCACCTAGGAAAGAAGAAACTAATGATGATGAAGAGGAGGAGGAGGAGGAAGATGAGGACGAGGATGAGGAGGAAGAAGAAGATGTAGAAAATGTAAATATCGATCATTTATCTCAAGTTTAATCAAAGTTTTGCGTGTGTTGAAATTTACTCATGTATCATGAACAGCCAAGTCCAAATGAAAATGTACAAAACCGCCATCATTTTTTAATTTCACTATTCTTGTTTCTTTGTGAAAGATATGTGATAAATGTAATAATGTTCAAATGAAATTAAGTTATTATGCTCCCCAGGGAGGGGAGAATGTACATATATTGTGTGTGGGTAAGCCTGAATCTGATGACCGGGGTAATGATATATACTGCGCCTGGAAACAAAGAATAAGGTGCATTATAAATGTGATCTATAATTGTTATAATTATTATGATTATTATTATTATTATGATTATTATTATTATGATTATTATTATTATGATGACTCTTTTTCTGGTTTGACAGAGTGAGCCCGGCACTGACATGTACTCGCGTATCAAGAACAGGCAGATAGCGAAGAAGTTGGAAAGACAGCAAGAGAGGGAGGAAAGACAACGTAGGCAGCAGGAGAAGGAGGAAGAGAAACTAAAGAGGAGACAAGAGAAAGGGAGTGGTGATGAGGAGGAGGAGTCGGATGACGATTCCGAAGAGGAGGATGATGATGAAGAAGAAGATGAAGGTGGGTGCATTTCTTAGATTGAGAGAGATAGATGAGGGGGGGGGGGCGAGAGAGAGAGATATCAAGTAGAGACAGAAATGGAAAGAGATATACAGAGCAAGAGTGAGAGACACAATGAGACAGGCAGACAGAGAGGAGACTGAGGGAGAGACATACAGAAACCGAGAAATAGTAAAACAGAGAGAGAGAGAGAGAGACCAACTTTTTGCATTGTAAACTTAATTGAAATGGATATCTCCAAGCGCGTAAATCATGCCACAACAGGTCAAACATGATTTTGTACTGTTATAACCAAACCCTTAACTTTATGTTTTTATCATAAACAGAAGAAGAGGGAGAGGAGCCACAGCCCCAGTATTCCCTTCGTCAGCATCGTCAAATCACTGATCGCTATTCAGCTCCAATGTCGGGTAAGTAGAGCAGGGAAATACTTCTAAATATTTTGTGTGATGCTGTAAAAATCAGGGCCTGTATTCAATTCCATACTAGAGTAAGAAATATGAGTATTTTAAGCTTAGATAAAGTTGTCACCCAACAAAAACACAGTAATTTCTAAACACATTGTCCAATGATTCTTATCCTGCTTTATTGCACAGTTAATCATCCTAATCAGTGTCTTATCCATCAGAGTCAGAGTCACTGTTACTATCACTAATATCTAATTTTACTAAGCTAAGCCAAATGCTAAGTAACATTTTTACTTAAAGAGAAAGTTGAGTTCTGAGAAGAGGTGAAAAATAATTTGTGAGCGTTATCATTGTATTATACAAGTGTGGAAGAACATCAGATAAAAATGTTCCCTGAAAAGCATGGCTCTTCAAATGCCTTAATATTCTAAGTATGGCATGTAACATCATAAAAATTGGGACAGATTTTAAAAGTAAAAACTGCATGAGTGTTTATTTCTGTGATTCAGAAAAAAACTTGCATATATCTCTTTTTTTTTAAACACAGAACCCATGAGGAAACGCCAGCAGAAATATGAGGATTTCATCAACCCGCATTCCCCTCTGAGACGACGTCACTTCAAGCATAAGAAGCACCTCACCCCAGTACATAGCCCCAGGCTAAAACGAAGGTAGGGCCAATTTTTTAGTTGTTTTTGTTGCCTGCATGCTTCGTAAAAGCGAGTGTGTATATTGCACATGAACAATCAGTAGACCTAGGGTTTGAAGTCCTGACAGTACTTGGTACTTGAAGACTACTGCTAAACCAAAGGACACCTCTTTTGACTTAGTTTCAAAGCTGGGACCTCCAGGTTACAAACCGCTGCCTTTGAGTTGGTCATCTAGTCTATATACAAGTCTAAAATGCAATTTTGAAATATACTTGCATTTCTGGACAGAAGTAGTATTTAAATATATCATTTTAAATATGGGGTTAGCAGTATGCAAGGAATTGGAGCACTGGTATTTCAGTGAAGGCTCTTTCTGTAGTACAAGAGGTCCTTGGTTCAATGTTTTTCTCCCATTATGCATCCTTAGACAAAGAGCTGTACCCACATTGGTACGTCTTGACCCAGAAACATGGCAGTGGGGGGGGGGGGGGGACCCTCGGGAAGGGCACTATCAATTCTGATTTTGGCTTCAGTGGGTAAAGAAGACATCAAAGATATAGAGAAAAATTATGGTTAGTGACAGATCCCTATTAATTTGTATTGCATTGGTCTTTCAGGACACACCATGGTGCCCGTGATCTCTCATCGACCAGCTCGGAAGGCTCTGATGACGAGAGAAGGTTTGAACGCAGGAAGAACAAGAGCATGATGAGAGCCAGAAACAGGTAAAATGATCTTCAGATTAATTAATTAATCACCCAACCATCCTGTGTAATTTCCTTCAGTCATAACTTTAAACTTTTTCTGAGAAGTTCCACTCCAACTCTTGGAGCATAGCTGCTAACCATTCCTTCTTTTTTATGTTTTCGGGTTACCTGTACGTCCTGTTCTCGTGATCACGTTATCTCAAGAACTGATTGATGGATTCCTGCCAAACTTTAGTCATGTATGTAACTTGCAGAGCTAATGAACTGATTAGATTTTAGGGTCACAAGGTCAAAGGTCATGAGGCTCATTATGCATGCAAAAATAGCTTGTGAACGCATTCTCATTAGAACTGACGGATGGATTACAATCAAACTTAGGACATGTATATCTTGCAAAGCCAATGAACTGATTAGATTTTAGGGTCACGAGGTCAAAGATCAAACGGTCATACTTGTATATGAGAAGTAGCTTGTAATCACAATATCGTGAGAACCTGTTATGGATTACAATCAAACTTGAGTTTTAAAAATTGCTTCTGTTTTGGTTTGTAAAATTGCTCTTTGACGGAGGCATCATTTTCGATTGCGTGCAGTCAAAGTTCCATCTAGTCTGTATTTGTATTGTTGCACTACTATTCTGTTGATGTGATGATCCTGTTCAGAATCGCTGTCTGAAAGTAATTTCTGAGGACAACATTTTAGTTCTGATCAACAGAATAGGTGCCAAGTTATCAAGGGTTTTTTTCTTCAAAAATTGGTTTGAACAGAAAATTTGTAGATCATTAACTAGTACATAAAAAATCTACATTGGGACACAAAGAAGAATATGCCATACTTTGCAAATTCCAGACACTTGAATTGACACATGTGCTAGTGTGGGAACGACCCAATGCATTATACTCCGGTGTGAATTTAATTGTAGATTTTCATCTTAATTGTGCAATTGACCACTATTTATACAGCAGACCCGTAAGGATTACGCACAAATAACATTATCACGGTACACCCCAATAAAAAGATACTACAGCGCGTTGAAAACGAACGGGCGGTTCAATGAGTAAAAGGAAGGGCAGTTTTGGGCGGTTAAGTTGCTAAAGGGTTAAAGTATTCACTCGGTGCAATGTGGTCGATATTAATGTGATCTCTTTCAACCTTTTTTTTTTTCTTCCCCTGTAGGTGTCTTCCAATGAACTTGACTAAGGACGATATGTCTGGTGGAGTCATCAAGGACAGACAGAGAATAGGGGGTAGCCTGGCTGATGTAGATCCTATGAATATTGATTCATCGGTAAGTTCTTTTCATGGTTCCATGACACATGCTTGGGGGGCAATTGCTCTTAGGTTGATCCTACCATAGCTGTTATCATAACTTTTACCCTGGAACAAACACTTTAATTCTAATCCGAAACAACCTTAAAGAGATTGGGTATATCCGCTCAGATTCTAAACAAAATCCTGGATTTAGCTCATGCTGCAATGATAATTATAAACCTTTAGGTCAGTCAGGAACCCCATGAAATTTACAAGCCGATCGCCTGTCTGATTATCAAGATATTTATGATTGGAAATCAAAATGTAAAAATTGTTTTCTTAACAGTTTTCATAACACTACAGCCTATTGGGGAAAATGAGTATGGTAAAACCGGTCACTTCTTGATCATTTTGAAGGGCAAGTTTGTTTAGGGCTTCAATATTACACCATATCACAGACACTGATAACACGTAGGGCCGTGCAACTCAGATTTAACGTTGTTAAACGATGCCATTAAGGAAATTTTTCGATAAGTTAAACTACACAGCAAAGATGAACTTTTGTTTTTAATTTTCTTTGTTAAGTTGCATTTGATGATGGTGGTGGTTTTAGGCTCTCACGTCCAAATTCTAAGGAGATGAGAGTGTTTCCCTTACAGCTTTCAAGAAGTTATCTTTTCTGTCATACCATGTTTCTTTTATATTTTATTTCCATACTTTGGAATTTTATTTTGACTGTTAGGAATAAATGTTATGCTTTCTGATGTAAATATGCTCATGTTTATTCAGGCCCCATAGAAGACCACTACTTATTTGTGAATGAGCTACCCTGACAAAAGATTGGAAATAAATAAATAAATGTTTTTTTTAATAAATTTATCTTCCAGGTGACCTTTGACACTGTTGGTGGTTTAGGCTCACACGTCCAGGCTCTGAAGGAGATGGTCGTCTTCCCCCTCCTCTACCCAGAGGTCTTTGAGCGCTTCAAGATCGCCCCGCCCCGAGGGGTGCTGTTCCACGGCCCCCCTGGGACGGGCAAGACCCTCGTGGCAAGGGCGCTGGCCAACGAGTGCAAGCAGGGCGATAAGAGGGTCGCTTTCTTCATGAGGAAAGGAGCCGACTGTCTCAGCAAGTGGGTCGGAGAGTCGGAACGTCAGCTCAGGCTACTCTTTGATCAGGTAAAAGCAATTTTGTTCAACGTATTCAATATTACTTTCTTTTCTTCTGGCACTATCCTAAAGGTTGTCATGATATAGAATGTAATGGAAGTATGCAGATCATGAGGGTTAAGTGTTTAATGAAGTTACAATTGAGGGATGAGAAATGAAATGGAGTTGAGGTTCACTGCTAAGCACTTTCAGTACCAACAAATCTGCTGTCATTAACTGATTTACCACTCGCTATACTGTACTGAAATATTTGTTGTGAAGTCATTGTGTCGTCCTTTTCCCCCCATGCACAGGCCTTCACCATGCGTCCGTCTATCATCTTCTTCGATGAGATCGACGGTCTGGCCCCGGTCCGGTCAAGCCGCCAAGACCAGATCCACAGCTCCATCGTGTCCACCCTCCTGGCCCTTATGGACGGTCTGGACAGTCGAGGGGAGATTGTGGTCATCGGAGCGACCAACAGGATAGATGCCATCGACCCTGCGCTCAGGAGACCAGGACGTTTTGATAGGGAGTTCCTCTTCCCTCTGCCTTCAGTCGAGGTATGTTTCCATTTTCGCACATTCTCATTTTCCAGTTGGACGATTTGATTTTGGTTTACAGCACTCTTTGTCATGGACCCCAGCCCGAGTATTTGAAGGGTCAATTTATGATTTGCCTTTTATACAGTCAAAACCTGTATGTAGTGACTGCCTAAGGGAAATACAAAAAGTGGTCCTAGTAGACAGGTTCCTTTAGTACCTGATTCAATGAGAAACAATTTTCAAGGGAAACAACAAATGTGGTCTTTGTTGACAGGTGGTCAGTAAAGCAGGTTTGACTGTATCATACATGCCAACTGTTCAGATTAAAGAGGAACATTCCTCTTTTTGGGAGAAGATAATTATCATTTTAATGCAGGTGTTCCTCTTCCTGTACAAATTTGTCTGTAGTATTGAATAGGAGAGTTAGGATTGTTCCTCTTTTTTTTTTAAATAGCATAATTTGTACAGATTTCTGATTTTCAAATGTTGGCATGTATGCTGTATATCCATGTGTTGTATGTAATGATTTGATTTTGATTTTTGATTTTTGATTTTTCGTATGGGTCAACACTTAATGGAATTATAGGTATTGAATAAAAATCATATCAGGTTCAAGTAAAAGCTGTTAAACTGCCTGCCCTTGAATTGATATAGCTAGATTATGTGTACTGATTATAAAAATAGAGACTCGCGGTAGATCAGTGCCTGATAACTTTGGTGTTTTAAGAAACTAAAGGTGTTATCAGCTTGATCTTTAAGAGATTCTTCCTTAGCGGCTTTCGGAATCATTGCAACAAAGTAAATGCAGGGTTTTCAATGATCCTAACCTCTTTATACCTCTCATAAATAATATCTTTTCAACATTTTCGTTTGTAGGCAAGGACCACCATCCTCAACATCCACACCAAACAATGGAATCCGAGGCTGTCAGAAGCTTTTGTTTCAGAAGTTGCTGCAAAGTGTGTCGGTAAGAGATAATGGAATGATAATGATAATTAGAATCGTTTGTTGTTTGATGAGTTAAATATAAAAATCCTGATTTACTATTCTAAATATACATTGCTACAGGCCTTAAATTTCAATATTTTTAGGTCAAGGCCACTTTTCTGTAGGGCACATTCCTATATTAGAGCACAAATAGGATGAATTGGAAAGGGCACACAAAATCTCCAAGGCCAATGAGAGGGGCATTGAGGCCGATCAAAAGGACATCCACGGCCATGGCCTTGGATTAATTTAACCAGTCATAATCTGAGGGAATGAATTCCTATTTTGGCTCTTCAAATTAATGTGAATACTAGATTCCTTACTCTTTTTGAAATATGTGTAGACCTCGAATTATTCTTATTTCACCTTGAGAGATTTGTATGATTTTATCTATTAGAGGTTAGCAGATTCGTATTGCTTTCATTTTTTTTTTTTTTTAAATGTTAACTGTGCAGGTCATTTTTCTCACAAGAATTTTATACTTTTATCCATCCCAGCATATGATATAAAGTTACTAAATAGAAACAAAACAAACAAAAAGTTTAAATGTGCTTTTTTTGTCATTTCAACTACATCACAGGTTACTGTGGTGCCGACCTCAAGGCGCTATGCACCGAGGCAGCGCTGTACGCCCTGCGACGCCGCTACCCTCAAATCTATACCTCCAAGGAAAAACTCCAGCTGGACGTGACCGAGATCCAGATCGGCGCTGTGGACTTCCACCAGGCCATGAAGCGCATCGTACCGGCCTCTCAGCGGTCAGTGGTCAGCCCTGGCCGTAGCTTGACCCTCCACGTCCGTCCATTGCTGGAGAACCAATTCAATGCTGCACTGGATATTCTACGTCATGTCTTCCCTTCGGCTTTGTATAAAGACAATAGTACTTTACAAGGTGAGCGACTGCAGTTTTATTTTCATATTTGAAGTTTAAAGAAATAAGTAGGCAACATGTCACATTTGTGTTGTAAAGAGAGTATGTACTTATTTTTTCTATGACTAAAGTTGGTTATTTTAATTGTGAAATGCCTTAAAAAATACTTAGAAAAGAATATGAAATTAGTAAATTTGTCTTTTTCTTTTCAATTAGGATAATTGTTGTGCTAGATGCTTTCCATTCCATGTTATTTTTCAGCCATTGAATATAGCATTGAAGCTTAATTTACCCATTTTCATTTAAAATACTGAATCCTGCCTGCCTTTTTGAAAGACCATGCATGGAAAAGACATAACCTGTATTGGGTCACCGTGGTGTAGTGGTTCACCAGCTAAACACTATCAAAGAGGCAAACAGTTTGAAATTGGGCCTGATTCGTTTGTTTCAAGACACAGGACCTCATTTACAGTCATCTCTCTCTATCTCTATCTCTCTCCCTCTCTCATAAGATCAATAGTTGGAAGCTTTTTTAATATTCTCAAGATTAATTACGTGTACTGTAGTTACCTGGCAAGTACTTATGCCGTTATGGTGGCATGGTGAGCTGATAGTGGCTAAACCACTTTGAACATGCATAGGGACATTGTTTTATGATATAATGTGTACTTAATAAATATTACAGTCAAACCTGCTTTAGCGACCCCCTGTATCGAAAGACCACCCATCTATAAAGACTACAATTTCTGTTTTCATTGTATGGGGTTTCTCATTGAAATCCGTAATAACGGAACCTGTTTCATGTTTCCCTTATGCAGTATTTATATACTGTATTATATGTACTGTATTATTATTTTTATTGTTAATAATATCATCTCCTCCTTGGTATCATTCTTCAGAGGAATCTTCAGATCCTCTGACCGATATGCTGCACAATGATGACTGGGAGGAGGAGGAGGGAGGGCCCAGTATATTCAACGGCCCCACCCCAAGGATGGGGTCCAAGAAACACAGCCTTTCACACACATCCAACCATTCATTCCTCAACTTTGCAAGGTAAGAAAGCATTCTTCTCTTTTCTTTTAAAGGTAATGCAAAGTTTGGGAAATTTTGAAAATTGGATGGATAGTACTTCTTTTAAGTTTTGATATATTTGGATGCCCATGTGGATGTATTATAAGCACTAGAAAATTTAGCCCCAAAACACTTCTGCTTTCGAGAAATTGAGTTATAACAAAAATTACAGGTGCTCCCGGTGAATTTCAAATATTTCAAATAGCGCCTAAGGCCATTTCATGGAAGCTGCGACTATGAAAATTTCAGAAGATGCAGTTCTGATATATAATCTCCAAACAGAAATAGCAAATCGGTCTATTGTAGTCAAGAAACATTGTTATAAAACTAAAGTAATATCAGTCTTGAGAGGGATCTATACAACATAAAGAGTTTATTATTCACAATTTCATTACTTTAGACTCGCGACAACGATCATTGAATGTTCAACTTGCATATGCTTTCAATATGTTCATTTGAACCAAATTCATGACCTCTTACCAAAACTTTGTATTACCTTTAATCTTTATTGATCAATAATTGAATAAAACAATTACAGAATCAAAACAGAAAGACAGCTTTTTTACAGAATTATACAAAGCAGCATTGTAGATGCATGAGTACTTGAGTGGAAGAGTTAGCGTTAAACACAAAGATCAATTCTCCGCTTTTTGAAATGTTAAGGGAGCTTGTTTTTCTTCTTAGCTAAAAAATATTCTAAATCCTAGTTGGAATTCAACTAAGCCTCAGTACCCTTGATATTAGGGAGTTTACTTTTCATTCACTCGTATATTTGTTTAGGAAAAACTGGTTCCTTCTGTAAATAACTGTATTATGCTATTGGAACCGTGAAGAAAATATGTGTGTTGTGAATGACTTAGCTCAGAAAAGTTCTTTAAAGAAAAATAGGGTAACACTATCTCAAGAAGTTTTGTGAGAGTGCATTAGAACACCGAGATGCTATTGAAATTATTTATAAAATAGTAAGGCAAAGCAATAAATAATCAAAGTCTAATTGTTTGTGACTACTTTGCAAGCTTTGGTAGCTTGCTATGTATAAAAATGAGTTCATACTGGAATCTGGGCTCGCTGGGGTACGAAAAAGAAGACACGTCCAGGGACGCTCATGGCGCTAGCACAAGTAAAGTAAATGTTTATTTGAAAATAGAGTTATACCATCAACAACAAAAAAACTCTTCTTTATCTCTTCTTTGACTCTCTCCCTTTCTCTCTCTCATCAGTACTTCCTACCATAGACCACACGCCCACCGGCCACGCTTCCTCATCACCGGGCAGCCTGGGATGGGGCAAACCTCGCACCTCGGCCCGGCTCTCCTGCATCACATGGAGAGACTCCCCGTACACTGCCTTGACCTCCCAGCATTGTACGCATGCAGTGCAAAGACACCAGAAGAATCGTGTGCTCAGGTATAATGAAGATGATGGTGGTGGTGGCGCTGGTAGTGGTGGTGGTGGTGGTGATGATGAGGAGGAGGAGGAGGATAATGGATTATGATGGTGATGATGATAATGATGAAAATGGTGGTGGTGATGATGATGATGAACATGGTGCTGATTGTGATAGAGACATCTCTTGGACTTCAATCTGACATTTTGAAAAGACAGAAAAAATCTATCCAAACCCCATCTTGCTTTTAAAAAAAAGCATAGAAAAATGGGTAGATACATAGGAAAATGGTAGATAAATAGGAAAAAGTGTAGATAAATATATAAAAGGAGCACTGTTAAAATATAGCAATACAGTAAATTTGATGTAATGATTATTGCTTGGAAACCCTTGTAGAACTCCTGAGATGAAAAAATTATATTTTACACTTCAGTATCCTCTCTTCCATTGCTAGGTATTCCTTGAGGCAAGGCGCACCAGTCCCAGCATCATCTATGTCCCTCACATAGGCCAGTGGTGGGAGGCATGCTCCGCAACGTTGCAAGCAACTTTCCTCACGTTGCTGCAAGATCTACCTCCATCAGCCCCCATCCTCCTGCTAGCTACCTCAGACTTTCCGCTCAGGGATGCTCCAGTCGAGGTAAGTTGCATGCTGGAAGTTTTATTGAGATCATTATTTGTATGATTTTATTTCTGCTTTTTTCAACATAATAAAAAGTATACAAATTAGGTATTCATATATTATTAACAAAAGTCTTAACACATCGTGTGATCAATCGCAAGTCTTTATAAGACAAGCCCCAGATCTAAGGTTTTACTTTATCTGATCATTTTATTCAGTTGGTGGGCATACTAGAACTTAGATCAGACCAAATATAAAGTGAAATCGCACATTTTATGTCAATTTGAAGTTCAGAGCCCGTCTTATAAAAATTAATTGATGATCGCTTGATAACAATTGTAATTATGTGCATAAGAGTTTGGGGACTGTAAACTTGCGGCGACTCTTTATAAAATGAGGCCTTGCCTTGATCCAAATCAATCGCAAGTCCTTCAATCAAACGCAAGTTTGCAGTCTCCTAACTCTTATGTACATAGTTGCAATTGATATCAAGTTTTTGTAAGAGGGAGCCCAGGACTTCACAATAACCAGTAACATTTGGGACATCAAATGACTGATTCCTTGGATTTGCTCTACTTTAAAAGAGAATAATCCCTCTAAAACCAAGTTTTGACATTCTGTCCTCACTCCAGATGCAGTCTCTTTTCATTGCTGGTCACGGTGAGGTGATGAAGATGAGACTCTTCAAGATGGATGAAAGGAGAGAATTCTTCAGGGATCTCGTCCTAGTACAAGCCACCAAGGCTCCACACAGGAAGAAGAAAATTGGTAAGACTTAAAATTTTGTTTTGTTTTGATGTAACCCTTTTTGTACTGTGTGGTAGGTTTGAAATTGTCCCAAATTTGGGTTCTGTGACACGTGCTCGACTGCTTGCTCCGCAGTCAATTCAGGATTTGAACCCTTGACCTTCGCATCTCCAGTCAAATGCCCTTAACCATTTGGCCATGACACTCGCATTGCTTGATTTCTGATCCAACTGTCCTTTCAGCCGCTTCTGCAGCCCTTGAGGTCCTTCCCGTTGTCGCTCCCAGGGAACCTAGAGAACTGACAGAGGAGGAGATCCAGAAACTTATTAGTGAGGAGAAGAAGAAGTCCAAGTTGTCCAAGAGACTCTTTAAAAAAATCATATCGCCTCATTGCTTAATTTCCAATCTCACTGTTCTGATTTTGAATTTTGAATTTGAACTGTTCTTCCAACAGCTTCTGCAGCCCTTGAGGTCCTTCCTGTAGTCGCTCCCAGGGAACCTAGAGAACTGACAGAGGAAGAGATCCAGAAGCTCATCAGTGAGGAAGAGAAGAAGCTCAGAGAGTTGAGAATCTTCCTCAGGGATGTCCTCACCAGACTGGCGTCCGAGAGAAAGTTCCGGGTCTTCACCAGTCCCGTGGACCCTGAAGAGGTAAAACTGAGAACAATATTTTTTGGTTTCTTATGTAGCTAATTATCTTATTATTGTACAACGTCCCTACACACTTTCATGTGTATGGATGGAACTATCTACCTTGGCTTAAGCTTTTGCCATTATTCAACCAACGATACACTGCAAACAGTGTGCATTGGGTGTGATTATTACGTCACAATAGAGTGCGCGCAAAGTGCGCAGGTTCTCATATGCGTAATAGATGCGCAATGAAAATGACAAATTACCCAGATGTTGGCTCTACATATTGCCTGCAAGTTAGCACGCATTTTGCCTGCAAGTTTAGCACGCATTTTGCCATTGACTTTTCTGATCGGGCAATATTTTTTGTCCATTGTTTGACTGTGTATTAATATTGACTGGCAATTTACACACAAAATCCCATCGAATTTTTTGTGCATAGTTTTGTTGGCTTATCAATTAAACTTGGAAGGGCAATACCATTTAAAAATTGCCCTGCTCAGATGTCTGAAACAAAGCGATATTGATTATTGCGTTAATACACCAATATATTTCACTTGTTTGTCCAAAACTTGATAAAATGGATGTTGAATAGGACTTTAATTTATTATGTTCAACTTAACTTTTGTAGGTTCCAGACTATGTTGAAGTGATCAAACAACCCATGGATCTGTTCACCATGAACAACAAGATTAATCTCCATCAGTACACCAGCGCTAAACAGTTCCTGGGGGATATCGACCTCATCACCAGCAATGCCTTGGAATACAACCCTGATAGACAACCTAGTGGTAAGTAGAGTGCCTGTCCTTCTTTTCACACATAAAACACCTGTCTGTCACCTTTGTTCTCAAAGATGATAATTAGTTCTTATAGCAGCAAAATGAAGTTGGAATGAAATTTGAACATGTTCTCATCAGAGATGCCAGTCTTCAGGCTTTTGCCTGATTTTAGACAGTGACAACACATATGGGGCTTTAACATGTTCTGGCTTCTTTTCAGGCCCAGTAAGTAAAACTGACTGACATCCCTGTCTCGTACTTCTCGCTTGTATCAAAGATGCATGTGCAATATATTTGTTATCATGTTATGTTTCAGACATGGCCCTCCATTTTTTGGTTGCCCATTTGGTCAAGTTTTGCAAATATATAAAGTATTGCCTTTCCGTGCTCCTCTTTCAAGCAATCTTCCCTGAAATCCATTAAATATTGATTATCTTTCTCACGAACCATGTCAAAATTTGTGTATTCATTAGAAAGGAAAAGGATTATAGTTAGTGGATTTATCTGTGTTTATCAAGTATATAAAATAGCTGCAATTGATTCAAATTTATTGCATCTACGTATCTTTGATAAATTTGTACTAATGACATAGGAGATCAATCAGAGAACTTGATCGATCCCAATCAACCGTAATTCTTTATAAAATAGTTTAAAATTGTTGTGTGTCGAGTATTAAAGAGCTAATATCTAACTCTCTTGTCATAGATCGCATGATTAGGAACAGAGCCTGTGAGCTGAAGGACATGGCCTATGCCATCATCGACGCCGAGATGGATTCCGATTTCGAGAAGGAGTGCGGGGAGATCGAGGAGTCGAGGTCCAGAAGGCAGGAGAACTCGACCGTGACCGCAGCCATGGCCCCCAGCTTCTACAAGACATTCCATCAGTTGACCCTGACACAGGCGCAGGAACAGGCCAGGGAGCTGGCCAACCAGAAACTAAAACCGCATCAGTTGGATTCCTCCAGGGAGGAGGATGGAGACGGAGGGACCGGTCGACCAAAGAAGGTCAAGAAGAAGCACTCGAAGCGAAGAAGTGCTTGGTCCAGAGGATTCTTGTCGAAGATTAAGAAGAAGAAACCGGTTGTTGATGAAGAGGAAGACAGCGAAGAGGAAGATGGGGAGGAAAGAGACGAGGAGGAGGATGATGAGGAGGAGGAAAGGGAGGAGGAGGAAGGGGAAGAGGCAATGGAAGATGGAGAGGTGGAGATCTTGCACAATGGACCCCTGACAAATGGCGATATCTTCAACCACCAAGAAACCAGTAACCAATCTGCTGAAACATCCACTGCACCCAGTACTCTGTCCCAGATCACCGACGATACTCCCATCGCGACACAGCGCTCGCCTCGTCTCTCCCACAGGCTCGATAACCACGACAGTGACCGAGAGAGTGTGAAGAGCGGGCCGTGCTCCCCGGTCAGCGAACATGTAATCGGGCGTCGGTCACTGCGTAGGAACAGCAATCATGCGGCCCCCACGCACCATCAGCTTCAGAATGGCATCAGCAGCGAAGAGTCTTCGGAGATTGATCCTCCCACGCTGGAGAAGGTGGTGCCGTTCCAAAGGGTCAAAGGTGACAGGTCAAAGACCAAAGAGATCATAAAGGTCATGGAGGTTGAGAATGGAGAGGAGGAGGAGGAGGAGGAGGAGAGAAGACAATATGAAGGAGACACGCCTACCTCAGCTGAATCAACCAAAGGAAAAGACAGCAATGGTAAAATCAAATTTTATAGTTATCGTTGTGTAATTTACTGGAGTAAATCTAATTTCCTTTTTATTATAGTGCAGTTTTGGAACAAACTGGTTTCCTTATAATTAGGCCTAAAATAAAAACTTGTTGTATTGCCCTTAGGGTGCATAAACGTGGGTCGGTCGGTCAGAATTTTTTTTTTTGTCGCCCTCTTTGGGCCGATATTTTTCAGATTTGAATGTTTTTTTGTTTCTTCATTTTTTTCCGCCCTCTTTTGGCTGATATTTCTCAGTTTTTAATGCTTTATACATGTGTTTCAACGTCATCATTCCATTGTTATCTTTTTCACCTCATAATCACCCATGGTTTGCACGAGTGAGAATTTTGGAATAATTTGATTTTATGCATTTATATCCCATTTAAACAAACAAAATATATATTTTAACAAATTTAGCATATTTAAGGGTGGTAGAAGCTAAAAACTTCATGTTACATATTTTCTATTCATTAATTTAAAAAAAAAAAAAAAAAAAAAAAACGGTTAAAAAAAAAACGGTTAAAATGCCTTAAGATGCCCCATTTGTAATGATTATGCAATCTTGAAATGTGCACTGTGCCTGAATGCCAGGCCAAGTAAAATTTGAAATATTGCAAAACGAGTTGTTGCTATCATTCAACTTGATTCATTCTCCAAACAAATGAAGAATTCACTGTTTACAATGACAATGTATTTTGCAACATTTCACTTATGACTTGGTTTAAGCCTATCTGCACTAGTTTGGCCAGGAAGGATTAAACCTCCTTGCAAAGTCACTGACAGGTGATTATCTCATCAAATCAGCTCTCAATTAACATAAGAAAAAGGGGACCATGAGGGACCTACGGTCACCGATTAGGCTTCTTTCGCTATATAGAGGACGCAAGTAGCTATTTAGTAGTGCGGTGGGGCTTTAAATCGTGTCCTCTATCTCTCACTCTCAGGGCTCAAATTAATTTTTTTGTCCACGGGGGCTCTTCCAAAATAAAAAGCGCCCCCGTGAGCCTTCTCACGGGGGCTCTTTTAGTACAGACGGGGGCTCTTTTTCCATTGAATTGGTGGTACCCATGAAACTCCTAAATTATTAGCTATTTCATCATTATCATTAATAGTCGGCATTATTTCTCTTACAAATTTACAAGTTATAACATGCAGCTAATGGTCAGATCTCTTCCCTTTGTACGAAATTTCTGGTCCAAGCCCGTATACATACGTATTACTCAATCTGTATAGTGGATATGATCGTCGCAATGTAGTATAGTCAAATTGGAGTTTCCTTTGTTCGTTAGGACTAGTTCTCTTAAACATATACAAGTATTATATAATTTTATGAACACTCGTGAATGCCAGAGGGAAAAACCGTTGCAATCGACTGAACTTTAGCCTATTTTGTTAAAAAAAAATTTGTCGCGCCCATATCGAGCTGAAATAAGGAAGTACTTGAGCTCGAAAATATATATCTTCACTGTTCTCACGCGGGGGTGATGTCGAAATAGAAACTTGGCCACAAAACACAACTACACTATTCAGAATAAATAGCAGAAAGGACAAAAGACATGATGACCTTGTCAATCTCATTACACAAGTGTAATTAACACTCCTCTTCAGAAAAGTAGAGACCTAGACCAGACCCCCCCCCCCCCTGATTTCGCGGGAGAAGAAAAAATGGTTTTAATGGTAATGGTCGACATAAAAGCTCTGAGCTCATCCTGTTTTCTATTTAATTATGAATCGATAGAGAAAATTAGCGCCACCCTCGAAGTTAGTTTCGAAAGATGGATGATGTATATACTGGGCTGTTATCTTATTGTTACAGCCCTTCATCCTAGAACGGGTCCTGGATGCTGGAGGGCTGGCCTGTCCCTTGCCTCTATCACCGTCATCTGACGAAGAATTTGCCATCCTGAATAATGCGAGCGGTTTCTATTTGGCTTGTAGTTTAGAGACCCTGACGTGGCTCCGTTTTCCCAAAGTATATGAGTGTGGAGATGAGAGGTGTTTTGGATAGCTGGACGTGTATTCTCTATGAAATTACATCAGTCTATGGAGACTCAACTAATTACACGTTATGAAACGATGGATTGTTTAACTGTATACTTTATTAATACAAACATAAGTCAACTTCTCCAACACGTTATCATAGTTAACACCGACACCAATTACCTGTATTAATCTCAACAAGTAGTAAAGGCAGGGATTGCCTTTTGTAGGAACTCTATTTCTCGCTTCCAGTCCTTTTCCTTACTTTAGCTCAGCTGGAGGAAAGCGGAGAGTTCGCCATCTGACCAAGATGAGAGCCAGCGTCGAAGTGACGATAGCTCAGCTCAATACCGCTATTTATAGGATCTGAGACGCTCTGAGAGCTGCTTTACGCATGGTGCATCCGTAATCGCGCTCTGAGCCCTTACGCCCCAAAAGCTTACTGCCCTCTACGTTTTCTGCAAGATAACTACCTGTAACGGGCTGGTCCTTTACATTATTCTTATTTTGTCGTCGTTGCACGTGCGTGCTTTTCTATTATTTTTTCAAGTCATGTCGTTTAGTGGAAGCACCCGTAGACATGTCGATTGTACATTACTATATTTAATTTTGACTACATATTATTTATTGGGATTTAAATATGAATCTGAAAGTTTATTCCTCGAATAACCTTAACTGGATTAACATGAGTTTGACATAATATAGTTGTCCTCGCGGTGCACTAAAAGTATTGCACGTTAACAGATTTCGACCTTCCCCTCTTTCCATATTTTTTTTCTCGCTTCCGGAAACGCATTTGTTTTGCTTGATCCAAACACAGAGATATATTAATTTATAGAACTATTTTTTATAGACTGTAAATGCTTAACATAATAATAATAATAATAATAAATTACATTTATAAAGCGCTTAATACAATGTTTCTAAGCGCTTAACATACAAGTAATTAGGTACAACGTAAAATAAACATACAGCAATAATAATACATAATTCTAATAATAACATTACAGATAATTAAACTGCCCTATAAATTACTATTACCGGTAAACAAAAAATACTTCAAACTTGCCTTAAAAGACTCTACAGATGGGGATTGACGAATAATAATAGGTAAACTGTTCCATAATTTAGGGGCTGCAATGGCAAAAGTACGATCTCCGTAACGGGTATTTGTTCGGGGACCAGGGGCGTATTGGAAATTAGCATGTGTAGTTGACCGTAATGAACGTGATGGAACAATAGGTTTGAGAAGGTCGTTTAAATATGATGGAGCATAACCATGTTTAATTTTGAATACTAACAAAAGAATCTTAAATTGAATGCGAGTTAAAATAGGTAGCCAATGAAGAGATCTGAGAATAGGAGTTATGTGTTCATATTTTCTGGTTTTGGTAATGAGACGGGCTGCCATGTTCTGAATACGTTGGAGTGGAGAAATGGTGTAATCTGGTAAGCCAAAGTACAATCCGTTACAATAATCTAAATGGGAAGTCACAAAAGCGTGGATCAATCGTTCTGTAGACTGTCTGTCCAAATATTTTCGAAGTTTACTAATCCTGGATATACCAAAGGCAGCCGTCCGACAAGTATTCCTCATGTGTTGCTTCATATTCAATACATTATCAACAGTGACGCCGAGGTTACGAACTACTTTTGAAGGTACGATTTCAATGCCAGCAGCATCCAAGCACGGCAGACTGCAAGAACTTCTAAACTGCGAGGTGATATGTGGTACCTCAGTCTTAGATTGATTTAACTTGAGTTTATTTGAAGAAGACCAGGACATGACATCGGAGACGCACTCGCTCAGTTTATGCATAGAGCCAAAGTGATCTTTGGATGTCATGGTCACATACAACTGGGTGTCGTCGGCGTACATGACATGATGAATGTCCCGATGGGAAGAGATGACCGCACTCAACGGACCAGTATACAGGATGAACTCCAGTGGACCTAGGACAGACCCTTGAGGAACACCTCAGGGCAGGGGAAATGGTCTGGAAATAGAGTCATTCACAACGACGTGCTGTTTGCAATTATCCAGGTACGAATCAAGCCACTTCAGAGCACACCCCTTGATGCCATAGCCTCGCAGGAAACGATCAATCATAGTTGTATGGTCAATAGAGTCAAACGCAGCAGTGTAATCAAGGAGCACCAGCACAGCCTCATGACCCTTATCAACTGCAAGAAGCACGTCATTGAAGACTCTGATCAATGCTGTTTCAGTTGAATGGAACTGTCGATAAGCCGACTGCATCTCAGGAAACAACTTTTGTTTATCAAGGTACACCCGAAGCTGAGAAGCAACGATTTTCTCAAGGATCTTAGCAAGGAATGGCAGGTTTGCTATGGGCCTGTAGGTTTTAAAGTCATCTGGGTTTAAGTCAGACTTCTTCAATAGAGGTATAACGTGAGATGTCTTGAAAAGTTCTGGGACAGTACCAGAAGACAGAGAAGAGTTCATTATGTGTGTAATGGATGGTACTAGTTCTTCAAGGCACGATTTCACTAAATGAGTTGGCATAGGATCCAAACGACAAGACTTGGAAATAGAGTTCTTAATCAGTTTTCTCACCTGTGTTTGCGTAACAGGCTCAAATTGCTGGAACTCACAATCACATGAAAGGGTTTCTTCAGGGAGATTTGAAGGGGGAAATGTTGTCACAATCTTTCGAATTTTATCAAGGAAGAACTCTCCAAAATCATTCGCTAATTCCTCGTCCGAACTGCGATCAGGAAAAACTGAGTCAGTTTTGGGAATGGTGAGCTTACTAACCAGCTTGAAGAGCTGCTTGGTGTCGCACTCTTTAATCTCAGTCGTCATGTACTCCTGGCTCCATCAAGAATGAGATCGTAAACCTCACACTGTTGTTTGTACAGCTGGCGATTTATTTCAATGTTCGATTTAATCATTTTACGTTCAGCGCGACGTCTCAGGCGCTTGGATTCTTTGACAGATTCTGTGTACCATGGAGCATGGGGCCGCAACGAAACAAGATGTGACTGTACCGGCGCATGTTTGTCCAGGAGTTGCCTCAGGGTAGTATTGTACTCTTCGACCGCTTCCGAAGGGCACCGGGTAGATAATGAACACAGAGAACCGTCCTTAATATCCTCCCTCAGTATGTTCAAATTAATGTTACGAAGCTTTCTGCAAGTGATGAGTTTCTTTTCAGGAGGGGGGCGTCCTAGATTAAGTGGACAGATGAGTGCATGGTGGTCTGAAGGGAGCCCACTCACTTTGTCCACAGTGTTGACCAGGTTATCAATTTTCCGAGAAATAATCAAACCTAGAATGTGTCCCGCTTGTTGAGTTGCCACAGTAACATGTTGCTGGAGACCAGCAGAGTCCAGCATCTCTACGAAGTTCATTGCGTCTTTGTTGCGTTTATTATCCACATGTATGTTGAAATCGCCGACAAGTAATTGAGCAATATCATTTACAGTTACTAGTTCAAGAAGAGACGAAAACTCGTTTACAAACAATCTATATGTCAGTGTGTTCTTGGAAGAAGGAGGTGGTCTATAGACGGCATGTATTCTAATTACAGCACGCTGTGAAGCATGGACAGTCAGATCCACATGTTCAAACGAGTTAAAAGTGGGGAAATCGTTGTTCAAAGAGACATTAAGAGCAGAACGATGGATGATACAGATTCCCCCACCAGATCCAGTGCGACGTGCCTTGTGGACAATCACATAGTTGGGTAATGTGTAGTTAATGTTCGCAATGGTGTGGTTGTCTTGTGAATCACCCTTTAACCAGGACTCAGTAATGACAAGTAAATCAAGGTTCTTTTCGAGGATGAGATCACAGATAGATACTACTTTGTTATTCATGGATCTAGCATTCCAAAGACCCAAACTTAACGGTGGATCAAAACAGGAAATAGTTGCAGGATGTCGCCCTTGGTTGCGGCGTCTGCATACATCAATCAAGTTGGTGAGATCCCGATGACGAGGAAAATCTGCGCATAAAGTATGAGAAGGCTGTTTATATGAATTCCTGTCAGTAGTGATAGTAGGGATATTAGATTCAATGCAGTGTGCGAAAACTGGAGGATGAATCTGTTGACGCTTGGACCCTCTGGCCTTTTTTTCCTTCTCGACGCGTCCGCTTTCTATACGAAATACCAAGGGAAGTAAGATTTCTCCACTGGATAGGGGGCAGCCAATGAGGGCATGTTTTAGTCCGATTACAGTTGTACAACTGTTCTCTGGTGTAAGTGACACGTTGTCTTGACGGTGACCCATAACTATCTCTGCATATATCATCGGCAGGCCCAGGATTAGGATTAATGTCACCATCCAGTAAAATGGAGATTTGGAAGGAAGCCTCCGAATTCGGGTAGTAGCTGATGGGACCCCCCAATAATTTCCTTGCAGGTTTTGATGATAGAGAATTCAGCCTACCTTCATGTGGGTATAAGTTGCCGGTTATACTGTGATTAGGCAAAGTAGAATGTTGAGATACACTGTATATATATATCTATTCAGCAAGTAAAGTCCAAGAAGAAACACAAAGGTAGGACGCTTGACCAATGCCATTGTCCCAAGAGGCTGGTATTGTTCATAACAATAGGAACAGCAAGAATGGTATTCAGGCTTGGGTGATCATCAATAGGATGTGTGCATGAAGCAGTTTCAATATGGCTGCACTTGGCTCCAAATACATAGATAGCAAAGCAAAAACTTGAAAGTCTAGAACCTCTCATCAAGTTGCACTAAGTCCTTCAAAAATTGTCCAAAGTGATCCAGAGGGTAAACTTGGTAGATGTGTATGTTTATAGACACACCAATATCCACTCTAACCTCACAAATAAAGCATAAAAGTGGAGAGGAGAGGAGCTGCTCACATGCTGAACGCTCACTCTTACATGAAAAAACATAGTTATTTACAGATGATTCTGTAAACTGTATTTAATAACATAATATTAATGAACAATCTCAAATTTACATGTGTGTGCACTGCAAATTCGTTGAGTAACGACTTTACACAACATTGAATTGTTTACTCCTTAAACACGGGTTGTGTTAAGTCGTGTAATAAAACATTACACAACTTTACACCCTGCAACATCTTTGGTGATCTCCTTCTCAATATTGATTTACTGGTCGAGTTACATTATTTGCTGGCCTTTTAGAATAGCCAGATTTCAGAGGATTCACACTTTTCACAACGAAAAACTTCTCCATGTTTCAGTCCTTGCGCGATCGTCTCCAGCTCCAGCAGATATTGGGCGTCAGCGTGCACACCGGTACTACCGGCGCAGTATAGCCACTGCTGAGGGCCGCACTAGCTGCACTGCGAGCTTCCGTTGTTTGTATCGGTAATACTCATAGAGATGGGAGAGAAAGCGCCATCTAAATTCCATTTCATTGGTTTAAGGTTTGAAAATTGATACTCAATATTGTGTTAAAGTTATATCAGAAAAGATAATCTTTATTTTATAATTCCACGGGGGCGATTTTTAATTTTTCAATCGCCCCCGTAAGCAACCTGACGGGGGCGATTGTGGAGCTCACGGGGGCGAATCGCCCATCGCCCCCGTGTATTTTGAGCGCTGCTCACACTCTTGTCTTGTTCTATTGTGTAGCTACCCTGAGGCGATCCAGCCGTCGGCCGACAAGGAGTCTTCAGAACGACGCTGTGGCAATGGCAACAGTAGCAAGGAACATTCTAGATGAACCTGTACCAGAACTAGTGGTTGATCATGACAGACTCAAGGTAAGTGTAGTCCCAGTTCTTTAAAGCCCACCTTTACTAGTTTACAGGAGGGATTAGACCACCCTGCAAGGTCACTGACAGGTGGTTATCTCATTAAATCTAAGAAAAGGAGGATCATGGGGGACCAAGGGTCACCGATTAGGCATTGTTTGGTATATAGAGGGCGCAAGTAGCTATAAGTAGACAGTGGGGCTTTAAAGGGAGTGGATCGTCAGTTTCCATGTGCACTAGGCCATTATTCGCTGAAACCAAACTTTGCGGAAACACCATTGTGTGTCCAAGTCTGCACACAGCAAACCTGTAGGCCTATCAAGAAATATCCCCTAGGCTCTCAGAGAGTCTTCAGGTGAGGGACAAGTGAAATCAGGACTTAACCAAATGGGGGAATGCAAGCCTGTTGGAAGACTAATTTTGGTGATTGACAACTCGTGCTATTGGGTAAACACCCAATGGGTGTCAAATTCCCCATGAGTGCCCACTCACTTTAAATCTTTGGAGGGATTTGCTGCCCTCACTAAAGAGTGGGTTAAATAGATAATTGTTTTTCAGGAGCAAAATTAGAGGAACAGATAAGTTGTTCAGAAAGGGCACTACCGCTTATATTCAACAGTTGATTTATAATTTCAACATGAAAAAAAAAATCTATATCCACTAACATGGACTTTATACTTTTTCCATTCATCCTTATGGGATAACCTCTTGACTCTTTTGACTTTGAGAGGTCAAAAATGGATAAATATTTATTTCCAAATATTTTTAAAAAAATCTGGTGTATAAATCTATCAAAAATTATTTAGTCTCATCGTATAACAATAATCATGTCTTGATATTTCCTCATAAATCTCTAGTTTAGAATATGTCCACCTAAACTTTTCCCATTAACATTTTCATTCTTTCTTTGTATTCTTTCTATTCAGCGACTGTTGGAGAGCGTAACCCTAGCAACAACAAACTTCAACATTGAGAAGCTGGAGCGAATGTACAGCGTACTTAGTCACCATGTCTACCGACACAGAATGGATTACGACAAGACAGAGCTTATTCAGGATATGGAGCAGGAGGTGATGAATATCACAGTTCACCCGCTCGACTAGGAGACTTTGTTTAGAAGACATCACCTTCTGGGAGGCAACGTCTAAGAGATGCCATCTAGGAGACATTGACTAGAAGACATCACCTTCTGGGAGACAACGTCTAAGAGATGCCATCTAGGAGACATTGTCTCTGAGACATCACCTTCTGGGAGACAACGTCTAAGAGATGCCATCTAGGAGACATTGTCTCTGAGACATCACCTTCTGGGAGACAACGTCTAAGAGATGCCATCTAGGAGACATTACCTAGAAGACATAATCTTCTGGGAGGCAACCTCTAAGCGATGCCATCTAGGAGATGCCGTCTAGGAGACATCATCTAAGAGACAACGTCTAGGAGATACTGTCTAGGAGACATCACCTTGTAGAGACCATCTGGTAGGCAACATCTAAGAGATGCCATCTAGGAGACATTGCCTAGAAGACATCATCTTGGAGACACTGTCTGGGAGGCAACGTCTAAGAGATGTCGCCTAGGAGACATCACCTTGTAGACTCCATCTGGGAGGCAACATCTAAGAGATGGCATGTAGGAGATGTCATCTAGAACTGTAAGGTCCCTCTGAAGACTGATTCACGGTTGATACTTCTGTGAGACAACGTTTAAGAGATGCCGTGTAGGAGACACTGTCTCTGAGACATCTAGAACTAGAAGACCCCTTTTGACGACTGATTCACGTAGACACTTTCACCTTGCAGTACATGGATGTCTGAATGAATGATGATTGTTTGAATGATGTTGGCAGACTGGCCAAGCCGACACAATTTGATATGCTTTGTGTTTGTTGACACAAAATTGTGCTGAATGGAACGGTCCCAGGAAATCTTTAAAAAGATTGATTCAACCAATACCAAGGTTATTCGCACATTCTTCTTATTTTCTTTAAAGAAATATTTGCAAAACCATCATTCTATTTTTTCCTATTTATAAAGAACTGAATGTCACATTTTATTTTTGCAAACTTTATGAAACAGATGTACTTCTGATTTCAATTTCTCATATGCAACAATAATAATCCCCCTTCGTTTTCTGTAAATGTATGAATATCAAACCTCATTTATAATGACAATTTATTAATGGAATATATGATTGTTTTGTGTGTATTACAACATTGTCATAAAAAGCAGTTTACCATGAAAGTCCGTTTTGTTAAGAACAATTCTGTTGAGAATTATTTTACAAAGAAAAAAATGTACTGCCATGACTTTGCAAGTTTATTATGAGCCCAGAAAGATTTGTCTTGTAGCATAAAGCCATAAATATATAATTATGATTTGTCCAGATAGAATACCAACGGATGGTACACAAAGAAAGTGCAACCTGAAAAAGTGTGTGTTTTTTTCTTCTTTTTATGTGCAGTTAATTTTGAAATTTGAATGAATTTGAACAAAATGATTACTTATTTACTGTTTATACATGCTCATGTACATATGGTACATTCACTGTCTGTTAAAGCACTCCATTACCAAGGGGAATTCCCTGTTTGATCAGAGGGGATTCCCCCTGCTTGATGCTAGGGGAATTCCCCATTTGACTGTAGTGTCACATTTTTTGTGTGTACAGGGTATCATAAGGTGTTGCATTTATTTATTGTCTCTTTTGTTTGTGCCACGAGTGCAAAAATAATCGGTCATTCACGTTATATTGGTCTCGCAAACTGATATGTGGACACTTGAAAATAGTATGACCTTTGTTGATTATTGAAAGATTATTGAAAAACAAAAAGAATAGGATACTTTTAGGAGACAAATCTTAGGAACTATTGTCTGATGCATCGAAGTTATAGTATTTCAAACTATGACAGGTACTCGTGTGTGATACGATAGCACCTGTTTGTGAAGAACACAAACCTTGCTTTATGACAAGGAAACTTGCGGTTCTCTGTTGTTTGTAATCTGTTTTGGTCACTGATGTAAGAAGATTTCCGGTACACATTGTTTTTTTCTTAGTGGCAAGGAGATTGTAAGGTTACCATGTACCTTTCTGGCTCAACATGATTGGCAAAATGGTTGCTTTGGCCCAAGTTAATAGGTAGCTCAGGTACTTTATTTTTCTCAATATATTTCCTTCGATATGGAGCATGTGATATGCTCATTACCATCGTGCTGAATGGGCATTCAAGTGTCTCGCACCAGGTTAAATCGTCAACATCAAATGACGACATTCTACTTCAGATACAAAGAACCAACTTGAAAAGAATCTACCTCAGTACTGCTGCATCTTTTCCTCCATCTTTGTTTATTATGCCTGGTTTCTACAACGGCCATTCCTCACGACGGCCTACGGGGTGTACAGGGGGGTGTTTTACAAAGATCCTAAATTGAACTTATCTCCAAGTTAGACTTAACAATCATGGAAAGCCATTATCATCTTTGAAAATATTTGGTAAAATAAACCGTTGATTCAAATAATACATATTTTCTATTATCAAGGAGATTTCATGTTCTTGATGTGAAAAGTCTAAAAATACTTGAATTTCTGCTTTTGAATATATTTCATTTGAATGCTATAAATGGCTCTCCATAATTTAGAAGTCCAACTTATAGATAAGTTTGACTTAGGATCTTTGTGAAACACCCCCAGATCAAGTTCATAATGTGTCTTTTACACACTCTCTTGCTGCAAAAAGTTCAATTTAATGATGATTGTTTTACCTGCCTGCTCAGAATTGACAGACGGCTTCAAGTCCTCTCTGAGGGACTTGGTAGTAATGATGATTAATACCTTACCAAAGGGCACGAGTGCATTGACTTGGTTTTGAATCCGGGACCTCCCGGTTACGAGACCATTGTTATACCACTGAACCATCTGATTGTGTGTTACTTTTACTTACTCTGCAGTCATTGTTCATACAACTTTAATATCGAATGGCAAAGTGGACTTGCAAATCAATGTAATTATGATGATAATAATAGTTGGATTTATATAGCACCTTAGAACCAGAGGATAAAACAGGCTGTCACTTTGTCTAAGGACAAGTTTAGAATTGTAGAGGTGTGTTTTCAGATTTATATGTACCACTACCACTACCATCAAATTTTAAGTTAAGTTGTATTTTTTTAAATTACAATCTTTACCCTTCTGTATCTCAAATCTTCTCAAATCATTACCTCATTTACCTGCCCGTTCTCACTTCAGTTTAAGAAAGAATGTATTGTAGGTGTGATAGAATTTGTTCCATGCTTTGACTTTAATGATGAATATCTTCAAATGAATAAACATGAATGTTTCTGGTTTGACCAAAACTCTTTAGTTTGACTACTAACAAATGAAATTCAGTACAATCCATGCAACGAATAGATCATAAGTTTTTATGGTTTTCAATTCTAATGTCAATACTAGTTATCAACATTTTTGCATGCTATGAAAGTCACTTTATCTTCTTGTTTGATGGTTGCATATTCAAATGATGGAAAAAATAGTTGCAATGATAATGATTCTTGTTGATAAATGCCACTTTTCGGCAAATACTTCAGATGTTTTTTTCGAAAATTGTTTACATTTGCACAAATAGTTTGTGATTATACATTGTACTGTTCCAAACATTTCAGAAATTACTTGTACATTTGTGATTGAAGAGTATTTAATACATCCTAAAAAGTTTTTACATAACTGATTTCTGGAAATTCTATTTTGGTAAAATGGATATTTAATGCTATCTATTTGTTGTACTGTTACAGTAAATTATAGGATATTAATATAAATAGAAAAATAATTTATTCCGTGCATCGGTACAGTTTTTCCTCTTTATTCATAGTTTTGGTGCAGGGCAAATTATATAGTACTTTATTCCATGTGTATTTTATGTTAAGGATAATTAAGAGTTACTAATCAGTAAATGTGAACGAAGCTCACACTAATTACATGGTTGTAAAAAAGTCAATCTTTTCGTTGGTTCCTTTGTTTTTTCTTCCACATAATCTAACACGATGTGCTAGGGTAGTTTGAATAAATTACACAATTTGCACTATATTTTGACTCTATAAGTTAGCTATGCCTACAGTAATATGTTCATAGATAGATGTAATTTAACATTTACATAACACCCTTTCGTTATTTTTTGTATTTTGCAAAATGGAGTTCACTTAAAAGTAAAAGTGCTAGTGTGTGAAGGGCGGAATTGTCTTTTTTATAAATATAGTTTTCATCATTCAGTTTCTAATATGATATGGAAAGTAGAAGCTGATATTTCAGTTCATGAAGTACGAACATCAGCTCCATGTTGCAACGTATGCATCAAAGGATGATTGTCAATATTGTATCTTAAAAGAAGGAATATTTATTGCTAGAATTGAGTCTATGGATGAACATTATTGATGATTAAGTCCTTAGGTTCAGGTTTGAAATCATCTTTTTTTAACCCACAAACCTTCCAAAGTCCAAAATGATCCAACTTAAGTAATAACCAAATGTTGTGTCTCATCATGCTGCAATCTTATGCAATTTTGTTATCCGTCATTTTCTCAGTCAGACTTGAAGTGTTTCTACATTTGAACTCAATTAATTATACATTGTATGTCAGTCCTACCTGTAAACCGTTTTACTGAAGAAGTATTCATTGTACAGTATGTCATGTACAGTATGTCATGTTGTAGTCCTACATTCAAACCGTTTTACTGGGGTTGCTATCTGTAGTAACAGTGCCCTGAATCATTCCATTTTCATATTGTATTACAAAAAACAGTTACATGTTCATAGTTGTACTATGAAGAGGATGAATTTAAGTTTGATGAGATGAATAGGAGTTACTTGTTAATGTCAGTCTTCGAAGGACAATAATAAAACTCCCTAGGTTCCTGGTTTTGTAATTGAAAAAGGACAGTACATGTACAAGAAATGGGGTTTTTAGCAAAAGAATTTAGCTTATTGGTAAAATGCCATCTATTTGAATATACAGGTAAAACTATCTTTAGTGCAAACTACAAAATTGACCCAATATTTGATATTAGCTTGGAAGAAGTCGTGAATGCATTGTGTACCGGTAGTCAAACGCATGTAATTGTGTATGAACATGTAGGTTATATAAAAAAAAATCAGCCATTTTTATATCTTGACTATTGTCACGTTTTCAATATATTTACATATTATAGTGACTCAACTGCCCCCAAACCACCAAAATGGTGGGGGTAGAATTCAATTTTATCAGGGGGGGGGGGGGGGGAGGGTTCAGTTGAAATTATCTCTAAGTTGGACTTTACAGTTAGGATACAAATATTTTGTAAAAGTTATTTTATAAGGCATTAAATGTTGATCCATAATGTTTTAAGTTCGACTTAGGATCTTTGTGCAACACCCCCTGGTCATGTAAGCGTTAGTTATTGTCCTTGGTCAATCGACACATTGATGCTAAGTTCCAGGTACTACGACATACATGTATTTTCATGAGATGAAACAAAGGTCCTGTGATCCCCAAATCTTACTTGGCTATTTACAATAAATCTGAGCAAAGATTCCAAAAAGTTAGCTAAACCCAAGGCTCTTGTCTAAGATGTGGTTATGAGTAGACATATTATAAGACCAAACTTGTTGGAGTGGGAGGTTAGAAAATACTTGATTTGAATTGTTATGTCTTTTGTATTATATATGATTTTCATTTTAGTTGGGTGTTATTTGAAAAGTGAATTGACAAGAAGAATTTCTGTACAAAGTGAATTTGTGTGAACGAAAAGACATTGAAAAAAAATTACAGATAACATTTGAAATGAATAAAAAGGTTTTTGCCTTATGAATTTGCCTGTCGCTCTGTATATTTTTTTCTGTACATGTACGTTTGTTTATTTTAAGGCTCTCATTTTTTACTCCAATAGATGATTACATGAAATGTGTCCCATACGCCGTACGGTTAACAACATAATTATGGTACTGTATTTATGCTCCTTGTAAATATGATGTTTTTTGTGTTTTTCATAACTCAAGATTAAAAGGAGGAATTGGGGGCTTTGTTGGATACGTTTAGATGTATTCATAGCTTTAATATGCCTCATTCTCAAGAAACATAAATCGGGACAAATACATTTTTTACATACAGAAAAATTACAAAACTTGGTAAGGGTATGAATAATTAAGTTAACTGTATATCTGTTTTTCATGTACTTCACCCAAAAATGAAAAATAAATGCTCATATCTAAAGAGAAGTACACTATTAAATTGACTTGGTAACATTGCCTCAGATTCTGAAACAAAATCCTGGATTTAGCTCATGCTGCAGTCATAATTATCAGGGGTGATAGTGAGCACTAAAAAAAAAATAGGTTTTTTGTTTTCCCCTCAACCACGCCCCCCTTGAGTAAAAAAAAAAAAGAAGAGGATTCGCAGGGGAAGAATGGCATCTAACAACATTCCCCCCTTTCGAGTTAGAAAATCGGGGAAAAAGAAAAAAAAATTGGGAAACCGATTTAAATCGGGGTTTTTATCAGGCCTGAATTATAAACCTTTTGGTCAGTCAGGAATAGTCTGTCTGATTATCAAGATATTTATGATTGTAAATCGAAATTTTATTTTTCGTTTTCCTACCACTATTTATAACACTAGTCTATTGGGGAAATGAGTACGGTAAAAACCGGTAACTCAAAGATTTTCCCTTTTTTTGAGGCACTTCATGATCATTTTAAAGCTCAATTTTTTTAGGGCTTCAATATTACACCATATCACACACACTGATGAACGATGCCTTTAATGGTAAAATCACGCTTAGCATTCATTTCTTAACAACAAAAAGTATCATGGAACAGCTTTGAACAGACGACAAACAGATATTCCATTTTAGTTAACATATCAAGATGCTATTTGTTTTTTATTAGCCACAAAAAATAAGAACAAAAAGGGGAGGGGTATGGATACAAAAAGAGGAGATACAAATATATTAAACCAGTTTTTAAGTAGTAACAAAAAAGAGGGAAAATCTAAGATACATAGATGAACTCAACATAATCATAAGACGGTATTTCTTTAAGAAAACACATCTAAAAACAAAAAGGGATAATTCCTTCGACTACATTTTACTCAAAAAAGGGTAGGTGACATTTTCCCATTTTCCACAAGAAAACAGTAGTTTTTTAAATCTTTATATCCCCGGTAGCAAATCAACGTCTTGTATTCAGAATTATCTTTTGGTTAGAAAACTATTGATTTTATGATTTTTATTTAGCCACACAGGCAAATTCTCCATATTTTCTGATCCTTTGAAAACTGAAGACCCCACTGAAATGCGGAAATTATAAAACTTTTTTTCTTTACATTCCACTGAAAACCCAAACCATGATCGGGGCTCGACAAGATAAGGCGCCCGGGACACATAGGTGCCAAAATGTTAAGCCTGGACACCCAACAGTGTGAAGTTTTTATATAGGGCTCATGTTTACAGACTGTTCAAAAGTTCACTGAATTCAGACCTCCTCCGAGCACTGCCATAACAAACAACATTTTCAAAAATATAAACTTTCAGCAGCATTTCTCAGTACCTGCCCAAGATAACTATGTGAGGCAAAGCAACCTCGTTGGTCTGTCGTTCATTTAAATTCCTGTCATTCAGATGTAAATCTAAATTTCTTTCATCCAGAATATATTCCTTGGACGGATCTTTCACTCAATACAGTTACATGAGAAATTGGTGGTAATTCAGGCAAATCGTCTTTTACTTTTAATACTTGGCAAGTACATCGTACCCTTCTCTGATGTGCTTGTCCACCAACAACAAAAAAGAGTTATCTGCAGAAACTCACTTATTTTCTAGGATATGATTTAGATTTTGAACCTTGGCTTAATGTCATTTGTGGAAGCATTTTACGTGCAGCTGTGCCTCTAGACCCAGGTGCAGATAGGACGTGCCATTGATGTGAACACTAAATTGGAAGCCAATGTAGGGCACTATTGGAGTACCTCCAGTGCAAGAACATGGCAAATATCAGTGCTACCAAGGAAAATAATTATCATTACTATTGACTTCATGTCAGTTTAAAAGTGATGTTTCTTTAATAGCAATAACTAATACAGGCGTAATTTAATAGACCCTGTATTTTGTCTGTTCTACAAAAGGATTTGTTATTCATTTCAATTCAATTTTCAGTTTCACCATCCATGAACATCTACATGTAAAGCACCATGTTGTTGTTGTTGTTGTTTGGTTGTTGTCCAAACTTCAAGCACCATGCGGCCCTAAAATGGGAGGGGGGGGGGGGGGAGCTATTGGTATTTAAAAAAATTTCCATTATGCTTCACAATTATGGTATTATACCTTATGCAACGTTATTAAATGAATCACTTCTTTTTTTAGTTAAATCAATGTAAGCAAAAATCTATATTTCTATATAAAGCAGGAGAAAAACAAAATTCTTTATAATTTCAGAACCAAAGTTCTTTGTCAACAGCTTGTAGAAAAAAGATTAAATGATATATGATGCAAGATTCTTAACTAGGCAATTAAACACACTTGTTTCATAATTAATAATTATGTAAATTACTCTACTACAGTGCTATATAAAACAATTGTAAGCTTTTTTTCCTTTACCAAACAGATATATATTGTTCCACAAAACACATCAAACTATTGATTTTAGAGATATATCACGTATGCAATTCTACTTTATCATAAATGCTTTTTGCAATAAACATAAAAACCACACTTTTACACTTTAATAAGAATTATTCTTACTTACTTATTATATGAGATTACTTACTGATTACCATATTTTCTTGCTACGAGTTGCGTGCATGCAAAAATTTGTTTAAATGCTTTGATGAAGATTAGTAAGATAGGCATGAAGTGATTTATAAACAAACATCAAATTGTCTTGTAAGAAACTACGTGTAATTGACACATTAAACATTTTTCCCTTTACTTAATACGACTTATAATTCAATAACAAAAGTCTACAGGTGATTAATAAGCTTGTGATTTACATGGAAGCATACAAATGGCCATTTTCTACTTTAAACAATCATATCTTATATATCTTTTTTTGCTCTTAATGATTTATACAATTTAGTAATAAACAATACATATCTACTAATTTACCTTTATATTTACTATTTTACTTATATATAACCATGCATTCTCCACGCCCCAATTCAGCCTAGCGCTTTGTCAATATTGTTTTAGTTTCTTTTGTATGCAGATTCTCACGTGTATATTGTGAGTACGGTAACAATTCTGCCAAAATATTAGATGTGTATGTTTACATTTCCATCAGCAAAAACATATCTTTCTACTTATTAACTAGATGTGAAGCATTCAATCACTGAGAGCCAGGGATTTAGATTTGTTTCAATCACAAACCGGATTGAAAGATGCACTTTAAATGGAAGAAAAAGGGGATTTTCACATAATTTGACTCAATGTAGTTTTGGTTAGTTCTTTCAAGATTATCAAATGTGCAAAGCATATCTCTGGTTTGTCATTTTTATCAGAAAGATCCTTTTTTAAAGTCAATAACTGCTGTAACATCGGACAATCGAAAGTAAAACATTGCTTTTATTCCTAGGTAGTGAGCACCAAGATACTTATCCTCCATAGTTTTTTTTATCTTCTTTTGACACTTTATTTAAACTCAATTGCTTTTTTACCCTATCTAAAGAGAAAAAAAAATCAAGAAAAGACTTTATAGCAAAAACACAAAACAGGAATATAACACATTGCCTTTTAAAGGCTAGGGGGAAACAAGTGGCAGTGACTTCGCTCATATTTCACAAGAGACGTGAGCATATTTTTGGTTTAGATTTCTGTACAAAAATAAACAAGAATAGTGCTTCTCTCTCACACGAATGAACAACACGTTTTGACAAGAAACTGCCCAACAATGAATGAGGGCAACAATCAACAAAAAAGTAGAAAAATAGACTCTTTCTTCATGAAAGTTGTGGCATTTACATTTTTTTTCTTCCCTTCATGAAATCGTGGAGTACATGTACAACCAGTAATGCACAGGTGATGGCAGCTCTATATTGGAAAACTACATGTATGGTAAGAGCTATCAAAACTACTTTTCATTTCAATAGCTAAAAACATGAGAGGAATGCTGGTTTTGCTGATGCAGAGAGTCTGTGTTTGATGTGCAATCTTGTCTTTATTGAATGGGTTCACTCATGCACGACTGTGATTTATTCCGTACATCGGGCCTCTTGCCAAGAAATTCATAACGTGTGACGCGATACTTGCGCCAAATAAATTGCAAGTGCTCAGTGTAGAAGGGGGTACTAGCCACCTAGCAGGATATGGAGGGAACACAATGCTCTGATGGTGCGACCTGCCGGCTCAATGTGCCGCAGCGAAAATGCAGAAAAAAGCAAATGGTAACAGTGATTATATATTTTGCTCTGTTTTGTTTTCTGGGCTGTCTTGAAGAATTTTGAAGCGCAAATATATCGAAGTTGAGTTGAATTTCATGATTAAACCCTTGTTTATCTTATGGATATCGGAACTTCCTTTCGCCTTGAAGAATTTGGAAACGCAAATGGCACTGAGAGTCATGCCGCACATCACGTCAAACGCAGACTTTCTACATCTAGTAACCAGCTCTTATAGGCGACAATAAAATGGAATGAATAGGAACAATAACTAGAACAGTGTTATTTTTATATAAATTTATTTTTCCCAATGTTTATTTTTTACTCGAACGCTGCAAACCCTACTCATTTTGCAACACCTCAGTCACACCTACGAGACCAACACCATACTGGCGAAAGACCGAAAACATCACGGAATGGCCAAGGATGGGTCTGTTTGGAGTCAGTTTTACTGTGCGACTGTGGTTTAATCATGTTTTATTTCAATAAAAGGGTCTGCATCATTCCAGGAAGAGTAAAGAAATGTCAAAAAGGGCTTTTCCAACTCCTGTTCCTCTTCAATCAGATTGTTCTTATTCACTCCATTTTATGGTACAAATTCTCTGCAATTGAGCAAACATGAGTTTTACAATGTGTATGGCATTCGGGGAGGGAAGGGGAACGGGGATGCTGGGAGAGAACAGTTTGGTACAAATGGAAACGATGCAAAAAAAAGAGAGAAAGGAATAGAGAGACGAGGAGAGAGAGAGAGAGAGAGGGAGGGAGGGAGGGGGAGAGAGAGAGAGAGAGAGACAGAGAGAGAGATAGCGACACAGGCATACAACCACTTTCTCAAGAGTCTGTCACTCATGTTAAAACTATCAAATATATCACAAGTTTTTATCCTGTGCTAAAGAATATATTACTATACGATTGGGACAAACTCAGTATGCCTTTAAACACAAATGCTTTTCTCTGGAAGAGACACAAATGCTTTTCTCTGGAAGAGACACAAATGCTTTTCTCTGGAAGAGACACAAATGCTTTTCTCTGGAAGAGACACAAATGCTTTTCTCTGGAAGAGACACAAATGCTTTTCTCTGGAAGAGATACAAATGCTTTTCTCTGGAAGAGATACAAATGCTTTTCTCTGGAAGAGACACAAATGCTTTTCTCTGGAAGAGACACAAATGCTTTTCTCTGGAAGAGACACAAATGCTTTTCTCTGGAAGAGACACAAATGCTTTTCTCTGGAAGAGACACAAATGCTTTTCTCTGGAAGAGACACAAATGCTTTTCTCTGGAAGAGATACATATGCTTTTCTCTGGAAGAGACACAAATGCTTTTCTTTGGAAGAAAGGTAGTAGGCTAAGTAAATATAGATTGGTAAGTTTTTTCAACAAAAAAGTGCATAAGGCCTCTGTAGCCTATGCCCCTACCTACATTTTTGTTTCTGTCTCTCTCTCTCTCTCTAATTTGATCATTATCTCTCCAATTCTCTCTCTATCTCTCTGTGAGTTCAGCACAAAAAGAGGTCTGTCACAGCACAAGAGGCATAGACACCGAACCGTCAGCCTATTAAAGCGTAAGAAGGACGGCTAGGCAAGTTGAAAGTGCGAGAAAATGAGCTATGAGGGATAGAAGGGAAATCTGGGGCCTGTTTCACAAAACTTGTTATCTATAACAACTGCTAATTTCAATGACAAATTTGCTCTCAGCCAATCAGATGCCATGATTTCAGTAGCTTTAATATAACAGTAGCTTGTAACTTGTTATTGATAACAAGTTTTATGAAACAGGGCCCTGGTCTGATGAAGAGATCAGCCTACTTAATAGGCGACTCATGATTCCAAAAAAAAAAAACTCTCTCTCTCTCTTTAAACCTCATCAATCAAACAAGACTTGGGACTACAAAATAATTGTTTGTGTTTTTTCATACACGGGCACTGGACAAGAACATCATATAATATTCAATGTGGACAAAAAAGACACAAAAAGAGAAAATAAATAGAGAAACAAATAGGTATAAAACAGGAGGGAGGACCGTGATAAACAAGGTGAAACTAAAAGGGTACAGGTACATGCATTCCAATGTGGCAAGTGTTACGTCTGGTAAGAGCTTCATAAAATACTGATATTCTACACAACTCATCGTCCCCCAAATCTGACCTCTTGACCTTGTCCATCTCCAGGTTCAAAGTTCATATCCTTTCGAGTGTCTCGTGGAGGTCAGAAAATGTGATGTATGTCACGTTGCTTGCCGACTCCAAAGTCTGGGTGGACCCTTGGCCATTTGTACGCTGAGTGACCGTACAACATTCCTTTCCAACACGACCCCACAAATTCGGGTCAATACACAAGTTGCATACTTTTCCGGTAGTAATTTTGTTTGAGAGAGTAATCGAGAAGTTTAGTACCGGTTGTATGGGTGTGTGCGTAATGTCTCTTTTTGGTGCATAGCTGATGGGTACTTCAGTCGCGTTTGTGCGCCCTCGCTTGGCCACGTCGACTCAGTCTCTGTAGCCCCTCCTGAATGATTAGAATGGCAAGGCAATTATTTAAAATGAGGTCATTATAAAGTTGGTTTATGATTTATGAGAACAAAGATTATCAGAAAAACACAACTTTTCTCTTCAACATAATATAAGATAATAAATAAGAAAATAATGGAGATGATATCTGAATACATGTTGTATAAAAAATCAAAAATAACACTTACATCCCCTAACTTCTTTTCTCTTTTTTTTCCAATCAGAACCAAGTTCTCACCCGAGTTTTTTCGAACTCATAATATGCTAAAATTGCAATGTTTTACATTTCAAACTAAATAACAAATATTCACAAAAAACTAAATTAAAATATTCACAAAAAAGTGAGTTATAAACATCAACAATAATAAGCACATGACACCTCACTACAGCGTATGTACTCTTCCTGTTCAATACAAGACACTGTTATAAAAAAAAATATGATTATCATAATGAGGAAAATAAGACAAATAAAAATAATCAAAAATACATGGTTTCAGTTTAACATACAATGTATACATACGCAATTAAGGAAAATTTACAGAAAATCTACATCTTCTGTATGCTCAACTCTGTTTTATTTGCCATGGATTAACACAAGGAACTGCCACAATGTTTCAAGTAAATTAATACTTGTACACTGTGTGTGTGTGTGTGTGTGACAAAAGTCGACTGTGGCAGTCTCCTCTTTGTTCCATTAATCGACCACAGCGGGCAAAGAGTTAATCAGTCGATTCCCAAGGTTGTAAAACAGCCATGGGAAAGATGCAGCGAAGAATGGTTTCGGGAAGCAAAGGGGTTAAAAAAAACGCTCACAGCCTTGTCACAGCCAAGGTTGACACTGTAAACGGACGTGTACGTGACATGACATGGAGTCGCACACAATAGGGGACAGAAGAAGACATTCGGAGAGAAAGAAGGAAGAGAAAAAGTTTGGAGAGACAGAATGCGAAGATCTCATTCCAAATAAATAGCAAGAAAAAGAGAAGGAACAAGAAGTAACTACTTTTCAGCTAGCTTGCATTTAAAATTGGTTTATTTTATATTCATGAAAAGTGTTTAGATGAGATTTACAAATACATTTATCTAGAAAATTAATGGGTGATCAATTCTAATTACTTGATTTTATCTAGTTTTGAAAAATCAAACTTCATGGTTCAGGGCAGAAATTTATGAAAATGTTTATCTCTTATTAATATTAAATACTTCTTATCTTTTAATGTAAACCAGTGTCAGTCAAGTTCATGAATTTGATGGAACACATTTATTTTCAGAAAACAATTGAAATGTTCTTTGAATTTTAGACCCCAGTCCCGTAAGATATGCAGAAGGCAAATCTTAATCCCAATGGGGAATCTTTTTAGAACAATCGTAGTGCAACGTGTGATTTTTTTTAATTTTTGTGTTCATACCAAACCCAAGATTTTGATCAACACTGGTTTATCTTACATAAAGTGATTTAAGATCAAAGTATGTTTTAAACCCTTTTAATTGCATGCTACTTTAATTGTTGAATTTTTTAGTGTGGCTCAAAATAATTATGATTTTAGGAGTTTACTTTTAAATAGTTATCTCCTAATTCTTAAGTTTAGATAATATATCATTCTTAATCAGACAAAAGTTAATTTTATGACTAAGAATGAATGGCAAAACTTGTTAAGTATAATTTTATGACTTAAAATGGGTTGTTAGTTAGTACATGTATGCAAGGTGGGATGGTTGAGGGTAAACAAATGACAATTAACAAAGCAGTGAACAGATGACAAACAAACTTTAAAATAAATATGGCGTGAATGTGGACATGTTGAAAACTATTAAAAAAATGAACAACACAAATGGTTAGGGGCAATGTAAACACATAAGTTTAAAGGGGTAGGGTGGGGTTAAGAAGGGGGGAGGGACGGGACTCGCTCTGTGGGTCCAGTTCTCGTGTGACATACCATAGCTATGTTCTGTAAACCCTTCGCCGGCGCCGAATTCTTGAAAGCCTGATGCTCCGCCGCTGTGTGAGGGGAGAAGGAGAGGAAGGGGAGCTAAGGGTCAAGTTTATTCCTATCATTTAGATTTAAAAAAATAATTATTCATTATTCTATTTATTATTTGATATTAAAGTTAAGGTGAGTTCTGGTCATCAGATTGCAATGTGAAAGAAAAGGTGTGGAATGGATCAGAAAAAAATTGATCATGTAGCATGTAAGTATTGGTGTGTACTGCGAAGTTTTGGAGTCATCAAAATCATGATAAATTTGGCCCAGTCTTGGTAAAGTAACAAGCACTGTACCCAGAAAGATGTATATGGGACTACACAAATGGTGTCGGGGCTACTAACCTTGATTTCCTAATCTTCCTATGCTCATTACTCAGCCAGTATACATTTTCTACCAAAATTGTTTGGCAAATGACATTTATTTGTAATCTTGAACATTCAGTGTAATTTTCGTTTGATTCTGTGAGAATTAATTTTCTTTTTTTTAACCAGAACTCACCTTTATCTTTAAGGACTGTTTAGTATAATATATTATATTTATTTCAGAGTATTTTAATTTGATATCAGAATAAGTGTTCTTCCATATTTGCAGATTTATTTTGAACTAATCATATTATTCAACATTTTATCTATAATATATCAGATTTATTTCAATGTATCCAATAGATTTAATAACAGATTAATTCTAAATATCATATTATGTCGAATAAGTTATCTTTATCTATAATATTCCAGATTTATTTCAATGTATCAAATATATTTAATAACAGATTAATTCTAAATATTATATTATGTCGACTAAGTTTTCATAAAAACACTTTATTAATCAATTGAAGTTTATTTATTTTGTTAGATCAGAAATATCTTATTGAGGTAGATGAATTTAATCACATAAGATTGGATTCATGAACAGGACAGAATTGTCATATTGTCATATTTCACCACTGACACGGTATGATGGATATCTTTCATCTTCATGAAATAAACTTACTTTTCCTGTCAAAATACAGTTTAGGTTTAAAAACAAAATTACTACCAGTTATTCAATAATTAATTAAATCATAACTTCATCTTCAAAATACAGATATTCGATCTTTCATAGTTTTTGCCCACACATGCTTATAATATGTGTAGATAAAGAGAGTCCGTATAAGGCTAAAAATATACAAATCTATTATATTTGCAATATCACTATAAACCAAACAGAATATGTGTCACTGGGTTTTACAGTTAAAATGAAGGCCACAAAATCAAGACTTTAATAAATGAAAATGGAAAATCAAAACAAAATCAGAAAAGAAGAATTTCAGCCCCAATCTGTATAAGCGTGAGAAGAATTGTTAAGTGAAAACAATCAATTCTATTTAAATATCTGTTAGCTATTTATGTAATTTAATCTCATTTCTGAATGCCACGATCAAATGTAAAGCATTGTAATGACATTTAGGTTACTACATTTAAGTTTTACCTCACAATTGTATTTTCTAAATAAAAAAGCAAACAAAACCTTACATTTATTAAACAGATATTATCCTTTTATCGGGATGATTTTCAATCTTTTATTAATTTCTGCGACCAAAAGCTGATAATATAGTCCTGTTAGTATGTTAGTTATCTCGAGATTATAATGTGAGATGTAAAACAAACAAGAAAACTGTGTGATTAAATCTTCATGACAGTAGATATAAAGCTGTTAGTGTTATTAATCCTGATGTACAGGTACTTCCAATGGCCTGGAAATGTACAAGTATAAGTTATTGCATGAATTCAAGATGATTGATCGTAATACATTCCTTCCCATGAAAACCAGAAGTAAAAAGTGTTATAATCAAATTATGATAGTATATTTGGAAAGGCATCTAATTGAGTTAAGGTTTAAACAGTTTAATTCAGATAATTCAAACAGAAAAGTTTCTGACATTAAGTTACCAATTTTAATATTTATCTGCTCCAACAATATTTACAAAACTTTAAATAGAAAGTTTTTTGGCATTGGCTTATCATGTTTTACGCAAATTATTAAATATAAGCTTGAAAGTATATAATATTTTTGTGATATTCATAGTTACTGCAAGTCAAATGACCAGGCATCCTTGAAGCCCAAACACTTGAACATAATATTTCATTATATTCAAGACTAGTTTAAGTATAAATGTTTAGAGGATTATTACATCTAGCCAATTTCAATACTTTACCACTACCGGTACTTTATTTTTTATGTTAACTGAACTTTAACAGGATTTATATGTCACTTAGATAAAAGTATTATCTGTGTTTACATTATAAAGACAGAAAAGTAAAGGTAAAAACTGCACACAAGAAAAAGAAAAAGAATGAAATAAATAAGTAAAAAAATATAAAGCGAGGTGCAATGGTGAGGGCTGTATTCCTGTTTGATTCAAAGTGGCTTGAATGAAGAAAGAAAAAAAATGACAAAAAATAGAATCTAGAAAATAAAATGAATCACATTAAAAACAACATCAATGAAAAAGCATTCATTTGTGGTGCACATCACCAAACCTAATGTGTGTGTATATATGAACAACTGACAAACAAAGTTGCACATTAATGAATTACACTAGATTCAAACACAAAAATTTGAAGAATACTGTACAAGTAGGCAGCATTAATATCAACTTGGAAATCAATAAAATAGAGATATCATCTGATGAGGACTAACAGGCATTAACATTATATGCATGTACATCAAGAAATATTTGAGTTGTCTGCTCCTACCGCTCTGCAGCCATAGACGATGTGTAGAAGAAACAAGCAGTTCCAAAACTTTTCAAGTGACATGAAGATTGCACAATATCTCTCAATCCAAAACTAAATGTTCAGTCAAATGTACAAATTTTGATACAAACCTAAATTAACCAAGATTTTCACAAAACAGGAATGCCACTTATATCCTTCTAGGCCACATCAGCAAGCCATTTTAAAAAGTGTTTCTCTTCATGACATCTATCACAGGTTTTATTGTAAACACCTGGGGTCTACATTATTTCACTAAACAGTACTTAGTGGAACGGGACTTTTACCAACGTCCTGTTGGTACTTTAGTTCCACTTGACCATTCTTTACTAAGTCCTGTCTGTGTCATGTCTTCCTGACTTTGAGTCTATAAAGCCAAATTTCGTGAACTCTGACCTTGTGAAGTTGAAAATATTTCTTTGCCATAAATTTTAGCCTGCAGCGAAAAAGTGAACGGAGGCTGAATTTTGTCATTTTAACATGATTTTGACTACTGTAGGAGAAAAATGGGGAAGGTATGTTATTAACCTTTTTCTGACAACATAGAAGTAAAATATTGAAAGTGAAATGTATCTAGTGAAAATTTGTGATGGAAGTTGTATTCGATCCTGAGACGAACCGCGACTATTAAATTGGCAGTGCACCATATACTGCCACACTATTCCTCATGCACTACCAAATGGGTACGAAAATCAACAAAACATTAATTTCACTCTTTAAATGCATTACAAATGTTGGTTTTATTGTTGACACTCTTGTTCAATTCACTTAAAAATTGAAATACAAATTTTATGTCTGGTAAACCTGGCTAGACTATTGTAGAAAATCATCACATGACATATACAGATAATATCCCCCCACCAAAAAAACTCTTCATTACAAACTCGACACCAACAAAACCAAACAACAAAAATCAGTGGCATGGAAATAAACAACAACACGTGCATCAACACCAATGCAGTGCAGTGTTTACGATATACCACAAAAGAGAAGCGTTTCTGTGTGGAAAAGAAAATTTGATGATATCATACACACTACAGCTCATTTCTAAAAAGGAGAAAAGGAGAGGAAAGGGTGGGGGGGGGGTGGACTTTAACAAAAAAAGTTACAAGGTATACTTACGTATTTGAATCCTCATACCCTTGGTAGTGTGATTGGTCATAGCCCCTTTCATACTGGAATAAAGGTCAAATGTCAAATGTTAAAGGTCAAATGTTAAAGACCATATCCGAACTGAAAAATGGAATGAATGTATCATATATCAATGGAAAGCTTATACCGGTAAGCCATAGATTACTTACAATAATATTGATTATACACCATTTTAGTGTCTGTCAGACGAGTGTCAGCTCTCTAAAAACTCAAAATATAAAGCTTTGAAAATCGGGAGATGTTGACCTAAAAACTTGCCATCGACTTGATGACATCATCTTATGTAGAGTATGCATATTCACAATGACTTTGCATTAAATGAGCACGGCTCATCGCCTCAGCCAAATACATCAATATGAACATGACGGACAAAGAAAGCGAACAAAATATACAGTTCCTCATTCTACCCTCAACAATTGATATGGTAGACAAAGGAACATCCCTTCACTGCTATTATGTAAAAATGTGTAGAACAGGTGAATATGCATGTGACACCTGTTCTACAGATTTTTACATAATAGCAATTCCTTTATCGACCATAGCAATTGTTGAGGGTAGAATGAGGAACTGTATATTTTGTCCGCTTTATTTGTCCATCATATTCATAGTGTCGATCGGGTCCACATGTTATGTCGTCACTGTAACTTCAGCAAATTTGACCCCTGTTGACTCGTAATTTGGAGGGGTGCGGAAAATGAGGTTTTAATTTGCTTTTGTGCAATAATGAAAGGGTAAATACTTGTTATTCCTTTATATTTGTATTCTACATTTATTAAGTTTTCCACTTATATCAAGTTGTATTTACATCGGACAAGGTCTTTATTAACATCCAAGACTTTACAGAAAATTATAAGGGTGCCATTTAAAGCCAATCCTACATATGTTTGAAAGGCCATGAGTAAGTAATAGTAATTCCCAGTTCCGATTCATGTTTTGTTTTGTTTTAAATAAAAGCTGAAGAAGGCCTATGAAATGGTACACTGAACTTGTAACAAACTGATGATAAAATCTCCCCCATTTTCCTGGCTGAATACAGGAATTAACCTTTATTTATAAGTTAGAAAAATGAATCTGCCTGCCACCCAGGTGTTAAATGAGAAACTGGTAAGCGCAAACATTAATGAGATTGGATGAGGATGTGCGTGCCTGTAAACAGGCGACAAGCTGGAATACTCTGAAGAGAAGTGGAAAGCGTGCACTGTAAAGAATTGTACTTTCATCCAGTGAACAGGGTCATAATAGTGTACATGAGCAATTTGGTGACTTACTTTAACTGGGGGTGTTTCACAAAGACTAAGATTGATTTTAAGTTGGACTTAACTATGGCAGGACGTTCATGCCACTAGTTGCTCTCACCATTGGTTTCTCAATTATAATCTTTACATAATATTTTTCCTTTCAATGATGAACTATCGAAAAGGTAAATTCTGTACATTTGTAACCACAATTTGTATATCTTGAGAAACCAATGCCAGGAATAGTACTTGGCATGAACAGCCTGCCATAGATAAGTCCAACTTAAGTCAATCTTAGTCTTTGTCAAACTCTCCACAGGTAAGGCACTACATGATCAACAGGTGCAAGTATCGAAGCATTGAAATGAATGCGAGTACCTCTCATACTCACATAGTCATCAGCACCTTCCATCTGTTGTGAATGTGATCCGTACGAGGGTGCGCTCATCCTGGGCCCACCTGCCCCTCCCCTGTACCCTGCTCTTGACATCCCTCTGGAGCTGCCACTTGATAGTGACCCCCTCTGGGTCATGCCGCCCCCTCTAGACATGCCACGCCCTGGTGGGCTACCCATCCTGTAACATAACCAATAGATATGTTATCAGCTCGAGATTGCCAAATAGCCCGCTATTTCTGATTTGAGAAATAAGTTACAAATCGCGTTGAGCTTGAGATGTCTTGTCCAGCGTTCGTGCATAGTGCGAAGTTTGGGCTGGTGAAGATATTTTGCCAAATAGCGGGATATTGTGCAAACTAGCCCAAGATGTCTTGGGATGATTATCTCAACCAAATATTCCGCTAATTGCAACTTCGGGTTGATGAATACGCGAATTAGCTGGATAATTTGCGATCGGGATAGTTAAAATAGCGGGTTATTTGGCAATCTCGAGCTGATGAGGACAGGCCTAAAAATGTACATGTAGTTACTAAGCAGCAAAAGTCAGCAGATAAGAGTTAAATACTCTACTAAACCACCACAAATTTGAAAAAATGTGAACATAAAAAAAAAATTCAAGTTAACTGCTAAAAAACTAAAAAAGTATGTGCATTGTTTATACCGGTATCTGGAAAGTCAAGAAGAGTCCACTAATACAGAAATAAGTGATATATTTAAATTATTTTCAAAAGTAGTTAACCTTTCATAAAAGCAAGATAGTTTTCTGCTGACATTTTAAGTATATTGCACATGAAAGGATGTTTTTACTCAAGAAATTATTAAAAGACTTATGTCGCACACACTATTTCAGTCATGACCATGACTAATGTTTTTGTTTTTAATACAACCTTTTATGGTTACAAGAGTGCACATGCGCAGACATGGGTGCCATTTTAAATTATGGGTAAACAACTTTGTTTACCCGTAATTTAAAATGTCACCTGTGTAAATATGATGTGAGCGCACAGCGCAGGAGGTGACGCAATAATACATGCGCATCTGAAAACATTGATGACGCAATGTTTACGCGCAAATTAAAATGGCGGCCTTAACCGTGTAAGGGTGTATTAAAGAATAACATGAACTATTTTGAAAAATCAAACCCATAAATCGCCTTTGGTGTTGCAAAAATCAACTACCCGGCATGTGCTTGGATTTTGCCAACATGCATAGTCCCACACAATGATTTTTGTGGTTGTAAAAGTAACTTACCTGGCTGGACTGGGCATGTGTCCCGTGGGTCTGACGGCATGTGGATGATGGCCCATCCCCCTCATGGGTGGGGGGCCGCCGCCCCATCCCACTCGACCCATTCCTGAGGGTCTAACACCACCACCACCCCTTGGTCCCCCCCTGGGACCGGGGGCGTTGGGAGGGGGGCCGGTGAAGGAACCACTGATGACGGCCAGTTCTCTCAGCTGCTCTTGGCGGATGGTGTCGTTGGGATCCTACAATTCAAACATTTGATAAAAATCAGTGACCAATCTACTGATAACCAATCAAAAGCAAGGATTTCACTAGCTTATTACAAAAACTGTGTATTGTAACTGATGACAGGTTTTGTTAAACACCCCCCAGAATTTCACTAATGACCTTGATGTTTCAGCTAAGTATACCTGAAGGTCGTTCATTCATCAAGATTTTTAATAAAAGCAAGGATGTGTTTCTGAAGATTGCTCCAATGGATAATTTGGTCCTAATCCAATAATTAGACAGAGAATGAAAATTCAAACTTATGATAAATATTAATTATTTGTGAGTCCTTCCCTGCAATGGGTTGCCAAGCCCAAAATTTCAACAATGAACTGGATGTTTCAGCAAAGAAAAAAAAATGTAGTTTTTTTTTAAAATATGCATTATTGACTTTAAAAAGTATAATGCAATAATGAAAGATAATGATCATATATACAAGAAAATCATTAAAAACCAAAAAAGGCCCGCACCAAGGCAAAGACGCGCTCATCCCGTGCAGGGCTCCAGTTTGAGTTAAACATTTAAACACTCAAGCCAGTGGCTGAACTTAATGAGCAAATTCATAAAATATGTTTAAAAATTTTCCCCAACATGACGAGAAGGAATTAATCAAGTTTCATTCTAATCCCTTTTACATGTTAAGAAATCTCCTTTAGATACAAACAAAATTGTAAGATAATTAATGGAGCTAGTTATTTCTGCACTTGTTTCTGCAACCCTGTCTGCTAAGCTATGGCAGACCATTGAAGTTTTATTCTGTCTTTGCTATTACCAGGACCCTGTCTTATAAAGAGTTGATATAAATCGCAACTTATTTTGCGATTGATATCAATCGCAACTATGTACATTTAGATATAGGAGATTGCAAACTTGCTACTGATTAGAGGACTTGCGATTCATTTGGATCAGTCGCAACTCTTTATTAGACGGGGCCCTAGACGAGTAGTCGAATGCTCGAGTACCCGCACTGTTGACAACTGCTCGAGTACGATTTCTCATACTCGAATATTCGGCCGCAAAAAAAAAATAATAAAAATAAAAATCCGGTCACCTGGTACTGTCCACGCTGACGCCTAGCCGAGTCAGGGAGAGCGCCGACCCCTGGCATGGTACCGTAGGTAAAAATGTTTCCCAACTCAATCACAGTCAAATGCACCACTCAGAAACTGGGACCAAATGTCCTGATTTCTGTTTGGACTCGGAGGAAAATGGATTATTCTGCCATCTTTGGTTTTTAAAACAGCATTGTTTACTGTTATTATTATTAAATCGGCACCTTCAACTGTAAATCGAAGTAAAATTGCATGCGTTTTTGGCGACAGAGTTGGGATACTGCTCCAGTGGTATGGTGGTGGCAAAAAACAAAAAAAATAAAAAAATAAAAAAATAAAAAAATAAAAAATTCAAAATTCAAAAAAATTATAAAAAAACATGGCGTCCGAATATTCAAGTTTTCGCTGGTAAGCCTGGGAGTGTACTCTGGTACCTCATTACACTGTTGTGCACAGCCTTACTCTTCACATACACTTTAGAGGATAAGTCCACTTCAAACATAATTAGCTTTAAATAGATGCAGAAAAACAAGAGAAACAGAGCATCTGATCTTGCTCAAACTCTTTTCGATTGGTTTGTCCGATTTTTCTGATTCTATTGAAAGCAAGTTATTTTTGGAGTGGACTTACCCTTTAAAGATATTTTGTTCTTTTTCTTCTTTCATTACTAAATACTCACTGGAACAAGGTATTTCTGTACTTCTGCAATACTGTGTGCTAATCTGTGGTAGGCCTCTGTGGGTGACCCTACAAGTTCGATCTGGACGTGAAGATCATCGGTGAGATGTGCATACTTTTGGTTGCTTTCTTCCCTCAGTTTGTCTTCCTACAGTATGGACAAGAGTTGAGATTGAGAAGGCATGAAATCATTTGCAACAGCTCTACTTCTTAACAAATTATCATTCCTACATGTATATAGCTGAGGCGATGAGCCATGCTTGATTAATTGCAAAGTCATTGTGACTAGCGTACTCCACAAGCGATGATGTCATCAATTTGATAGCTAGTTTTTAGGTTGACAACTCCCGATTTTCAAAGCTTTAGATTTCGACTTTTCAGAGAGCCGTTACTCGTTTGACAGGCACTAAAGTAGCATATAATTGGTGTTATTGCAATCTATGGCTAGTAAGCTTTCCTTTGATATATAATTCATCTATTTCATTTTTCATTTCCAACAGGGACTTCCAAGTACAATACCTATTATTGTTTAGATGCTTCAATAAAAGGCCCACACCTACCTTCTGTTTGTCTCTCATGGAGCCTTTACCTAAGATTGCTATCTTTGTACCCGTTATCTCCTGCAGTCTCTTCAATGAGTTCCCTCTCGGCCCAAGCAATTTACCTACAAAATTAAACTGTCAGAGAACAAAAATAACATAGTTATTAAGCAATGAAATGCTGTAATCATATAGAAATTTACCAACAAAAAGAAAATGTGAAATAAGAGAAATAATGTTGCGACTTACCAAAATAAAAATTGATAGGATAAAAAAGAAAAAATGCAGTAACATGAGCAATTTAAAAACAACCATTAAACTTTGTTCAGAACAAAAGAAATTACTTTACCTACACTCAGAATAAATAAACACTTGAAACATAGGAACCTAAATTCCAAAGAATAAATGACTAGAAGTTGGTTAGTTTACATATAAAGAGTACCAAATTGTGGCCAGTCAGTTTCGTTCATGATTTTGACTAATAAATGAGGAAAATTTGGAAGGACCAACCTTCGGATGCTCTTTAACAGGAATTAGAATCTTGACACGCAGTCTAATTGGCGCCGATGAGCTGACGTCGATCAATTTTGGATTAGTTTTGGGTTTATCTCCTCCACCATCTGCAGCATTCTCTTTTCTTTCTCCTCCATTCTCCACTCGCGTAATTTCTGGGGGGGGGGGAGGAATAAAGAGGATTACTGTTGCATGTTGTCTGTTGATAAACCTAGTTGGATTTATCTTTTAAAGGTAAAGACCAGTATTGGAAACGCCCAAAAAATAAAATGGAAGCTCTTATTACCAATCATGTGAAAGAATATGTTTTGAATAATACATAATGATAAAAATGTTGATGGGAAACCGCCTACTAATTGATATATTTGGTAAATTAGTGTATCTCTCGCCTGTTGAGAGATATAAATGCATGTGTCGCGCACGTGTGTGTAGTCCCATATCAGATATACATTTTTCTGTGTACAGTGATTCTAACTTCAAGAAGACTTGGCCAAATTTCTTATCATTTTGATGATTCCAGAACCTTGTAGTACATCTCAGGTCTATGCTAGATGATCAACCTTTTCTAATCGATTTCACAATGTTTCTTTCACTGTCTGCCCTAACCAAAAGAACCTTCTTATTATTTAATGCATCACTGTCATTTTTATACAATATCCACTCTGCTCGTGCTAATGCAATCGCTAATACATTTTCTACCTGACATGACAATCCTGCCTGCTATGACAAACTGCAGTACCCTGGTAGCTGCTGATCTCCGATAGAGCGGAGGAAGAAGAAGAAGAAGAAGGAGAAGAAGAATGCAATCGCATGACCATAACTGGTCTTTAGCTTTAAACAGGATAACTTGATAAAAGACAGTGATCAGTAGGGGCACTGGTACGAGAATAAGGATCCTCCGCATAAACGAGGGTATCCTCGTAAACCTGGACAAATCGCGCACTAAAATATAAGGATCATCCACATTTTCGCGGACGTCCTTTTTCTTCGAGCACTCTGCGGATGTAGGGTTCCCAATCCACGCGCTGGCAATGCAAAAAACGGATTCCGCTTATTAAAATACCCCCAGTTCACCGTCTACTTTTACGGGTTGGCCGTCTTCCCAAGGATTTATCGCTCTTAACGTGAAAGTCTCTGTTGAGTCTACAATACAAATTCAATGTGAAATGCATCAAGAAAATTATTGTGGAATCAGTTTTTTGCATGGCAAGTTTTGAGCCTCTTTAAAAATTTTAATCTTAGATACTCGGTCATAAGATCAAATAATCCAAGGACTTTATTCATGAATAAACATATACTATTTCGTGACTTATAAACTGTTCTATTAGTTCACTGACCGGATAGTCTATAGGCCTATCACAACTTTTCCCCTCCGTTTAGAGTTCATCGGAATAACATAAATATGACTGAGCTGAGATTGAGAAAAGGGATCTGACATTTCTAACGAAGAAATTTACCTTCTGTTAAAAGTCGTGTGGCATGTACAAATGACGCATCTAAACAGTCCCTCTCAGCCATTAGTTCCTTAAGAGTTTCATTTTCTTCTAATTTGGCGTCCATGCCTTCCATTTTGAGAGAAAAAGGTGTGATTAGTGGTGAATTTTCGCGGTTGCCGCACGAATATTACCCTGGACGGCAGGCTCGTTCAGTTTTACTATAATTAATAAAAATTGATATAATTTAAAACAATTATCAATCAACTTGAAAATGATTATCAAGCTTGTATATTTCAAATTAAAATGAAATATTATATTTAAATGCTTATAGATATATTATATTGTTGTGAATTTAACTTCTACAAAATATAAGAGAAATGCTAGATTGGCAACGTCAAGATCAGACAGCCATCCGTTTTGAAGTATTGTTACTTGTCACATTAAAATCACCCGACCGATTGCATTGCGGTACATTGCACATCTTTGTCTACACTAAAATCGGATAACAAGGAAGTTATGAATTTTTGAAAAAAATATGAAAAACTATGGACAATGGAGATCACTACACCACAAAATGCCAAGTTGGTTATCAGTCTGTGACGTCATTGCCTCACTATTCATCAAATTTATATATTTTTATCCCACAGCATTAATTTTTCCCTTTTTATCCCCCAAAACTTGATTTTCCCATGCCTTTGACAATGTTATGTTGCGTGCATGACATTTCACAAAATCTTTTATGAACTTTGAAGCTTACAGAGGCAGGGCGGATCTAGGGGGCACAGGGGGCACGTGCCCCCCCCCCCCCCAACAAAAAAAAATTAAAAAAATTAGTGCTCACTAATTGTTCTGCTTCTATTAAAAGTAAATAATAATTGGAATGGACTTGCCCTTTAATACGCACAAAAATATGCAGTTCGATTTCGACGAGGGTAGTTTTCTGGGGGTGATTGGATTGTCCTAGAACCCCCTAGGACGGAGTCTAGAATTTTCAGAAACCGGGGATTTCGATTTCGAGCGAGCAAAAATTATAATAAATTGTGAGGTCGCAGTGCGAGAAAAAAAATCTTAAAAGAGGGGGGGATCCCGATTGGATACTTTCAGATGCACAATCTAATCATGAAAGACTGAAAATACTGAAAAGACCTTTTATAACTAACATAATCAAACTATAAATGCGAGCGAGGGTAGCAAATAATAATAATAATAAAAACGTTACTTATAAAGCGCTTACCACCGAAGTCTCCAAGCGCTATACACACAAAATAGACTGATATACAATTACTTCTTATACAAAACTAAAAATGCAAATAAACATAAATATTACAATACATAATGGAATACACATCAAAGTGAACAGAGTTAATTAATCATCGAACGCAATTTTGAATAAATATGTCGTGAGACTAGTTGAATAGGTTAACGGTTTGACAGTTTTTTTTTTACATTTAAAGGTAATCTGTTCCAAAGTTCGGCAGAAGCTTTGCGAAAGGAGCGATTTCTATAAGAAAGAGTTGACACAGAAGTAGATACGAGGTTTAATTGTGAAGATGAACGTAAACTACGTGAGGGTTTATATTCCTCGATTAATTCTTGTAGATAAATTGGTGCCAATTCATGAATGCATTTAGGGAATAAGGTTGCACTGAGTTGGTTTAGAGGCGCATGACTGTGATGGAGTGAGAAAAGGGGACACTTATCTGAAGGGGAAATGAGACTTATTAGAAGGGGGAAAGGAGCGCTTGTCAAAGTAGGGCAGTACCCAGATGGTAAAAAGCATAAGAGAATGGACAAGAGACATCTGTCGAAGGAATAGGTTAACCTATCAGATGTTAATAGATGCATTTATCAGAGGTGAACATGAGCATTTATGAATAAGGGAACGAGCTCATAATGGAAAATGGGTACTTATCAGTAGGGAGTAGGAAACTTATTAGAAAGGGAAAATGGCACTTGTCAAAGTAAAAGGAGTAATTATCAGAGGTGAAAATAGGCACCCACCAGAAATGAAAAGGGGCATTTATGAGAATGGGAAAGGGGCACTTCTAAAGGGGAAATTTTCGATGAAATATGGGCACATTTGAACAGGGCAAATATTAAAGGTAAGGGGCCACGGCACTAATGTCCTCTGGCAAGACATCAATCTACATTTGCCACACCCGACCCAGGTGATGCAAATGGGTACCTATAGCAGGAATTAATTCCTTGAAATGCTAGAGCGCCGTAATGGCACCCATGCTTATTAGCCGGGGTAATATTGCGGAGCGCCAGCCAGAGTCAAGTATGACTATTATGAGCGCTATACAAGAACCCACTATTATTAGGAAAATTAAATTTGGGGAACTATAACAAAGAAAAGGGACACTCATCAATGATGAAAAGGAGCACTTATCAGTAGAGAAAGAGGAAATTATTACAAAAGGGGGCACTTGTCAAAGTAAAACGGGCACCTCTCAGATTTGAATAGGGGCAATTATCAGAGGTAGGCCTATAAGGCGGGCATTTAATAAAAATGAAATGGGGCACTTCTCGTACCTGAAAAGGGCACTTATCAGTTACCAGAGATGAAAAGCTAGGCACTTATAAGAATGGAAAAGTGACACTTATTGCAAATGAAAGGGGGCACTTCTCAAAGGATAGGGGGTATTTATCAACTGTGAAAAGGTGTATTTCCCCAAAAAAAGTAGAATTCAAAGACGTTTATCAGCCGCTCTCTCCCAACATGAACTGCAACTTTTAACTACTCTAAGGAAAGCAGTAGACCAGGAAAGCCAGAGAAGCAGAGTGTTTAAAGTCTGAATGAATCTTGCAAAAATATGAAAGTTGTTAATTTTTGTTCCCTATTCTTAAAGGTATACAATTAATTTCGGTCCCAGCATGTGACATAATAGTGCCGGCCGGCTCTCCCATTTTGTTTCAATATAGTTCACTAAAAATAATGATGAAATATCATTTTCCCTCCCAAAACGTATATAATGAGTTATTACTGAATTTTAGAGAACTTATAATAAAATGCTATCCATAATGCATATTTTGAGTAGTGCCCCAAGAAAGTATTAGAAGGGGAGGGGGGAGCTAAATCAATGATATTTTTGTAGATGACAAACATGACTATCGACATAAGTGCAAATTTGAGATTCTCAGATTTAGTGTTTTCCTATTATAGGTCAGATATATTTCAAACAGTTAATACGGTTAATCATTGCGTCTTATTGAAGAAGTTACAACTAATGGGTTTTGATAAGGCAAGTTTAGATTGGTTCAGATCCTACTTATCTAATCGACACCAAGTAGTGGCCATTCATGATATTCGTTCCAAACTAATGCCTATAACATGCGATGTTCCTCAGGGAAGCATTTTAGGCCCAATTCTATTTTCAAGTTATATAAATGATATGTGTATTTGTATAAAAGACTTCGAACTATTATTGTACGCAGATGACAGCGTACTACTCTATTCAAATCCTGATCCTAAATAATATTGAGGAAAAGCTCAGTGAACAGCTGTCTACGTGTGTCGATTGGATGACTGATAATAAGCTTTCTTTACACTTGGGAAAAACAGAAAGCATTTTATTTTGTTCTAAAAGTAGTTCTAAAAAGTCATTTGAATTCAAAGTGACACACAATAATCAAGCAATCAAGAGAAAAGATTCTGTGAAGTATTTAGGCATTCAGTTGGCTATAGCGCAATTTCATTTTCATCTTTAGTAGAATCAGATGTAAAAAAAGCAAATTCTCGTCTGAAATTTTTGTACAGATATCAAAGTTGTATGGATTTAAAAGCAAGACGTACACTCTGTTTTGCTCTTATTCAATGTTTATTTGACTATGCTAACCCTGCATGGTATAGTAACATAAACAAATCAGATCAAAAGAAGTTGAAGATTATACAGAACAAAATGGTGAGATTTATCAACTGTTCTGGTCCAAGAACTCATGTTGGCTACAGCGAACTTTCTAAAGCTGGTTTTCTTGAAGTCGACCAAAGATCAAAACAACTCGTATTGCATCACGTGCATAAAATATATCATACTAGGTCGAATCATTATATTCGATCCAACTTCGATCTTGTTACTGACGTACATGATTATAATACAAGAAATAGCCGATTCAACTTTAACTTACCAGAAAGAGTAGGTAGTATTGGAAATTCGTTTTATTACAATGCCATAAAACATTGGAATTCCCTTCCCAATGGTGTAAAAGAAATAGGAAACTATGATCATTTTAAGAGGAAATTAAAGGAATATCTAATACTTGACAGTCAGAGAAGAGAAGTGAATCACAATCATGTTATATGATTGAAATTTTTATTCTTCTGTCGGTTCATACTTTTTCATGTTGTATGTACTTATGTTTTCGTACGTTATAGAAATTCTACAAATTCATCATTATTTTCTTCTTCTTCCTTCTCCTCTTTTTCTTCTTCTCCTTCTTCTTTTTCTTCTTGTACTTAATATCATTTCTATCTTTAGTTTAATGTTGTTATTATTATTATTATCTTTAATAAGTAGTTCTTTTAATTTTCTTATCTGTCTGTAAATATTACTATTTTAACTTATTAATTTTATACATGTTTGTAAGGGACCCCACTGGAAATAAGCTCTCGAGCTTTCGTGGGTTATCCTGTTCAAGCTGACTTATTTTTGATCTGTTATTATTGTATATTGTTGTATGTTGGAAGCTTGTCGAATAAATATCAAATAATCAATCAATCCGCTAGCCGATCTCTTTCTCATGACCTACTCATACGTAAACAGACTTCTTATCGCAAAGGTTGGATTGCGTTATCAGTGAGCAGCTTCAAAAGACATTTCGAAGTTCCTTCTGTTTTTCCAATTTTCTTCAGAATGAGGATTTGTGGCGGATTTCCTCGCTTTCACTTTCAAAGTCACAGAAGACCAGTGCTGCCGATCCAAGTCAAGGGCTTGACGTATGGTAGCCCCCCCCCCCCCCATGCACGATATTCATGTTAAAGTGTTAATCAACAAAATGACAATACTGCCCCCCTCCCCCCCCAAAAAAAAGAAGTAAACATTGTTTTTGTGATTGTTTGGCTCAGGGGGGGGGGGGGGTGTTCAGTGATAAAGTGTTCACCCCCTACCGTTGAGTCCCCCCCCTCCACAAAAAAAAATTAGTGCTTAAAAGTTTTTTAAAACCTGTTTTCTACAAGGAGGGCCGGGCCCGTCGCCCCCCCCCCCCGTGGATCCGCCCCTGACTCATCTAACTATGTCTTGCCTAATCAAAAAATCGAGGATTAATGTCAAATTGTTTTTTTTCCCCGCAATTTCTTTTTCTATTAAAAAATATACAAAACAAATTCAGTCGGGTCTCGATATGTCTAGTCTAGGCTAAGCCGAGCGCGCATCGAGCTTTCAAAGAGCAAGGTCAAAGGTCACCATGGCGCGTACGTGAAAATTCTGAATTAAGCCTTTGTCGGTCGGAGAAAAGAACGGAAAACAATGATTTGCCGTCGATGCGTAAGAGTAACAGGTAATTTTCATGACTTATTATCATTATTTATTATCAAAGATGATAATTTTAGTTGTAAGATTGCAATCTTTGATGGGTAATATGAGTATTTTTACCATGTTTTGATGCCCTCTTCAACAAGAAGTCTCAAGTTCAAGACCTGTGCTGGGCCAGCCACAGGCAGCGGACAGCTGGGCGGCTACCGTCGGGGGTCTACGTGCATTGAGCAGGTCTGCTAATGGCATAGGCCTAATGCCCAATCATAATGCCTGGCAATGCCCGCCCGCGCCCGGCCCGGCCCGGCCCGGCGGATCCGGTCCCTTAGCTTGATGGAGCCGAGAGTAAGCCCTAGCTTGGTTGGGTTTATTTACTACGTCTTATACTTTACTTTACTTTAAAAACACGATGTTGTAGGTCTAGACTGTTCATCGATCCAGGATTCTTCCGTGATTACTGCTATTTTGTGGAGGGAGGAGGTTGTGTAAAAGTCATAAGACAATAGACAACACCTAGTCTAGACCGGCTCATACAGAAGGCTTACTGGTACACTCTTTGACCAGTGACTATCAAGTCTATTCTTAAAAGAGTTTACCGACCCAGCTGCCACAACGTTTTCTGGGAGACCGTTCCACAGTTCCACGACTCTATTGCTAAAAAAGTATTTTCTTATAAAGTTATAGGCTATCTAGCCTTGAATATTTCTTTTCAAGTTTTCTAGAGTGACCTCGAGTTCGATCTTCTGTACTCATCTTAAAGGGCATCTCTTGCACAGTGTACAAGCCATTCACGTACTTATACACATCGATCATGTCCCCCCTTTTACGCCTGTGAACAAGAGTTGGAACAACTTAACTAAAATCAAATTTACTAGATAAAGTCTAGACCGAATTTTCCGTCTCTTTCGTTCGTTAGCCTCTTATTGGGGTAGGGTCGGCTCTCTCTTTAGAATTAGAGACCGAAACGGACTATCCCGCGAAATGTGTAAGTTAGGGTTATGTGGGCAAATCAGCACACCAAACTTGCAAAACTTATCCCCGAATTACTCCTTTCACAGGATGCATAGCCGATGCATTTTATATTGTAAATTAGATTAAAACTTAACTAGGGTCTACTTCGGTTCCACTTACCAACTTGACTGAAATAATCCGTTTAATGGTCCATTTTTAAGAAATTATGGGTCAAAATCGATATCCATGATAAAAATCTTGCAGCGGGCGTTTAAACTCTCGCTGCGCATGACGTCATCTAAATCTCAACCCTTCTAGTCTACGCCGAAGGCAAAATGATTATAACGGAAAAACTGTGCATGAGCGACGAGTTCGTAATGACATATGGCTATGCATGTTAGCGCATGTGCTAAGAGAACGCAGAAGTGCAGAAAGTCTTGCGACACTGACCAATTTTGAGCTAAGTTGGAGATCTTTCCGGGGCCCTAAATCTGATTTAATTTTGAGAGTTAAGAAAATTTGTTCAGCTGCTTGATTTGTGCAAGTTTCGTGGCTCGCAAATTATTTTTAAAATTGTTACAGCTGTCGAAACGGCTGTCTGACCGAATACTGGGAATTGACCGAATACTAGGCTTGACCGAATATATGCATCACTTTCAAACACCAAGGCCATTTATGGCCATATTTTTATGCCCCCAAAATTCCACAAAATTTCATTTTACCTCGTGCATATCCAATTTAAATTAGGCCTAGGCTATAATACATCGGTTCCACTTACCAACTTGACTGAAATAATCCATTTAATGGTCCCTTTTCTGGGAAATTGTGGGTCAAAATCGACATCCATGTTGACAATCTTGCAAGACGTATTTTAACTCTTGCTGCGCAGGACGTCATATAAATCTCATCCGTTCTAGTCTACGCCGAAGGCAAAATGATTATGAAGGAAAAACTGTACGCGAGCTACACGTTCGTAATGGCGTTATCACAGTTTTTTCCATGACCTAGCGAGGCAGTTTTCGGCCGCATGAATGTACGTAGTCAGGGAGCGTGCTCCGTGTGTTCGCCCGCTGATGCTATAGCACGGGCTCGCTGTGGTACCAAAAAAAAAGACGCGTGCGGCCAAAGCACGTAATACCCCCCACACGGCCGAAAACTACACCTGCGGGTACGCTGATCAGAAATTGGAATCTAAACTATACAGAGATACGGTGTTAATAATAGTATCTGACTGATAGGATAATACACATGTGGTGAGAAACGGGCCAAAATTAATTTCACCTATGAAAAATAACACAAACTCTGTTATATTGTTAACTTTGGTTTGCCTTTTCACTAAAAGTGAACTAAACAAGGTAAATTAAGCCTGCATTATTTGGCCTCAATTAAACTGAATACACCCTATACAACTGATACGATTGTAAATGGCTGAGTAAAAGTCCAACATATTTTTTTTCTTCAAAAACGATTATTGTTGTTGTGCAATAGTAAGGTTAATGAGATAAAATGTCAAGGTTATTTTTCAAAAGGAATTCAAATCTACATGAGGAAATTCTGACTGTAATGCATTTTCACACGTACACTGTACTGTACATGTACATGTACATGTAAACATACAAGCTTTCCTGAGAAGCTGTTGTTTTCTACCTTCTCTAAATAAAGCACACATCATCTCACATAAAAAAGGTACACAAAAACACACCAAAACAATAGATTATAAATTAATAAAATAATAAAAGTAACATTACACAGATATACAGAGGAGCTAATATTTTGTGAGGAAGGGTCATACTGATTTAAGATATGCATGCGAAAAGGTACATGTTTATATTCTGATGAGTGACTGGGAACTCTCTCATTTGATAAGATTTAGTGACTTGTCATGCTGCCCAAAGGGTTTGCTACTTCCATTCAGTCATGGGAAGGTGTCTATTGCCCAATCAGGAGCAGCACGCGGTTTGTTTCTTTGTTTCAGTGTCCATTGTGAAATTTTGGGCAGCTAACTACAAGGTATGCGCAAATTGGCGCTTAATGTCTATGCGCATCTTCCTGCAATGCCACGCTGCTTTTAATAATAATAATAATCTTTTAAAGTCCACTCCAAATTTTATTAACTTAAACCAAAAATGGAAATTCTTTTTGCCCAATTGATCGTGAGCCTAGCAGCCACTAAGCAGCGCCAGATCGACGCTGCTCTGTTGAACGCCAAACAAGGTAGCAGCAACTCCCGTCTTTTAACGTCTTTTGGTATGACACGGCCGGGGTTCGAACCTACGACCTCCCTGTTGTGAGGCGGATGCTCTACTGACTGAGCCAACCCACCTGTGTTATTCAATGAGGAATGTCACAATAATTCTCTTTGCAAAGCAAAATTCAATGTTTTTGTCAAGAAAATTAGAAAGATTAAATGAAAACTTACCGTTTGAAATTTGATCTTTATTTTATGAGGAAGTTGAAGAGGGAGATTACGTGAGAAGCCCGCTCTAGCATGTAAGTCAATCTTTGAAGCCGAATGGGACTACTAATCCAACAACGTTGTAATCAATAGAAAGATCTCTATAAAAGAAAAAACTCGAACTTTAACCGTTTGGGAGGGAAGCGGAGGGCACGTAATCTCCCTCTTCAACTTCCTCATAAAATAAAGATCAAATTTCAAACGGTAAGTTTTCATTTAATCTTTCTATTTTATTTCGTAAGTCTCGACGGAGACTACGTGAGAATTTAAAGCCAGTAGTCCCATTCGATTCTATGAGCAATTACCTAATTGCATAAACTGGCATAGAGAAACTCTATAAACAGAAAGTAATGCTAACTTACTACTGAATATATATTATAACCTTGCTGTAGGAACACGAGTTCGTATCTTTAGACACTCTATTAATTGCTGTTAAGCACTGCATCCGTAAACTTCTTGCCCTTGCTCTCCAAAGGCCTGTCATAGAACTTTTGGAAAGTATTTTCCTTTGCCCAGCCTGCTTGAGCCAGTATGTCTTTAAGAGGTACATCCATCCTCTTGGCAGTCGACGTGGATGCTGCGCGAGTTGAGTGTGCTTTAAACTCGGTGTTGACACCTGCGCTTCTCATCGTTAATTTTATCCAACGCGAAATTGTTTGAGAAGACGCACGATGATATGGCTTGCGATAGCAAATTAGAAGGAATCTCTCCTGACCCCTAATATCCTTGGTTCGTCGAAGATATTCTCTCAAATACCGAATGACACAAATGCGGCTATCCGCTTTATAAGCCGATACCTGAATGGAGCAACCACTACGCCCAGGTTGATTTTGCTTAAGTTTCTTGTCGAGAACACATTCCATATTCTTGTCTGTCAAATTCATCTTGTCCAAGTTCATATGGTATAATGTTTGAACTCGTTGTGCTGAAGTAAGTGCTAGAAGCATAACCAGCTTGTGTGTCAAATCCTTAAGCGGGAGCTTGGTTGCTGGATATAGCTCCCGTAAGTAGTTCAGTACAATTCCAACATCCCAAGTCTTGGTATATCTAGAAACTGGGGGCCTAAGATGAAAAACTCCCCTCATGAAACGGCTAATAGTTGTGTGCGATCCAACTGTATGAGAATCATTCTCCAGAGTTAAGAAGGAGGCCAATGCACTCCTTGCCGTGTTAATGACACTATAGCCAGCATTGCCATTATAGAACAAATCACTTAAGAATTCTAACACATTCTCAGCTTTTGTCTTGAGTTTGTTTAAATTCCTCTGCTTACAAAATGACTCCCATTTCTTTATGTACACTTTATATTGTCTTTTCGTTGAGTCCTTCCAAGATGCAGAGATGATATCAACAGTTTTTGCGCTCAGGCCTTGTTGTCGGTAGCAGCAGCTCCAAGCCTGCAACAAAGAAGATCAAGATTAGACAAAGGATGAGAGAGGTTTGACACAGGCTGTCTGAGAAGTTTCTCACTTTTGGGTAGGAACAAAGGTTCTCCAATAATCATATCCTTCAAGAGAGGGAACCAAGCCTGTGTAGGCCAATTCGGGACTACTAGTAAGCCTACTGCCTTATCGGCCATAATTTTTTGAATGCATTTTGGGACAAGACAGAAAGGAGGGAAGGCATAGAAATTCAGATTTCTCCAATCTAGTGTGAACGCATCCACTGCCAAGGCATGGGGATCTGGTCTCCATGAAACATAAGTAGACACCTGTGCATTAAGCCTAGAGGCAAACAGGTCTATGTCAGGGATACCGAAATGTTTAGCAATGCGTTCAAACTCCCTTTCATTGAGCATCCATTCTGTCCTATCATTGAATTTACGGGACATAGTGTCTGCTTCAACGTTATCCCGGCCCGCTAAATGTGCTGCTGTTATCCAAATGTCCCTTTCTATACACCAATTCCATATGTGTGTGGCAGCCTCATTACAATGTGGGGATTTCACGCCCCCCATTGCATTGACATACGCTACCGCGGTGGTATTGTCAAGCCGTAAAAGGACATGCTTATGAGACATATTGGAACAGAACGATTTAAGTGCCAGGCCAGCAGCAAGAGTCTCTAAATAATTAATTTCATTACCCTTCGCTATCACTGCCTCTTGACTGTTCCACCTACCCCCCGTATGGGTGGTCATGTTAGTTGCACCCCATCCTGCCCCACTGGCGTCTGAGCGCAATTCCAAATCAGGGTTTCTACGGTTTATCGGCCGAAAAGAAGAGTCAATATGACCAATCCACCAAAGTAGTTCCCTTCTAGCTTTGTCCAAGAGTTTCATGGGCCTATCAAAGTGGCCCCTATTTAGTCTCAATGAAACTATCTTTCCTCTTTCTAGTTCGCGATAATGCAAAAGCCCATATTGAGCTGCCGGAAAAGCTGCAACTAGTTTTCCTATAACCCTTGCAACTTGCCTAATGGAGGGAGTGGCATTTTCAAGTAATGCTGTACATGTTTCCTTTAGTTCTTCCTTCTTATCTGAAGGCAAGGTCACGGTCATGTCAATAGAGTTAAGCACAAACCCAAGGAATTTGATTTCTTGAACCGGTTCTATCACCGATTTAGTGGGATGAATAATGAACCCCAATTCAGAGAGCAGTTCTGAGGTAGCTGTAACCGCCTTTGTGGCCTGTCTGTGAGACCTACCGATAATAAGGGTATCATCTAAATAGCCTAGTACAACATGGCCTGCATTGTGTAGTGAGGCAAAGGCCGGTTTCAGCAGTTTGGTGAATAGGCGAGGAGCAGAGCTAAGCCCATTTGGGAGTGCTTTATATTGCCATAACTGTCCTTCCCAGATGAAACGCAAGTATTTGCGCGACTCTGGGTGAATTGGTACTGAATAGTATGCATCTCGGAGGTCGAGAGAAGCCATGAAACAATCTGGCGATAGCAGTAAAACTGCTGAATTAATGTTATCCATCTTGAAGTGCTGATAGGCTACGCTTTTATTCAATTCAGACAAGTCAAGAATTAGTCGAAGACCCCCACTCTTTTTGGGTCTGGTAAAGATGTTAGAGATAAATTCTCCTTGTGAATGACTACAGCGTTCTATCACATTTTTTGTCTCGAGACTCAGAAGCTCTGAGCTAATTTGTCTCGACTCTAAAGCATTACGCTTGAATGTATGAAAAGGTTTCTCCCTCGAGGGGGGAAATCGAGCCGGATCAAACTCAATTTTGTAGCCTTGAACAGCACTCAAAATGTATGGATCATTGGAAATTGCACGCCATTTATCATGAAAAGACTTTATTCGACCTCCGACAGGCAGTGTGTATTCACTAGAAATAGAAGAACAATTTTGACTCACCTGATCACTGGAGTCAGGTGCCTGTTTAGCGTCTGGGACTACTTTTTCCCTCCTCGGAAAGGCCTGCGTTGGCCCGTCTGGGGTGTTTGAGTGTGTGGGGCTGGTCTGCCCCTCCACGACGGGCGGCGCCCTAAAAAAGGCCTGTTAGTGTTCATGTTACCCGCTCCAGGGTTGTGTCTTGCTGTGTTGGAAAACCAACCAGCATCTCGGGCCTGACGTTTTGCAGCCTCTGTATATCTCCTGTAAGGATGGTAGCTGGGTTTTGGAAAATTTGCGGCACCTCTCATAACACCTGCAGCCGCCTTATGTTGGTCCTGAAGGTCTTTGACCTTTTTGCCCAGTTCATCCCCGAACAGGAGCTTTGTGACCGGGTTAGCCGGCTTGCAAAGATGAGTATAGTTCTTATTCATGTCTGGTCTAATCATGTCTTTTCTCATGCAGTTCATTTCAAAGTTTGCATTACAGAGGAGTGCGAGAGCATCCTGTTGCGTATCAGACATGTTGTGAGAGTCCAAGGTTTGGACGAAAGCTCCGATTCCCTTTGTCAGTGCTTTTTGAATCCGCTGAAGTTTCAAATCTCTGCTACGAGTCTCGGCGGGGAGATTCTCCCAAATTGCGGTATTCACTTTTGGAGCGTCCATCAAAATGCAATTTGCAGGGCATGGGTACTTGGTAGCTGTTTCTTCAATTGTTTTTTCCTCCAAATTATGTCCCATCAAATAAGATGCGGAGTTTGCTAGCTCTGAATCGAGCGGCTTCCCCACGCCTGTTGGCACTGCAAATTTTGCGGCGAAGGAGGGGACCGGAGCGTCGTCGCTGTCAAGCTCAAATCCAGCGGGTTCCTCACCGGGGATTCCTCCGTGTTCCTCACCGGGGTTTCCCCCGTAATCGGCTTGCAGCGGCCCGCTGCTACCCGCTGCCATGTCATGATCATGGTTATCCCAAAATTCATCCGCCGTTGTGAAAACGTTGTCGCCTTCCCGCTGAAAATGCGGATTTTCTGAAGACGTAGACGTAAATGTCTGTTTGGGCAATGCATCTACCACTTTAGTGAGGAGTCCCTCAAAGTGATTCAGCCGCTCTTTGAGCGATTCGATCTCGGGATTTGGTTCCACATGCTTTTTCTTGGAACTACATTTTTTCGGCGTAGTTAGTGAGGTAGACGCTTTTTGCTGAGTCGGCACTGTCGAGCGCTTGGGCTCAGGATGACAGGCTAGTGAAACCCCCGCACCAGGCTTGGCTGGATGCGACGGCACGTTCTCGTTTGCTTTGCCGGGAGCACGCTCCCGCTCGGCCGAGCCCGATTTATCTCCTTCTGACATTTTCTTCTTAGAAGTAGACATGAATTGAAAGTTGTCTAGCAGAATCAGTATAATCCAGAAAATAATCCAAATTGGAAGGGGCTAACTAAAACCCAGAAAAACTGACGAAAAATCGATAGATTGACGAGTCGATTGTAGTTTCCTGCAATCATTGACCACGCGAAGAACGAATTGACTTACATGCTAGAGCGGGCTTCTCACGTAGTCTCCGTCGAGACTTACGAAATAAAATAAGTATTAAACAGAGTTTAATAAGTGACATGAACTGTAGATGTATAAATCCCTGTAAGTTAGAGCTATGATCAGATCGGATGATCGTATCGATGGTTTGGCTCCCGATATCTGTATCGGATCGGCAGATGCTGAGGGAAATCTGATGATTTTTTGTATAGTTAAGTTCTTCCTCGAAAATGTTGGCAAAATTTTCTACAATTTTGAGCACTCTAATACCTTAAATCATTCATACCTTGGACAATTCTCTCATTTGAAATTCTAGTAATCCATGTTTAAAGCTATTTTCATGCCAATAAATGTCAACAATTGGCAAATGATCGGAAGAAGAAAAAAAACTTGCATAGCTGGGATTATTTTGTATTTTGGAGTATTTTTAGACCATGTTTGATATTAATTAAGTGCATTTTCATGACTATGAAGTTTGAAATTAATAATATTAGTCTAAGAGAAGAGAACATACCATTTAGGATTATAATGACAATGAAAAAAAGGCATGCCTACATTATATACAAAGTAAATCTCTGTGTATAAGCCGCACCTTTTTTTACGCCAAAAAAAAAAAAATTTTAGTCGGGGGTCCGCCTTATACACAGATACAAGAAAATATACACTGAATATATTTTTGTTAAAGTGTTGATTTATGCCCCTCCACCTGGCACTGTGCCTGGCAATGTCTCCCAGCTCAGTCATACACAGTATGTCAACTCACCACTCAGAAACTAGAACCTGTACAGTACCAGTATGTCTGGATTTCTGTTTGGACTGAGAGGAAAATTTGTCTGACACATTTAGTTTTAAAAACGACATTGTTACTGTTATTTGTGACAAGTTCACAAGCCCAAATCGGCACCTTCAACTGCACCTCACAGTGAAATAAAGGTCCTAGTCTGCATGCGTTTTTGAACATAGACCTGGCTTGCTGCCTACAGAGTCGACAAAAAAAAATGGGGGTGTCTTATACACAGGTGCGTCTTATGCACAGAGATTGGCGGTAAGCCAAAATGGCGACTCGCATGTTGTCCCAACAGGAGCAGAGCCAAATACACTTAAGTGTATGAATGGTGAAGCTGCAGCTTATATAATAATAACAATAATAATATTCATTTGTAAAGCGCAATAACTATGTGGATATATTCTGCTGCTCTGCAAGAACTCGTAAATGCTGTGCTATATATATACTACAGTATATGAACAAGTGAGTTTTCAGTTTTTATTTAAAATTGTCTAGTGATGGGGCTTTCCTTATTTCTAGTGGTAATTTATTCCATAATCTTGGGGCAGCACAAAGAAATGAGCGGTCCCGAGGGTTACTTTGGTTTTATATGGGGGTATTTGCAACATAAATGTGTCTTGTGTACTACAAAGGTTACGACCATGAGTTTGAGACTTGATATGCAACAATTCATTAACGTAACTAGGAGTTTGACCATTTAGAGCTTTGTAGACTGTCATTAATATTTTAAATGCAGTTGAGTCAATGTGCACATGCTACCTTGTCGTCTGTACTACTTTATTTGCCTGTGGTATTCACAACTTGGTAAATTGTAGAACATAGAGCATGTTTAAAATGTTTCCTTGAAACTGGCAACAGAATTTACTCATGGACAGAACATTTGTTACTTCATGGACATTAGTATTGGATACTTCATTCATATGGGGATTTGCATGAACCAATACAAATATTGACTCCATTTGACCCTGTCTGTTGCATTTCTTTCACCTTCAGACCAATAATTTTCACTCAGGAAGTGCGACACCACGATGGGTTCCTTGGATAAGCTGGTAGTGACCTGTCACGGGCATTACAATGATCCAGAACTGCATTTCAAGTTACACTGGCTCATCAAGCAACTTTCCAATCTAACAGAGACAGGTGAGGATCAAAGTTAATTTTCAACAAGTTTTGAGGGGAATTCTGCTTGGGAGAGATCCCCCCCCCCCACCCTCCCATCCTCTCTGGGGGCCTAATCATAATTTAATCAAATCTTTATGTACTACTAAAAATGTTTTCTTGTTACTCTTGTACTTCATTTGTTCATATGCTTGGAATTCGAAATGTCAAAAAACGTTTGCCAAATGGTTTTGAACAGCTTTTTATATTACCTAAAGTCTATTGGGACAGATGAGTATGGTAAAATCAGTCACCCAAATATTTTTACTTTTTTGAAGCACTTCATGATCATTTAAAGCGCCATTTAAAAAAAATAAAAATTTATTATGGGCGTTCCTAACTCAAGCTATGCTTTCCAGGTTTTCTCCTCCTTCCGTATCTGAATTATTTACTATATACTTTATGTTGAAATAATTGGTACATATATCATGTATACAGTGTGTTTCATATTGTAATGTTGAGAAGGAAATAAATGTTAATAAATACCAAATACCAAATATCATAGACACTGATAACATGTAGAGCTTGCATCTCAGATTTGTAAACGTGGAAACATTGTTAAACAATGCCTTTAACTTTTATGTACTATGTTTTTATGATGCATGAAATATCAATTTCAATTTCAACTCATGCTCCAGTCCTCGTGCGGGCATAAAGATATTCCATTGTATTCTTTGTTTGTACAGTGTATATCTTATTAAGTATTCTTCATGTTTTTTTTCTCCTTTTGTTTACCCTTACTGTAGAAACGTTATCCGTTCATAAAGTGGAGCCATGGAACAGCATCAAGGTAACATTCAACATTCCACGCCACGCTGCCACTCATCTTCGATCACTGGCCCAAAATGGAGATCCATCTCTAAGAAACCTAGGAATTTTGTCTGTGCAACTGGAAAATGGAAATGTCATTGACTTGAACACCGGACCGCCACCTCCACCACCTCCTGCACCGGTTGCCCAGCAGCAACAGCAGCAGCAGCAGCAGCAACAGCAACAGCATGTTCAACAGCCTCAGCAAGCACCACCACAGCAACAACAAATTCACCATCAGCAGCAACATCAACAACAACAACAGCAGCAGCAACAGATGCAAGCGCAGCAGTTTCAACACCCTCAGATTCAGCAACAGCAACAAGTGGCACAGGCTCAACTAAATCAGAATGCAGGCTTTCCATCTGTTCTCGGACAAAACCAAGGAATAGGCATGAACATGAACGCCTCGCCTCAGGCTATGGCCTCCAGAATGGGTATGACACCTTCTCCGGGGCCAATGGTTATGCATGGAAACCCTGTAGCACCTCCTTCTCAATCTCCTGTACCTCAGGCCATGAACAGGGGCTTCAGTCATAACACTAACCAGTTCCAGCAAAGAGGGGGCTTTCCCCCAAGACCAACTACCCCAACAGCTCAGTCTATGTCGCCCAATCCGATGAGTTCAATGGCCACGTTGGCACAAGGACATAGTGTGCCTCCTAATACACATCTCACTCCAAGCAGTATGATGCAGGATAGCAACCAGCCGGGGAATATGTTCCCTTGGGGTTTGACTGGCTTTCCACAGAGAGGACAACAACATCAACAGCAACAGCAGCAGCAGCAACAACAACAACAACAACAGCAACAACAACAACAACAACAACAGTGGAACCAAATGCCATTCCAGCCTCAGCAGTCTCCACAGCAGCAACAACACCAGCAACACTTGCCATTTCCTATGCATCAAGGTATGTCGCTTGGAATGGACATGGCTGCAAATCAAACACTACCTAGTTCAATGGGAAACACACAGCAGGCTGGAATTCCGTCACGGCCTCAACCTCCTCCTCCAGCTCAAGTGAAAAAGCCAGCCCCTAAGAAAAAGCGCAAGAGCAAGAAAAAGCAGAACCATCCTCAAATTCCACTGCCACCACCACTAATGCCTCCCGACCCACGAACTATGAACAATCCCCCTCCTCCGCCTCCTTCTCAAGACCCACTTCAGCAGAGTAAACCACCCAATCTAGCTTTGCCTCCGAGTCTCATGAATAATCCTCTCAGTCCAGATGCACCTTCTGTGCAGTCCAGAGTGATGCAGCCTCCTCTGCAATCAAGTGCAATGCCTATATCAACGTCGTCTGGGCCAGTTCCAGAATCTCTCCCCTATTCCCAATCCCAATCACAGGTCACGACTGCGATGTCAACATTCCCTTTCTCTGATACTTCAGGTTCTAAGTTGCCAATGCCTCAAGGAACAACAATCCAGCAGAGCCAAACAGGACAGGCCCAAATTGGACAATCTGACATGTTGTTTACTCAAACCCAGCAACTCCAAGTGCCTTCGTCACATGGACAGCACGCCCAAGTTGCCAATATACCACAAAATTTCATGCCAGGACATCACTTATTAGGTCATCATAACAAGAAATCTGTAACTGCCTCTTTGACAAGCCCTTTGCTTGTCAATCTCCTACAGAGTGACATCACGGCTACGCAGTTCTCATTTTCATCAGAAGAGATTAAGAGTACCAATGCTTCAGCAATAACCACAGGTGGTGTAGCAACGTCAAGAAATGAACACACATTACAGCAGTTGCAGCAACATTTGCAACAGCAACATGCACAGCAACAGCATCAATTACAGCAGCAGGTGCATCATCAGCTTCAACAACAGCAACATCAGCAGCATCAGCAGCAACAGTTACAACAAATCCAGACCCAGCACCCTGAACTTCAGAACTTGAATCCTCAGCAACAACAGCAACTGCAGCAACTCTTCGCTAATTCAGGACAACCACAAGCAACCAATGTCCCTGGTCAACCACCATTTCCTCAACAGACCCATTCCAATGTACCAAACCAGAGTGTTGCTCCCTACTCCATGTCATACCCTCAGCCAATCTTCAGCACACCACCCATTCAGATGGGTTCTGCAGGTCCTACACCTACAAGTAGTTTACCTGTTTCAACATCAGCAGAAAAGGTTACATTGTCAACAACAGCAGGATTCCCTGTAACATTGCCAAACCAGATAGGACCAGGTTTACCAGGCTATCCTCCCACTAGACCAGAATTAAGAGCTATCCCTCGAGGCCCAAGTCCAAGAATGTCTATTCCTGTGCCATCTTTACACTTTGATCCAAGCAGGACACAGTCACCACAGGTACCTCCCTCAGTTGCTGCTCTTATTTCAGCAAGATCTCAATCATCGTCACCTCCAGGAGCGGGACCAAGACAGCAGACACCACCTATTGGAGGAAGGATGGCATCTGGATCTGGATATTTGCCTCCACCAATTGCAACATCCAGTATTGCTACAGATGTTCCTAAAACAACTGCATTTCATCAACCAACCTTCACTACCGGTTCCGGAAGTTCATTTTCTGCAGCAAGTGCTACTGTTCCTCCAGCAACCACTTCTCATGTCCAGACCACAGCCAGTAGCATCATGCAGAGCGCTGTTCACAAGCCTGTAAAGGAATCAGATAAACCAGTTGCAAGTGTTGAAAAGATGGAAGAAGATCACTCTTTTGATGAGGAATCTGCGATGGCATCCATGACTGAAGCAGAAAGAGACACATTTGCAATGGCAGCAAGGATAGTTCAAGAAGTGAAAGATGAAGAAGAACAGAAATTCAAAATGGTAACTCCACCCACTAAAACAACACCTTCGCAAAAGAAGAAACAAAAAACTGCCTCGACGTCTCGTCAGTCTCACCTGCTCTCTCAACCCTCTGCAAAAATTTCTTCCCCAATGAGCCCCAATCCTCCAGCTCCACCACCTCCTCCAAGTACCCGAGAGCTCTTGGGTAACATCTCGCATCCCATTAGTGGGGGACACATTAACAAAGGAGAGACTCATTCTTCTAATTTTTCCAATATTCCTTTTTCTAGAGGATTCCTTGGAAGTTCAAATTTTCCTCCAGGTGGGGCGCCACCCACAAACAGCCCATCATCTCAAGGCTTAGTTCAACGATTTGTAGGGAACCCAAGGGGTAATATGTCAATTCCTCCTCCGCGAATGGCAGCTCCACCTGCGGTTTCTTCTACGCAACAATTTACTGGACAGAATGTGAATGTACCTGTAACCTCCATGATTGCTGGTGGAGGCATGGCGAATCCTGTTATTGGGCAAGAGAGTGATCTGAACTTCGGTCAACCTCCTGTAAGCAGAAGTCTATCAAGGCCTGCAACAACAACGCAAATTACAACTACAGATGGTATTCAGACGATCGATAGAATGGTAGACCTAAGTAGGCAAATGGGCTTTGGTTCAATGAGCGTTGCTGATCAAGTGCTTGGTGCTCAATTACCACAGATGGCTAAAACAGAACAACATTCTTTTCCACCTGGAAGTCAGATGTACCCCTCTCAGGTTACTTCTCACCCGACAAATCCTACAATGGCTGGTCCAACTCCAAGCATGTTGCAGGCATCACATGCACAAGGTGATAACTCTAGCAATCAACCTTTCAACTGGCCTTTAGACTTTCCACCATCAACATCATCAAGCTTGACATCGGAAGGGCTGCGTTTCATGGAAAAACTAGCAAATAATCCAAGAGAAAGCCAGTCTGTGCGTTCAACATCCAATCCCCCGGCGTATGGCGCTCAAGGCAGTGACCCATCTGGGGCTGAAAAGAAAGATGATAAATCTCATCTCAAGGCATTACTAAGTGAAATCAATGTTGCCCCACAGATTGCTTCAACTGCTTCAACTACTGTGCACCAACCTGTAACTTATGTGACAACTCATTCATCAATCCAAGGACAGAGTATGCAGCCTGTACTCTCAAGGGTAGTAGCCCCAAGCCAAAGTCCCATGCTTAGCCAAAGACCGACAGACGTTCAACCTAAAGCAGAGGTCAGGTCAGAAGTAAAGCAGTTACTACAAGAAGATATTATGATGAGTATTGCACAAGCAGCAGCAACAACCCAAATTGCTTCTGCTTATACTGCTGGAAGTGCAGTCGAAGAATCATCTAGCAATAAAGCATCTGTTCCAGGAAGTGTAGTAGTTAAGAAAGAAGGACATGAGCAAACCCTCAAACAAGACGACATGCCTATCCTAAAGCCATATGGAGGCTTGTCAAGTCAAATGCAGGATACCATACATATGCCTAGATTAGCAGGAACGGGAAGGACCCCTGCAACTTCTGATCCAAACCAAGCAATAATACCAGGTGTTCAACAAACTGCATCTCTACCAAATGTGCCTGCAACAATATCAGGTTCTGTGCCCTCGCATTCTTCTGTTTCTAGTCAGCAAATGAGGAGAACACCACCAGCAACAATTGCCTTGACTCCTCCTTCAGATAGTCTTCACATTTCTACTGTTGAGCAGCAGAAAATGCATCCACAAGATCTTCACCCTGTTCCAGGGGTGTCACCAACTAACCAAACTGGGCTTCCTACAATGCCTGGCGTGTCTCAGTCACAAGTTGGAGAACCTCCTATGGATCAGGTTTCCAAAGTGCAGTCATCAGAGGCAAAGTCTCCTGGGGCAGCAGCTGAGCGAAGTCTTCGACGTCAAAGAAGTATCAGCCCCCAGAGTGAGCGAGCCTTCAGCAGTGCCAGTGCATTGCTAAGTTCTATCGCAAAGTCAGCCAGTGGACGAACAGTTGGGAGTACTACTGGGAGTACGGACAAACTTTCTTCCTCGGGAAGCAGTGTAGGGAGTGGTGGTGGAAAGCAATCACCTGTTATATCAGAGCCACTCAGTATTTCTCCATCTCCAACACAAGCACCACCAGTGACCTCACCCATGCCAATTCTGCAGCCTCAACTAGCTGAAGCTCTTGGAAGTATACCTGACTCAGCTGATCTGACTAAACTTGCCACATCTGCCATTCGTGGTTTGAGTCCACCCCGTATTCATGAGGAAGAAATCAAGCCACCTCCACAACACGCCTTAGACTTTCCTGCTCTGAAACAGCGGAGAAGGCGCTCGTCCAGTGGTAGATCGTTGACCCCACCTAGGTCAGGTACACCTCCTGCAAGCTACAGACAAGGTATGATGGGTAGTTCCACAATGATGAGAGGGGGCACACCTCCAGCACAGACTGACAGGAGGCACTCACCTACAGTTCTGGGAGAAGTCATGGGTGGTTCTCCACATGGTATGAGGTCCTTGATGCCAATGCCTCAGAGAATGATGTCCCCTGTAAATGAATATGGCCCTTATGGTGGACACATGATGAAGAATATGCATCAGCATAATGCATTTCAAGACCAGTTTCCAGGACAGATGCATGGTACCTCAAATCTTCCACCTGGCTTGATGGAGTTACAAGGACAGCATCCCATGCCTCCACATTTTATGGGAGGCGGAATACCTGGTAATGTTCAGCACTCATCTCAGCCTGTCACAACATCACTGCAGCAAGGGCAAGCTGGAGCTCATCAGCTTGCATCAAACATGACAGAGTCTCCTACATTGACTCATCCAAGTGTGACCACACAAGGAATTATACAAAGCCATCCAACAAATGTACACCAGACTTTTGCCAGAGGACCTCCAGGCAGTCCAAGATCAGGGCAGTTTGATCCATCATCTGTTCCTGCTAGAGCTCCTCACACTTCTCAGCAGCTCCCAGGGAATATCGACAGTGGAGCCATGCAGCCACAGAGTCGAAATGAAGTACTGGCAAGTGTCCTGGGTCAACAGCAGAGTGCTGTGCAACAGGACTGGTCTCAGAAAAGTGATTCCACTGGAAGTCTTGGGAGAGGTTTCCAAGGCCAAATACCACAGTCTACAGTTACCACACCAAGTCAGGTCCAGCTGTCAAGGTCCTTCCCCCCTGAAGCAAAACTTACAGTTCTACCCACTCAACTCAATGTAGAGAGCAGTAGTCAGCCAGGACAGGCTAACAATGCTGCAACTGCAGCAACAACAGAGTCATCAATCCAGTCATCTATGGTTGCCGCTCAAAGTACAGTTTCAGAAGCTGTTACGAATCCTTCACAGGATACTGTTCCTGCTATGAAAAATGCTGAGAACATTGCTTCGCAGTCATCTGCTTTGCCTGCAAACCCCATGGTGTCTTCTGCTCAACAAAATGTAACAACAGCAGGGCAAGATACCAAGGCACCTTATCCTGGTAGCGCACCTGCTCCACCTCCTCAGCATCATCAAACTTCAGAAACTCTCAGTTCTGCAAGTACTGTCCTGGATGCCATCAACAAAGCGCAGATCACTCCCGAACTCTTTACACCAGCCACCTTAACCACAACCACCTTGCCTCCAGAAACCCAAGTGACCAGCGCCCAAGTGACCAGCGCCCAAGTGACCAGCGCCCAGGTGACCAGCGCCCAAAGCTCTGAAACTGCAAGCCTACCGGTGCATCAAATGCTGCATTCAGATACAGGGCCACCAACCCCTGTCCATATGGAATTAGCAAAGGACCAGGCTGCCGTTACAAATACTATTAAGAGTGAAGAAGAGCCCACTCTTCCAGTATTGACCAGAGAGATGAGTGACCCTAGTGAGTATTTTTCCTGTAATGTTCGCCTCGAAAGCAAATACCGTATGTACTGGCAAATTGTTAAAGTTATCAGAGACATGTATGGGAGAGGGGGGGGGGGGGGTGGGCTTCCAACTTTTTTTCAGTCTTAGCATCTGATGAATATTGCAATTAAGATCCTCTGAAATGAAATATATTTCTCATCAAATTTGCAATGGACCTCATGAAAAACATGTACTTGCTTGAATATTGGGTTGGAACATGTCTCACAGGCTCTGGAGGTAACACAAGTGCAATAGAGTAATGTGTCTGTAGTCTTTGTGCACTATTAAAGATGTAGAGCAATAGAATGTGGTGATTTACTGGCAAAAACACTTGTTCATCCTAAATGAGAAAGGGGAGAGTGTATAATGTATATTTGTCATTGTATGAATTGTGCACATGCTTATCTGTAACTTAACAATAGGACGTAAGGTGATGTCATTAAAAGGGATCACTTTATGTAAAAATAAAGTTGGTAGTAAATAGTCAATTTAGGATAAATAGAACCTACAGTGATCGGAGTGAAGTGAAAACCCAAACAATCATTTTAGAATTTTAGAATTGACAAAACTCATCTCACGACTTTGTATTAAACCAATGTATTTTTGTTCTCTACTTCATTAAGGCCCCATTGCTGAGAAAGAAGAAAGCTCTCTATCCAAACAACCAGACTCTGTACAAGGCAGTGCAACCCCTGAGATACCTACTCTATCATCGGAAAGCAAAGACAAAGGTATGCTACAGGACGCAACAGCAAAGCCACCATCAGAGACACCATCGGACACACCAAAGCCTGCACCAGAGGCATCGGTGTCCCTTGAGACGTCTGAGGAAATGGACAAAGCTCCAGAGGATCAACCTGAGTATCATGAAGAAGCAATAGAAGCAACATCATCTGGAGAGGGTTTCCTGATGAGAGAAATGTCGCTTCCAGACCATGAAGACACCGACTCCACCAGCTCGCGTTCCGAGACTCCTAAATCCTACTTATCGGAACCGCCCCCGGAGGATACGTCCCCAAGCGTTAGGACACGTCGGTCCGGTCGAAAGTCTCCAGGGGCAGCCACAACTCCAGGTCTTGAGGGTGGTCCAATGGGAACCAGAACCAGGAGCACCAGTGGTTCTTTGACATCTGCTGCTGCCATGGCAGATAGGGACGCTGATGGCATGTCTGACCAGGATGGGGTGACAACAAGGAAACGCAGCTCGAGACACAATGCAAAAGGTAAATTTACACTCTTTAGGTTGCCCAATGTTGTTGACTGAGAGCCTGGGCCTGTATTCCTTTCAATACTTAAGTACAAAATTTAAGCTTTTTACTTAGTAGTTGGCTTAGATAAAATACTTAGTCAATTTCGGTATTCAATTCAATTTTTTGGCTAAATATTTTACCTAAATTTAAGACAGCTTAAGCCAATTATTTGGAGGCCTTGACTGGCAAGCATATGGTTTTCTTACGCAGTATTATAACGTGCGCACAATTATATCAGCGTGCATTTATTGCAACACATTAGTTCGCTTTACTTTTGATTGACTGTGTGATGTCACAATGCTTATCAGTTAGTATTTTACTTAGATTTTGTCTTACGTAAGTATGAGTCTAAAATGGGATTTGAATACAAGATAAGTAAATTATAGCTTAGCCATTAGCACTGAATGAATGTTTTACTTATGCTAAGTATTGAATTGAATACCGGCCCTGATGGTAATTAATTATCTCGTCACCTTGAAAACAAATCCCATCCTGTTCTGTCTCCCAACTGTTGCTGGATAAAACCTTTTATGGTAGAACTTGTTAAACCAACAATTAAATGTTACAAAACAAGTCAACTGACCAACTTTGTCTAGTATTCCATCTATCAAGCACATTTAACAGCCACCACTCACCATACACCTGTTCTGTGACTTATTTTTGAAAGAAATTGAATAGGATAAGATTTGAAAATTTAAAGATTCCATTTTTTCTTGATAGAAATCCAAAATGGCCTCATGATTAGAAATATTTGAATTACGGACTCCTCACCGAACCCTAATTTTTTCTTTCATGGTCATTCTTTGTAACGTCATTTTTCGTTTAGCCTGTTGCCAGTCTCATTGATGTGACTCTGGTATTAGCCTTTGAGTCAGAGAAGTCCTAATCAGAAGTATCGTAGTCGAGTGGTTTAAGCACTTGACTTGAAATTCAAAGGTCGTGGGTTAGATCCCCGACACGGCACTAACGTCCTTTGGCAAGACATTTGCCACTCAATACCTAAGAGAGAAATGGGGACCCAGTAGGATGACGAAAGCATTTGTGTTTCATCATCCTACCAGGTCCCCAGTTCTCTCCTGGGTATGGAGTGGCAAATGTAGATTAATGCCTGACCAAAGGACATTAGTGTTGTGTCCGGGATCAAGCCTACGGCCTTTGCATTCAAGTCCAGTGCTTAAACCACTCGACTACGCCACCTCTTATTAAACAGATATTGTTTGATTTCCTCATTTCATTCTTCGTTGCAGCGGAGATGTACTATGGACCAATCCCAGCCTACAAGAGAAGAAAACCCAATCAGAAATAAACGGAGAACAAAACTTTCCTACTTCTTATTGTGAGCTGCATGCCGAGGCTGAAGACCCTATGGAAGAATGACCCTGTACAGACGATGAAAGGTCAATGGACTTTTTATGCTACTGTGGAACTTCTTTATGGAGAACACATTTATAAAGTGGAACCTCGTTATAATGAGGTTCTTTGGACCGTGGAAATTACCTTATATTAGGGTAAAAACCCCAAAAGAATATAAAGAGCTGGGACCAGCAAATTTTACCCCACTATAACAGATACCTTGTTTTATCAGAGTTCTTTGTAATGGGGTTCCACTGTAGCAAACTTTCATTGAAATAAAGTAATTTTGCCAGCCCCAGATATTGTCTTTTTTAGGGGTTGGTCTTGTCATTATCGTGTTTTTTTAGCCCTGATACAACAAGATTTCAAAGTGACGAGGTCATTGGGTAATTTTCTTTTTCCTAGGGTGTTTAATAATAATAATATTTAATTTATGATAACAAGGATCCACTGTGAAGTGGTGTATTTGTTTTTTGTATTCCCTGTAAAGGTGCTGGTAGTTATGAATAAGTTGCACATGAGAGGCCACATGGTCATTTGTTGATTTATGCTCATTTGATAATTCTAAACCAGATAAATATTCTTATGTAAAGTCGGTTATTATATGCCGAAAGAAAAAAGGATCTATCTAGATATAGCAATCATGGGGCATTGTTAAATAAAATGTTGAATATAAATAAATTTTTGATAGATACTGTGTTTTGACAGTTAATATTTTGTGTAAAAAGAATCGTAATACAAGAGAAGCAGTGTTATTGTTTTATTTCAATTATTTATCACCTTGAAAAGTAAATTACCCTTATTTTCAGAAGATCATGGCTAAAATTGTATATTGCGTAGCAAAATAATATTGTTACAACAATCGCCAAGTAAACATTTTGAGGGGGAGGGGGGCTACATTTCTAATCTTTTATAACCCCACTACCTCCTGCATTTGTTGTTGTAGATTTTGATTGCTTCGGTGGTAAAAAAAATGAAGTGTCACATCAGGGATTCAAAGGTCGTGGAAAAACCAGGAAAGTCATAGAGAAATGACAAAATTCTCCTAAGTCATTGATATTGTGAGGGGAGGCGGAGGCAATCGCAAACAATAAATAATATATATCACTGTGTGTTATTTGTATACCACTTGGATGCCGCAACCAATACCAAAATGGTACTTATCTTTTCAAGGAAAAAGGCAAAAATAGATCATGGAAATTCATTGAATTTAGTACCTTAATTTCTCTGTGGAACCTTGGATATATATTTTGTGAGACCATGTTTTTTACCACCAAGGCAACAAAAGACACCTTTTATGCTGCCAGACATAAACACCCTCTCCCCCCCCCCCCAAAAAAAAGGAAGATGAGGCAGAGAAGCAACCGTTATGTTTGAGGCCTGATAACCAGTTTACTTGTGACCTTAAATGTTTTGATACATGTTATTGAAAATGGTGCCAAATGGTGAAGAAAATTATTAATGGTTGTTGACAAATGTAATTTTGGGTACATGGTTTGCAACCATTCATGAATTCACGACACTAATTTCCTTTTTATGTAAATGTACCTACACTGTTTGTGGAACACATAGAGAATCCTTATAAATGTATTTTTACTTGTAAATACAATGTCTGACAAAATATGGAAGCTTGGAGAGAGAGAGAGAGAGAGAGAGAGAGAGAGAGAGAGAGAGAGAGAGAGAGAGAGAGGGGAATGAGAGAGACTTAATGTAAATATTTATCCAGTGGGCATAAATCATGAATTTCCAATGTGAATTCAAGAGCAGGGGCCAGAATGTTCAATAATTGTTCATTTTTTTGTCATTGTTTTGTGTTATTTAGTACTTTTTTAAATGCAGTCAAACAGTAAAAACATGGGTTCAATGAAAATAAAGAGCCCGTGTAGATGGAAAAGCAAAAAAAGAATTGTGAAATTGCATGGGTGGAAGAAGAAAGAAGAATAAGAAAGCTAGGGAGTATGCAAAGAGAAAGGAAAATTCAAGCTAGAATTTTAGAACTAGACTATAGTAAATATGTCTGTATTATTTTTGTGTTGTCTTTCTTGATTATGTGAATGTCTTTTCTTTTCATGCTATGTCCTCACTGAAATGTCATTTTCTTTTTTAATAATGCATTTAAAGTATTAGTATTATTTGCACAGTGTTTGATATTTTGTGGTGCATGTTTATATTCTGTCAATTGTATTTGCCATTTAATTCATTCATTTGTAGAAGTGTGCATTATTACATGTAAGGAAGCGCAAGTGCTTTTCACTTGTCAATGGGGAAGATTTTGAATAAAAATGTTTCTATGAAATGTCATTTCTGTTTTCTAGAGCAACAATATATGAAATACATAGCAACACTTTAGAGTACAGAAGCTGTGACATCATAAACATCTATTTTTAGAATTTCTCAATTTGAACTTTATTTTCAGAAAGAGCATCAAAATAATGTCCAAATGTTGAAAATCAATTGAATATGGCTGCGATATGCTCATCCGAATGAATTAATTTCAATAGGAAATCACTGTTATTATTAACCAGAGCAAAATAAGAGTGATTTCATATTGAAATTAATCCATTCGGAAGGGCATATCACAGCCAATACCAGTACTCAAAATATTCAATTGGTTTTCAACATTTGGACATTATTTTTGTATGCTCTTTCGGGAAACGAATTTCAAATTTGGAAACTCTAAAAATAGTTTTTTGATGACATCACACTTGACCACTCTATAAAGACTTGATCAGACGATGCGGTAAACCACCAAAAAAGAACCCACAGCATTTTTTTTACGTGTAAACTGAGTGCATGCAACAAAACTTGTGCATATTCACCAAGCTTTGTTGCAAGATGCTGAAATGTGAATGGTGTTCCACTTTACGTCATCTTAAACAAATTTCGGTGGTTTTGCCACATCCTATCTGAACAAGCCTGAGGTAGAAAATAGGTACAGGAGAAAAACAGGAAGAGAGAGTGAGACGGAGAGGGAGAGAGAGGTCGGTCAAGGGGAAGGAAGAGAGGAGGGGGGGGGAGAGATGGAGAGAGGATTATGAGAAAAGGGAAAGAGAGGGGGAGGGGGAGAGAGGATTACAAGAAAAGAGGGTAATTGGGAGGAAAGTGAGACAGGGGAGGGAGTGAGAGAGGTCACGGGGAAGGAAGAGGGGGGGGGGGGGATAGAGGACGGTAAAGTATGAGGCAACAATATACAAGGAACGGGTGGTAAGCTTTAAGGGAGGTAGAGAGAGAGAGATGAGAGAGGTCAAGGGGAAAGATGAGAGGGGGAGGGGAGAGCGAGAGGATTATGAGAAAAGAAGGGTGAGATAGAGGATGGTAAAGTATGGGGGAACTGAATATAGGAGGAAGGGGTGGTAAGATTAAAGAGAGAGGAGGGTGGAGATAGGAGAGTGGAGAGATGGGAATATGAGAGGGCAGCGAGTGGAAACTAGAGAGACGGGGAGAGGGAGTGAGAGAGGTCGAGGAGAAAGAAGAGGGGGGGGGGGGGGGGGAGAGGAATACAAGAAAAGAAGGGAAAGAGATAGAGGACAGTAAAGTATGGGGGAACTGAATATAGGAGGAAAGGGAGGTAAAGAGAGAGAGAGGAGGGTGGAGAGATGGGAATATGAGAGGGCAGCCAGTGGAAACTAGAGAAAGAGAGGGATGAGAGAGGTCAAGGGGAAGGAAGAGAGGATTACGAGAAAAGAAGATGAGAAAGAGGAGGGTAAAGTATGGGGGAACTGAATATAGGAGGAAAAGGAGGTAGAGAGAGAGAGAGAGGAGGGTGGAGAGATTGGAATATGAGAGGGCAGCGAGTGGAAACTAGACAAAGAGACAGGGAGAGGTCAAGGGGAAGGAAGAGAGGGGAGAGAAGGGGGAGAGGAATACGAGAAAAGAAGGGAAAGAGATAGAGGACAGTATGGGGGAACTGAATACAGGAGGAAAGGGAGGTAGAGAGGGCAGAGAGAGAGAATGGAAACTAGAAAAAGAGAGGGATGAGAGCATTAGAAAGGGTTATGGCACATATTACGAGAACAGTACCAACATATTAATTATTGATTAGGAAAATATCTACCGTACTTTATTTAATACTTGGATGTATTAATGAGAACAAAAAACCATGTAAGCAATAATTGACTAGAAGAATCTAGTAATACACATTCAGATGGATCCTTGTTAAAATGGTGTTGGATCCGAGGAAAACAGCAACACCAATATATACCTCTTCTACATTGGTAAATTTATCACTATCATTGACATGTCAACTAGACCTCAAAGAGTAAAGATTAGGAGGAAAAGTGGTGGGGAGGGGGGGGGGGTGGAGCTGAGGGATTCGGAGTTGATAGCCAACTCTTATACCCTTATTGGTAGCATTTAACAATTATATAGTACTCTAAAACGAAAGGGAGAACAAGAAATGTGTGAAGATAGTATTACAGATGAACACAGAAGGAAAAGGAATTTAGAAATGTGCACGCAAAGATGAAGTACAGACAGGCGCGTACGCAGCATTTTTTCAAGGGGGGGTTTAACATTTATAAATCGGGCCGAAAATTTCGCAACGACTCAGCCAGCCGCTGAATTTTTTTGGTCTCGAAATTTAAAAATTTGACATTTTGCTCCGTTGGGGGGGGGGGGGTAAGGTCAGCTTTTTTAGGTCAGCCAAAAAAAAAAATCCAAAGGGGGGGGGGGGGGTTTACACCCAAAAAAATACCAAAGGGGGGGTGTTCATCCCCCCCCCCCCCTGTGTACGCGCCTGAGTACAGACATTCATAATACAGCTCCAACAAAGAATAAGGAAGTCTAGTTAAACAAAGCTTGATGTTAAACAACTGAATTTAATTTCCCTCTTTTTAAAAGAATTGTACCAAAGTGATGGCTGCTTTACAGCTGATTAACTAATTGTTTTACATAACAAATTAATCCATATATGATTTTAAATTTGTTAAAGAAAACAAATTTCTGAAATAGGCTCTCATTATATCTAGAAAGAACAATATAGACAATTTATGGACACATTCTTTTGTAAAGACGTATCAACTATAACTAAACTGAATGTTTTTGGCTTACAACTGCGCTTCTACAACAAAAACAGTGCATATTATAAAAATACATTTTTAAATGTTCAAATTGTGGTATCATATCACAGCTGCATTTGAAATACATGTACCAGTATACATATATATTTTCTCTGGGTTGCATAGACAAAGGATCAAGAATAGAAAAATAATTTGATTTGAGTTGTGAAAGGCAAGATAAAGGAGGTTTCAAATGTTTTGAAGACATATCTGTTCTGGAACCATGCAGACTAATTAAATCCACATTACAAATTTAGAAGAAAAAAAAAATGTTCAAATAATTCACACACAATACTACTGCACATTACATTTACAATGCTTTGCTGTTCTGGATCTTCATCCCAATCTAATAGATTTTATAATGAATAATGAAACAAGAAAAGAAGAACTATATTGGTCAAAAGACACTTCCCATATTTCCCAACAAGATAATGGAAGGAATTGAAGTAAAAGAGATTGATTCATATAAAATGAATACAAATCGCATACAAAAATATATATAAAAGTCTTTGAGGATATAAAAATTGACTAATATCAACCATTTTCTGTACCACTGCTAGGCACGTTTATCATCAGACATACATGATTTCAATTTTGACATTTTCACTGGACACTTGATGATAAATGATGTAAAAATAATGATCAAAATTCTTTTTCGATCATGCATGTTGAAGTGCACACACTATGTAAAAATTGACTTTTGAGTTTCATTTTTTTAATTTAATGTAAATGTTGAAAATGAATCATGAAAATCTAAAGTATGTCCAATCTTGCTGCATTTGATTGTATCTTACCATGCATTATACATTTCTGTAACATACAAATTAATTGTACTGGTTAGTCACTTTTTACTGAAAAGTTACAATTGGTTGATGGAGATACAATTAATAATGGGGGAGATACAATCAATCAAAATTCATTATGATACAGGGTCCTGAATGGTTTATGACATCAACCAACTTTTCTTACACTTACAATAAAAAACCTTTTCCCTGAATACAAGGAGGTTTATATTTAAACATAACAGTTGACAATTAAGTGACTCATATTAATTGAGAGTTACCAATTACAGAAAAGTTTTAGTTGGTTGAAGGAGATACAATTAATAATGAGGTGAGATACGATCAAGCAAAATTCATTAGGATACAGGGCCTGAATGATTATCACATTAGCAAAGTTTTGTTACAATAATTTTTCCCTGAATACAAAGAGCTAGAATTATATCTAAACGTAAAGGTCAACAAGCGTCTTTTATTAATTGTAACGGTTATCAATTACTGAAAAGTTACAATTTGGTGAAGGAGATTAATAATGGGGGAGATACAATCAATCAAAATTCATTATGGTAGAGGGCCCTGGATGGTTTACGACATCAACCAAATTTTCTTACAATAAAACACCTTTTCCCTGAATATGAAGAACTAGTTTTATATCTAAATGTAACGGTTGACAAGTGTCTCATATTAATTGCAAGTTATCAATTACTGAAAAGTCATAATTTAACATACAATTAATATTGGGTGAGATACAATCAATCAAAATTCATTATGGGACATGCAGGGCCCTGGATGGCTTATGAAATCAACACGCAAGTTTTGTTAATACAATAAGACACCATTTTCCCTGAATAAGAAGAGCTAGGATTATATTTAAACGTAACGGTTAACAAGTGACTCGTATTTCTCCTGTTGGCCAGAGGTGACGGCAGGCTCTCCAGCTTTCTTGATGAATGCCTAATACACAGGAAGGAATAAGACCACGCATTGTAAACATAAACTCGTCAAGATAAGAATGACGATAATAATTATATAATGATGACGATAATGATATGATACATATAAAAGAAGGAATATAAAGGAACATGGACAAAAAATTGAAAATTTAATTATTAAATGTGCATTTAAAAATCTTAACTTGTTGCCAATTAACATATTGTAATGTTTATTTGCCTTTCAAAAATCCACTTTATCAAACACCAAAGGCAACAAAATATTTACTTTATATTACAGAAATCTCTGTTTTTCTTCTCGTTCATCTGGTACAGCTTTTAGGGCAAGGATTGCTTTTTACCAAAACAAAAAAAACAGCCCTTTTTTCTTTACCACTTGAAGTAAATTAAAGCATATCTTTTAAGAATTTCAGGACTCCTATTTGGCAGCAATAATTCTAAAATATACAATTCTGTTCCCACTGCAATCTCTATGAAAACCCAATAATATTCTATTACCGGTATATGTTTTGTAGTGGCTTTAATAAAGGTAAAGGATAATAAATGATATAGAGATGTGGGCCTCATATGGAATAGAACAAATAAAACATTCATTTCATTCAAAGCAGATAAGATTTTTTATTTTATTTACTAATGTACCTCACAATCCTGGAGGGTAGCCGTGCCTTCTGCTATTTTCAGTCCAATACCATGGGTGAAGCTGGAATAACGATCCTAAATATAAAATAAAATGGAAAAGTAATGTAGCTCCACTACTTTGGTCACTTTCTTCACCTCTCTTCACGATTAACTATTGGCAAAAGTGGCAAAATCTTCTTCTTTCTTCTGCTATTTATCTTTAAAGCCCTTCTGCACTAGCTTGGCCAATAGGGATTAGACCTCCCTGCAAGGTCACAGACAGGTGGTTATCTCATCAAATCAGCTCTCAATTAACATAAGAAAAAGAGGATCATGTGGAGCATTGTTTGCTATATAGGAGGCGCAAGTAGTGCAGTCCCGCTTTGAAGGGCTATGTAGCCTATCATGCAGATCTGTCGAAAGATTACTAGTTTTTGTATGCAGGCATACTAAACACTGGGTTCACATCCTGATATATACTGTTCTTCACATGCTTTAAGAAAATTAAATTTCTAAAACACTTTAACAGTATTAAACACAAAGCTCTATGAAATGAGGAAACTGCTTATTCCATGTACATGCTATATTGGAAACTGGGATACTATAATTATCTAGAGTACAAATAGCTGATGAAGTATAGTTTTATACTTTTCTGTCCATTATATAATGACAGCAAAAAGAAATCAGTATCTTTTAATAATAATAATAATAAGTAGATTCTTATATAGAGCAATAATACTCAAAAGGCCTCTATATGCGCGTTACACAGTACGGTAGAAATTCAAGAGATAATTACAATAGATGCTTACTGAGATATACATGTAGTATACTTCAAATAAGTTGGAAAATGCAAAATATACAATAAACTATGTAAATGATTAACACATACATTGTCAAATCAAATTTGATGTTTTAAATGTTTTTTTCTCTATAATTTTTTGTAATGAATTTAAAGTTAAAGAAATTTGTGTGAATATAAATAATATCAAAAATTACAAGAAGTTAATTCAGCAAACCTACCTCTACCATCTTCTGGAGGTGCCCCTCAGAAATGATCTTGGCAGCATTGCGCAGACCTCTGGCAAAGGAATCCATAGCCCCGATGTGAGCGTAGAACATGTCCGCCAAGTCTGTGGACTCACGTCGGACCTTGGCATCAAAGTTGAGACCGCCTGGTGCTACCCCGCCCTGGTCAATAATGCACTGCAGGGGGGGGGGGGGTAAGATGAACCAATGGTAAACCATTTTCATGTGACAATGACAATGACATTTATTCTCATGTCACCCATAATCAGGGTATTGGAGAATACAATCATATATTTTTCAAACCAACCAAAAACTGTACTAAAAAGAACTTGTTTATAGACATCTTCTGCTTATAAAAACAAAACAATATGAGACTATATTTAAATTGTAATCATATTGCCTGAATTGAAGAAAAGGGCAATGTGTGATACATAATGGGACCATTTACACAGTGCAAACACCATTTAAAAAATATCATCCATTTACTGCGGAATTGTACCACAGTTTCTCAAGCAGGCATTTAAACACTGCAAAAAGTGGTGACATTTCGGCAGGTCTTCAAAAAAAAAACACACCAGAGGTGGATTTGTTTGTTTTGTTTCTTTGTCCTGTTTTCGGGTAGGTACTATGCAACTACCGAAAAAAACATAGGAATGTGAATTTTTTGCTTGCAGTGTCAATGCAGCTATGAATCGTACAGGCAGCCTACCTTGCAGATAGCCGTAGCTCCTCTGATATCCATGGGGAACTGATCGGTATCCCAGCCAAGGTCAGGGGATCCAGTGTTAGCATCAATCGAGCCTAGCATACGAAGACTGCAAGAAAAGAAAATGAGAGACATATAAACATACATTTATTGGTGTATTGTTCATTGGTCTATAAGAAGTGACCAGCAAGCTGAAGGGGTCAGTTTACAACTAGAATAATACAATATACAATTATAAACATAGAATGTGCAAAAGAAATAGAGTGTATATAAACAAAAGGAAAAATTACAAAGAATTATACATTGCTTCAGTAGGCCTATACACATGTGATAGCAAAGAGATTAAAGGAAGGAGAGATAAAGGTTCAGAAGAAGGTAGCGAAGGAGAGAGCATGAGAGAGAAAGGGAGAGAGAGAGAGAAAAGGGGAGAGAGAAAAGGGGAGAGAGAGAGAGAGAGAGAGAGAGAGAAAGAGAGACAGAGACAGAAAGACAGAGAGGGAGGGAGGGACAAAGAAAAAAAAAGTTTAAATGCAAATGTATAATGAATTGTCAGTCTAATCTGCTCTGCTGCTGATGAGAAGAATAAAATCAATTGTCAACAGTTCAAAGGCCAAAGGTCAAATGTAGTTATAGTAACTTGAAAAATACATTGGACCAATTTAAGGAGATAAATGCACTATATCGTTTCATATCAAGGCACAAACGAATGTGCAAAGCTGTTTTTATCTGTGTCCATTATTTGCATAGACTTTGAGATACATACAATAAAGTGTTTTTAAACAGATATTGAAGATCACATCACTCAGTCGAGTCACTCAATTATTGTCTCACACTTTAGTACACCCCTTCAAGTAAAGAATCATGTTAAGACACGCATCTGCAACACACTTGCTGTGGTTATTTCTGTTGGATCACAGTGAAATAAATATTCATATATGTGTGGTATACTAGTCGAGATAATTTGAAATGATCGATACATCAATTCCCAATAACTCTCCATTATTGTTGAAATTTGGGCAAAAGTTTATACTGGAATGGAAATGTGAATTGAATTGAATTGAATTTAAATTGAATTGAATTGAATTGAATTGAATTGAATTGAATTGAATTGAATTGAATTGAATTGAATTGAATTGAATTTGAATTTGAATTTGAATTGAATTGAATTTGAATTGAATTGAATTGAATTGAATTAAATTTGAATTAAATTGAATTGAATTGAATAGAATACTGGATGGAAAGATGAACAATTTATCATACTCACGCAGAAGCCATAACGATGTCATGCTCATACGCATGTCCAGCTAACATGGTATGGTTTGGTTCGATGTTCAATTTGAAATCATTCTGTAGATTAAAGTGCTCCAAGAAACCAATCACTGTCATTGCATCTAAAAAATAAAAAATAAACAACATCAAATCATCTTGATCTTAACGTGCTTTCAATGATTTGAAATAATAACAAATAGACATTAATTAAAGTGTGAGCTGCCTTGTCCAAAAAATCGGGGGAGAATATATATTCCCAACAAAATTCAGTTATTACAGTCATTATGGGGTATTATATTGAAAGTTGATTCATGACACAGTTCGGGAAGGAAGAGGGAAGTTGGTCCACTGGGTTTAACCACTTCGATAGCAGTTTTGAGGGTAACAGGCAAGATAGAAGAAATGGGAGACAGTGGGGCAGTATTCCTAGAAGGGGGAACCTAGATTTTTTTTTTCAAGAGTCTCATCTTTTCCATACCTATGTTAAAAAAAATTGCTTTGCATTTTCAGTGCCTTACAATTTATATTTTCACTCTCAAAGGAATTGCCCCCCCTCCCAAAAAAAAGATATGCATTTAGATGTTTACCGTAATCATACTGATGCCTGGTTGGTTCTTTGGGTTTGGGTTCTATCAAAAGCTGACCAGTGAATCCAATCTCATTCTTGTACTCTGTAAAAAAAAAACAGGGAAAAATGACATCATAGGTCAAAGGTCGGCAATAAATCTCATACATAACATCACATACATTAATCTACCGTCATCTAGACAATTGATCAATATTGCGTATATATCAATTCAGCTACATTCCTGACAGCAGTTTTATCAATCAAACCAAACCTTCAATTGATTAATCATGTGATAAATAACATACAGGGAATGAATCAATTAATTGATGTATAAATCTATTTTTGTGTTATCTATTCAATCATCTACATGTATCTCATCTATCTTAACCTATCTATCTATCTATCTATTTTTCTTTCCATCTATCTATATCTATCTATCTATTTCATAATCAATCTACATTTATCTATCTAACTATCAATCTATCCATCTATCTATCTATCTACATGTATATATCTATCCATCCATCCATATAACTATCTATTTATATATCCATTTATCTATCCATCTATCCATTTATCTATCTATCTATCTATTTATCTATCTATCTGAATATCTTTCTAGCCATCTATATATCTTTCTATTTCTCCATATATCTATCCATCTATCTATTTCTTTATCTGTCTCCGTCTATCTTTATATTTATATATCTAAATGTAACATGGTATCTACCGGGTACACTTAAGTTTATTTATCTGTGTATTTCAAGATCTACGTATCTAATTTCAATAATGTCCACATTTGTAAAAAATTCCACTCACTAATGGCCATCTTGAAGAAGTTTGCCATGTGGGAGAGCTCCCCCTGTAGGTCAGTATTGAGCAGGCTCTGGTAGCCCTCTCGTCCTCCCCAGAAAACTAAAAATACAACAGAAATTAGTTAAGTTAAATAATATCAAATCAGTTATCCATATATATTACATTTTTAAAGGTACTATGTCCCATTTGCAGGCCCAAAAAATGAAAAAGTTAAATTCCAATTGCATTTGAAAGATAATACTTATTTAGAACTTCCCTTCAAAAGGTGGGGCATGAAAATGTCTTCAAGTGGGAAAATAATGACTATTAGTTGTCAAATCGACTTTAGGGCTATAGAGCCCAAAAGTAATAGTTTTGATTTTCAGACAATTGTACCGAATGGTCATACGTTTTATGCTGCGCAAAGATTCAATCAGTTTAATCTTGGCCATCACAAGAAGTGGGTTATTGATGTAGACAAATGCTCATGTACCCTTAACAACTCTTTTCATGTATGTTATTACCAAAGAAGAAAAAAACCAGTCAGTCACTCAATAGTGTCTGACAGTGAAACGGGTTTTCTTGCATAATTTGAATATAAGGACACTGCTAACGTTTAAATTTCACAGATAGGACATACATGACATATTCATAATTCCTGCAAAGTTCTACAGAATTTGAGGTTGGCTGCAAAAGGGACATAGTACCTTTAATGTAAGCTCACATCATAACATCTCTTCCTTGCTTTGTAAAAAGTGATTTAAAAAAAAAAAATTGTGACACAAAAGTTAGCTGGCTATCTTCTCTGATATAAAAGCAGACATGAACAAACGTGAAACAGGAAAATTGGCATGCATGAAATTTTTCCAAATTTCTGATGTATACAAAGAGGCCGAGATTCACTAAGTTTCAAGAAGTAAAAACAGGCTGTTACAAGCCATTCACAGAGAGTGTGCTTTGATAGTATGATATAAACAACTCACCAAAGTTTACTCCTCCCAGTTTCTTGCCAACCTCTAGTCCTTTCTTCACAGCTGCTGCTGCGTAGGCTACAACATGAGCATCAGGGTTAGTAGCACCGCCATTCATGTACCTGTTTACAGTAAGAGAGGAACTCCTGATCAGCATATATATTCAAACAGTCTTTAATAAAGTTTAAGTTCAAGTTCAATTTTATTCAATTCTAATAAAGCATATATTTACATACACATCAAAAAAACGGAACAGTATTCACAAAGGAAGATACTAACCACGTCCCAACCAAGGGCACCAGTCAACATCCATCTATGCCATGCATCGAGTTTAATACTGATGGAATCAAAAAGCTGTTGGAGAACCTAAACCCAGGGAAAGCTCCGGGACCAGACCAGGTACCAATACGCATTCTAAAAAGAAGCTGCACAACAGATAGCTCCCGTTCTTCAGGTCATCTTTACTCAATCCTATGTAACTGGAACCTTGCCTCAAGATTGGCTCACAGCAAACATTGTAGCCATCTACAAAAAGGGTAATAGAAGCCTCCCAGTGAATTACCGCCCAGTGTCCTTGACGTGTGTAACAACTAAACTGATGGAACATATTATCTTCCACTCAATCATGGATCACCTGGAATTGCACACTCTACTCCAACATTACCAACATGGATTTCGGAAACAACATTCCACCGAGTCGCAGCTTGCTATAACAGTCGAAGAAATAGCGAGGGCTCTGGACCATCACCACCAGATTGACATGCTGATACTCGACTTCTCCAAAGCTTTCGACACGGTACCACATCAGCGCTTACTGGGGAAAATAGATCATTACGGCATCCGAGACAACACCAAGAACTGGATAAAGACCTGGCTGACTGCACGGACACAACGACTAGTTGTTGATGGAGCAGCATCGGAAACCATAGATGTTGAATCAGGGGTGCCGCAGGGGACAGTTTTAGGGCCACTGATGTTCCTACTTTACATCAATGATATTGGAGAGGACATTAGTTTAACCATTAAGCTCTTTGCCGATGATTGCCTCTTGTTCAGAAAGATCGACAAAGATGAGGATGCCCAGGATCTACAGAAAGACCTTCAAAAGCTGCACAAATGCGAAGAAGTGCTACAGCATGAGAATTCATCGCATGCAGAAACCCATCATCCTTAACTACACCATGGGAGATGAGGTGCTCGCCGCTGTTTCCAGCCAGTCTTACTTGGGGATGGAGATCCATGAAAAACTTAGCTGGAAACATCACATCAAGGCAGTCGCAGCCAAAGCCAACAGAACACTTGGATTCATTCGAAGAAACCTCAGCCTATGCTCATCTGCCATCAAGAAACAGGCATACACAACACTAGTCAGATCACAACTAGAATATGGGGCAGCTATATGGGATCCATATCGGCAAAACCTGATAGATAGCCTTGAGAAAGTTTAGAGGAGGGGGATACGCTTCATCACAGGGAATCACAGCCGAGAAGACAGCGTCACGGCTATGCGATTGAACATCGGACTCCCAACTCTACAAGAGCGACGACTGGAATCACGTCTAGCCATGATGTACAAGATCCTCCACCACCAGATAGCCATCCCTCTTCCAGATTACATCTCACAGAAAGACAGAGCTACAAGGAGTCAACATCACCTTCGTTTCACCAGACTTGGTACATCCTCCAATTCTTACAAATACAGCTTCTTTCCTCGCACCATGAAAGACTGGGATGAGCTTCCTACAAATATCATTGAACTGCCCACATTGAAGCAGTTCAAGGAAGCCATCAGCTGCGAATAGTCACAGCATCATCATTATTTTTTATGATTTTATGATTTTTATCATTTTACTTGCACCATAAACATGTATATATTTCGGCACAAATTTACACAAGCCGTCCACCGTCAGCAAAAGATCACCCTTGTCTAGATGCTGAACAGGCTTTGACAAGTAGTAGAATAGAAGATGGAAATCATATCAATGTAATCAAGGGTACCATAAAAGACCAAGGCTGTCTTGTCAAGATAGTCCCCTTATGAAATAAAAGGAAAAAGGAAAAAGTGCTCAAATGAAATTGAGAGAGGATATTTAAACAGTCGGTTATATGAATATGCAAAAAAAAAAAAAAAAAAAAAAAAAATTGTAGATTAAAAGATGAAATAAGACATAGAACGATATATAAAACACGGGGCGAAAAAGAAAAAGGCCAAAACAAAATTTATAGCTTTAGACTGAAAATTCAGAAGATAAAAGAATGGTCACAGAGGAATAAAGTTTTAACCTTGTCTGAATGAACCAGCTTAACCTTCTCAAATAGGCACAAAATCATTTTGGGGGTTATTCTTTAGACTGTATAAACCTGTTTGAATAACTTTTAACATTACAGAAACTGGCAATTTCCATTTTACAATGTTCATATTCATGAACTGAATTATGCACTAGACCAGACAAAGTCTCTCTAGAGGATATATATATTCCTGAGGATCAAAAAAAAAGTTTCTGTCAACTCAAAATTATTTTATTGAATGTCTTTTTGAATGGACGTAAATTGTTATTTGTGTATCTATATACCATGTAAATACCACAAATTTCTATTGTAAAATGGACAATAGATATGAACCTTATCAAACCTCATGAACTGTCAAATTCTTCACAAACTTTCACTATTTCTCATTTTCTGGATTTCAATGTGAAGTTGAAATTACCCTTTATTATAATTATATCACACAGGAAGTGCTGATATCAATACCATAATAATAGAGACAAATGATTTGAAAGAACGTGTCACATATTACCTCTTGTGAGAGAAAAGGTTACAAGTGTTCCATAGAAGCTTGACTCCTGTTTTGTTCTGGAGTTCCAGAGCTAGATCAACGATCTCATCGAGATTACGGTTCGACTCTTCTATGGTGGCGCCCTCTGGAGCAACATCTCTGCCAATCAGGAAGAGGAGTATATCAAAAAACAAAAATAAAGAAGAAAAAAAAACAAAATAACAGAATTTGGAAATGTCAGTCTTGCCAGGCAAGATCTATGGTAATCCCTTCTGCTCCACTATTCCCCACTAAGGCTTCATTAAAAACTGTGGCGTTTAAAAAAAATGATACATAAAGTTTAACACGCATCAAATTTCTGAATCTTATAACACAGAGCTCAGTGAATATGCGCAGGACCTGTGTTATGGAATGCTGCCCATGGAGTGGAGAATGTGCATACATTTTGTGCAGGTAAGCCTGAATCCGATGACCGGGTAATAATATATCTGTAAAGCGCTTAGACATACCATAGATGTATTGGGCGCTATATAAAAGCGGAATATTATTATTATTATTACACAGTTGCCATTCATTTTAATATACGTTAAAGGTAAAGATTGGGGGGTGTTTCACAAAGATCCTAAGTAGAACTTAACTCTAAATTGGACTTAAAAATTATGGACAGCCATTGGAGTCTTAAAATGAAATATATTCAAAAGCAAAAATTCAAGTATTTTAGACTTTTTTTTATAAATTCCACGCCAAGAACATGAAATCTCCCATGATAATAAGAACTATGAATGATTTGAATCAACATTTTATGCCTTTTAAAATAACTTTACAAAATATTTTCAAGGATGCTAATGGCTTTCCATAATTGTTAAGTCCAACTTAGAGATAAGTTCAGCTTAGGATCTTTGTGAAACACCCCCCAGTATTGGAAACACCCCAATTTCAAAAAATGAAATGGAAGCTCTCATTACCAATCATGTGAAAGAATATGTTTTGACTAATACATGATGATAAAAAATTTGCCGGGAAACCGCCTACTAATTCATATATTTGGTAAATTTGTTTCTCTCATGGTCTGTGAGAGATATAGGATAGTCCCATATACATCTTTCTGTGTATAGTGCTTGTAACTTTACGAAGAATGGGCCAAATTTCTTATCATTTTGACGATTCCAGAACCTTGCAGATGCTAGATGCTAGATGATCAACCTTTTCTGATCGATTCCACAACGTTTCTTTCACAATGCAATTGCATGACCATAACTGGTCTTTACCTTTAACAAAATTAATGTGACGTTAATTGCAGCGATTTACTGAGCCATACATGTATCTGAATGAGCCTATGCTCACACAATTATCATACATGAACTTTGAAATGAAGTATAATGCCTGTTTTATTGCTAAATTGGACTTTAGAAGAATATCCAAAGGAATAAATTTGACAATATATATATAGGCCTAGCTGTTCAATGTAACTTTGTGCTGTGTAGGTTCTTTCAAAGTAAACAATAAACTGACTTAATTGTGTAATGTTGACAGGGGTGTATTTGTGGAGTTGCCTGGACAGCTAGAACACATGCAAGTTAGATAACACAAACATGGTTCAATGATATGCAGTAGGAGTAAATATATTATCAGAGATATGGCAGAGATAACAGCTTAACTTTGACCAATTAGACAACATATATTGCATAATGGGTAATATTTTTACAGGATACAAAATCTGCTATCTTATTCTGTGACATGTGTAAGACACATGAATATACACATGAATATACATATACCAAGGTAAACAAAAAAAATGTATTAAAATTCATGCTTTCATAGCCTCTTTTTTGGGGTTCAAACTCTCAAATAGAAAGTGAAAATCTGAATTTCAAAGACTGAAATTTTCTAGAGGAAGATACAGACCTGAATGTGATATTGTAACGTTGAACACTTTGAAATGTGTTTTTCTTTCACTTCATTGCACTTCAATTCTTTTTTTAATATTTGCATCAAACTTGCAGAGTGGCACTACCTACTGAGTTCACACTCTAATCTAGCAGCGTTATGAACTTATCTGTTATGGAACGACTTTAATCTAATGCCTCAGCTTGGTGTAGAACTCCAAGGTGGTGATTTCACACTTTCTTCTAGTAGCGTTTTACACTCACCTGTAATGAAATGACCAACTGCATCTATAATGCCTAGCCTTGGTAACAAATGATATAGGTGGCGAGTTTAAATTTAATCCTAGTAGTGCTTTAGCCTCATCTGTCATGAAATGATCAGTGTCTAATACATGTACCTAGCTAAGTTTAAGGTGGTGAGTTCAAACATTACTTTAAGAGCATTTTGACTAACCTGTCATGGAACGACCAGTATTTAATGCCTAGCTTGGTGAAGAACTCAAAAGCTACCCTCAGCCTCCTCTTGGCATTCTCTAAGCTTTCACTACCTATACAAGGAATGGGAGAAAGAGATAGAGAGGTCAAGTTGAGAGAGGTCAAGTTGAGAGAGGGAGATGCAGAGAGATAGAGACAGTAAGGGAGGGTGGAAGAGGAAGAGGAAGAGAGAAGAGAGAGAAAGATAGAGAGAGAGAGAGAGAGAGAAAGTTTAATGACACAAAAACTCATCTTTTTCTCCAGATCAAAAAAATATATAAAAAAATAGAAGAATTTCAAAAATTGATACATTTTATTTCAAATTCAGTACAAAACAAAAAAACAGGTTATAAACATTTAAATACAAATAGTTGGAAAATGAAATAGTGTGTAGAAGCCTATGTGGCTTGACAAGTTGATACACCCATCACAAAGAATGAAAAACATTATATAAATTTCAAGTAGCTGTCGGTTTCATACTAAATTGCATAACTTAAACATACAGGGACAGTAAATAGCGATTGTTCTTACATGCATGTATTTTTAAAAGAATTTCCAAATTGAGTATTACATATTAAGGGGGATAATGTATGCCATATAATGGGACTAACAAACCAAATAGACTTAAAAAGAGGGTGAGATGCGACCTTTAATTGATGGAATAACTGGTTGTGTCTAGTATTACAATTGTGGACATGGACATTTAAAGAAAACATATTCATCAAGTATTCTGATAATGTATCTAAAACGTAACGATGCATAATTATACCCAATTTTAATTGATTAATATCAAAACCAACAAGACACTAGGTTAAATACTGGGCTAGAAAGTAGGCTAGAATTTGGTCTATTATTTACCATCATCCCACTCTCTAGTTATGGTTGGTCCTCCAAAGGGGTCCAGACCTACACCCCTGAAGGTGTGCCAGTAACAGACCGAGAACCTGAGCCACTCTGCCATGGTCTTGCCGAGGATCTCCTGTTAGGACCAAAACAACAGAACCATCATGAATGTGGAAATTTAAGTCTTACACTTTGAGTTGATTTGATTTGATTTGATTTATTGGTTTCTGCATCTTTTTTCTTTTTTTTCATCATACATTTACATGAACGTAATATGGTTTGATACAATATTTTTAGTGTATATAATTTTAAACAGATAATAAACGAAATTAAACAAATATACTGAATGCATAATTAACATACATTAGATGCAGGAGGGCTACAGAAATAAGCAAAGTAGCTTGACGTGCCCGCAGCCCCTAACTTAGATACAACAATAAAAATATTAATAAAAAGGGTGTGACTTGCAGAGAAGAAAAGGAAAGGGGAGAGAAGGAGCGTTGGTAATAATACAATACATCTCATACATCTGCTGATTGAATGCAGGTTCATTCATGAATGGATAAATGATGCTAGGTCACACTATGAACATGACTGACAAAGAAAGCGGACAAAATATACAGTTCCTCACTGGTACACAAAGGAACATCCCTTCACTGCTATTATGTAAAAATGTGTAGAACAGGTGTCACATGCACTTTTTACATAATAGCAGTGAAGGGATGTTCCTTTGTCTACCTGAGGAACTGTATATTTTGTCTGCTTTCTTTGTCCGTCATATTCATAGTGTCTTGGACGATTAAAAATCATTGTTGAATATTCAGTCAATGTACACACGAACATGAATACATGACTTTGTCACAAAACACATTTTCCAGACTTCATGCAATAATAATTATAATAATAATAATAATAATAATACTAATAACGACAATTAAAGGTAATACAAAGTATTGGTATGGGGTCATGAATTTGGTTCAAATGAACATATCGGAAGCATATGCGATCCTATAATATTCACTGATCGTTGTCGCAGTTGAAATCGAGTCTAAAGTTATGAAATTGTGAATCACTCGTTATGTTGTATAGCTCCCTCTCAAGGTCAAGATATTAATTAAGCTATACAACGATGTTTCTTCACTAAAATCGACCGATTAGCTATTCCTGTTTGGAAATTATATATTGTATCTACTTATTCTGAGATTTTCATGGTTGCAGCTACCATTGTACGGCAGTAGGCGCTAATTGAAATTTATCAAAATTTACCGGAAGCACCGGTAAATTTTTATATTCAATATTTCTCGAAAGCAGAAGTGTTTCAGGGGCTAATTTTTCTAGTGCTTATAATACATCTACAGGGGCATCCAAATATATCAAAATTGTAAAGAATCACTATCCACCCAATTTTCAAAATTTCCCAAAACTTTGTATTACGTTTACTATTATTTATTTTAAAAATATTAATAATATTAACAAAAATAATAATGACAAAGATAATTGATAATAATCAATGTCTTGCAACTTGAACCACCAACCATGTGATCCACAGTTCAAAGATGTATCCGCTAGACCACAACACCTCTAAATTTTTTAAAAAAAGTGATTTTATACATTTTTAATTATTGTACCTCGTCTGCATTGTAGTGTTTGTAGCAGAGTAAATCAGTTGGCTTTGCATCAGGTTTGTATTTAATCTTGTTGATACCTGAATCAGATAAGAAAGAAAGAAAGTATGAATTACGCTAGAACGAATTGATACAAGGAAACATGCACAATTTATTAATCTGGAATGCAGCAACCTATTTAAAAGCCTACAAATTATGTATTGGGAATTCTTTTTTCATAAAACAAAAAACATAATAGACCAGGAGAAAAATTTAGTGAGTACAAACTGACATTATAATTTTTATGCACCATCAACACAAAGAAGTAAACGTATTTATATTCTTTTGATGATACAACTATTAGTATGCTAATTTCCATGTTTGACCGATAATTCTGCGAGTTAATATCAATTATCTCATGGTCTAAAAAGAACCACATGTATGCAAAATCAGATCAATAAAAACAACAACTAAAGATCCCCTTTGAATTACTGTAACATTAAAATTCATTAAAACTTTTAAAAACAGATTAAGACACTTTTTTCCCCTACCTCTACTGAAATGAATGCTCTCGCAAACCTACTGGATCAATAAGTTTACACCCCTCCCCCCCCCCCCCACCAATAAAAATGGAGAATTTATAGGGCCTATCCCCCAAATTAGTGGCTGCAAGGTGTTTCCTGCCCCTTGTCCTAGCAGGTTTTACACACAATCATTTCTAAGGATGCTGTGATGCAAGACAGTTTATTCAAGGATATTAACCATTTCCTGCACCAGGTGTGGGTTTGGGTGGGGGGGGGGGGGGGGGGGAGGCACTTGCGTTCATTTTTGCTTAAATTCATCAATGATCCAAGAAAAAATTGGGAAAGGCTTGAATAAATTAGTGGGAGAAGGGAGAAGGGGATGGGGGGGGGGGGGGGGTGGCTGACTGACTAGCTGGCCCCACGGCCCAAAACTCCCCTCTAGCAGTAGATGAGCAGAGCCGATATGAGAAGCTGTTTCGTATTTGGGCGGTTGTCTTTAATGTAACAGACTTTTGTCAAGATTTTTGGTAGCCTATTTGGGATACCAATATTCCTTTATTTGAATTTGCTGTAAGGGATTTCCGTTTGCTCAAAATAAATTGACTGCTTTCTTTAAAAATACACCATCTAATTATGTTTTTATAAGTTTTTGTTATGAGCCCTACACAAAACCAATGGGCTCCTGATCTCAGAGAGGCAAAAAACTGGCTTGCCTTATTGTTGATGTTATTTATTTGGTTCTTTTGTAACTATAAAGTTAAGTCTCCAATATCATGAATATGGGAGACAGTTTCTCAAAATCAAATTGGCTGTGCACCATTTATTCCCGATCTCTCTCTCTCTCTCTCTCTCTCTCTCTGCTGGTCAAATCAATGTAATTAAATGAAGAAAAACAAAGTTTAAAACAAGTTTGGTGCATTTAAAACACAATGAATTGTCAACCTGTAGACCCGAAATATATTTGTGTTATTTTGACCTTATACATTACATAGGTCAGCTCAATGCAACAGGTGTGCTGGCATGCAAGGGAATGCAGGCAGAGACATAGAACGTACCTGGGAAGAATTCGTTTGCCCCCTGGTTTTCCTCTGTTTTCGCTCTCTTCGACTTGTGTTGAGACATTGTCACTGGTGAAACTATTACGATTCCCTTCAAAACCCAGAACTTGTAAATTGAAAGTTGAATCAACTATAGGCTACTGGCTGGAAGAGCGAATTCCAAAAGAACTGCAGAGGATCGAAGCTAAGTCGGTCTTCACGAAATGCATGTACTGTCGAGCTGGCGGCCGTATACGCAATACATGCATACTGTGCACGAAAACCTAGTTGGCCTACAACCTAGGCCTACAGAACACTCATTGCAGACAGATAAACGAGAGGGGCGTGACTTGTTTATTACCCTAAATTGAGAATCAGCGTGTTGCGGCTCATGCACGCGTGGAGGGAGCGGGTTGGAGACTTGGAGTCCGGGAGGCGGGGGGTGGGGGGGGGGGGGGGGGGGGGGGGGGGGGGGGGGGGGGGGAGAGGATGACGATCGAGTGGGGTTAGGGATGGGGATAAATAACAAACACGAACGGTGAAGTAAAACAAGATCGGAGGCAGTTACTATGTATTATGATGGCAATTAATAAGCAAACATCGGACACTTAAGAAACCCAAATTATGTATTGTTATGTCAATATTTGTCATCAAACACATTTTGAGAGGGAAATCTTTTCAGAAGTGTGTCTTAAATGAAATCCTCCTTTGCACATTATGACAATTTAAGTGAAATTTTGCCATCATAATATTTGGGGTAAGCGGACATTTTTTTTTTTTGGAGTCCCAAAAAAAAATCGCAACGACTCAGCCAGCCGAAAAGTCGCTCAGTGGGAGGGGGGAGGGGGTAGTGAGCACAATTTTTTTTTTGGTCCTCGAAAATTTTAAAATTTGCACCCCCCCCCCCCTTGAGCGCCAGGGGGGGGGCCCAACCCCCCAAAAAGGTAAAAATCGCGTGATTTTGCATGATTTTTTTCTCAAGGGGGGGGGGCCGGGCCCCCCGGGCCCCCCCCCCTGGATCCGCCACTGAGGGGAGGGGTTCTTATAGGGTTGCCACTTTTGAGCCAGAGAGTCATTGCGAGGACTGTAATGAGCACTTAATTTTTTTTCGTGAGAAAAATTTTATCCGCGAATTAGCCGGCGAATAAGTGGGGGGGGGGGGGGGTGGGGGAGGTGGGTGGGTGGTGAGCACTAATTTGTACGGGTGTAGCTACGATGCTGACTAAGTTAACGAAATAAATCGTAATATATTTATGTTGTCGAGGAAAATGAACATGTGCCATATCGCAAGTAGGCCTACTATACAGTGCGTCCCAGAAAAAATGAATTAATCACAATTATAATTAATAAATGACACAATTATTTGTAAAGCTTAGATCCTCCTTTTTCATTTGATGTAACTCATAATTATGATGCATATTTCACGCACGAGTGATTAAAATCAAATTGAAGAGAGGGTACCAAAAAGTAATTTGGCGGGCGTTATCTGAATTTCAAAGAGAAAAACACATTTCTAGAAAGTTTATTTTCTGCCCTTTCATACGACACCTCAATCAGGAATAACAAAATTCTGTTTGTTTAAATTAATGCTTGCATTTCCATAATTTGATGAAACGAATTGGTTTTTACTGGTTGCCTGCCATAGCAACGAGCAGACTTGACAAAAGACTTAGCATTAGCATCCAAAGATTAGCATCCAGAGGACCGCCTTAGGGCCCTAGATGGGGTCCAGGGGGGCAAAGCCACCGGATGTTCAGGGGTCTTGTTCAGGGTTATGCCGACATGTTTTGATTGAGTTATGAAATAAAAACTATTTGAATTTAATTGAAATGAATGACAATACGCAATCGAAGACTCGAATCATATCACATTCCCAAAACGACCGAACATAACTTTAGTGTCGATTTTATATTCGCAGAGAAATTTAATTTTAATTTTTAAAGATAACCAGATCGAATGATTAAAACAAAAATTATTGGCTGCCATCAAAGCTGAATCACGAGACATTCTCGCACTTCGCATCCTCGATATTACACACACTGAGCTTAAATGTGTTAAAATATTACTTTGATATTTATACAAAAATCATACTTTCCGTGCGCGCCTCAAATGTCTGACGGACAATCTGTGCGGAATAGATCTCGCACCAATAGTCCGCCTGCCGCACCGAATGTCCGTAGCTAAAACGGAACACAAAAGAGGAAGAAGAAAAGAAAAGGGTGAAAAGAAGCAGAGATCAGTTGCGATTAATCCCACCAACATCGTGTAGATCGGGGGAGGGGGCGAAAGGCCCCTGCCTCCCTCACCAAACTTAAATGAGAGAGAGAGAGAGAAGTTAGGGAAGGGAAAGGGAAACAAAAAGAGGAAGAATAAAGGTGGGGGAGATCAGTTGCAATTTTTCCCGATTTGTACCCCTCCCCTCCCCCCCCCTCAGGAAAGAGAGAGAGAGAGAGAGAGGAGAGAGAGAGAGAGAGAGAGAAGGAAGGGAAGTAAAAGGGAAGTAAAAGGGAAAGAGGAGAGAAAGGGACAGAAAACAAAGAGGAAGAAAATAAAAGGGGGAAAAGAATTAGGGAAGATCAGTTGCGATTTTCATTGGTTCTTCTATCATCATTGTACAACTATCGTACAAAATGTACTGTATTATACAAATGTATTTATATATTCATTTATTTATTCCTGTTTGATAACAAAAATATGAATATAAACTCATAACAGCAACAAAATTAAATACAGAAGGAAATATTTTGCTGGCAGCAAGAAGCGCAAAAATGATCATGCATTGGCATGTCCATGTAAGTGTATCATTAATGTCATTCATATTGTTTAATTACATCTTGTGAAATAGTATGCATTCAAGCTTTTGGGATTTTTTGGGGGTGTATTTATAGGAAAGAAAGCGTTTGGAGCTTATAATGCACATGTTGCAATTTCAGGTGCAGCTTAGTGTTCAAAATATATGGGACACGCACGGCAGGCGCGGATCCAGGATTTCTTAGGGGAGGGGGCCCAACTTTTTTTTTTTTTTTGCTCCCGAAAATTTGAAAATCGCGTCGGCCGAAAAGTCGCTCAGTGGGGGGGGGGGGGGGGGGGGGGGGGTAGTGAGCAATTTTTTTTTTTTTTTTTTTGCTCCCGAAAATTTGAAAACCGCGCCGGCAAAAATTCGCTCAGTGGGGGGGGGGGGGGGGGGGGGGGGGGGGGGGGGTAGTGATCGCATTTTTTTTTTTTTGATCCTCAAAATTTTTTCAATTTGCACCCCCCCTTGAGCGCCAGGGGGGGGGGCCCAACCCCCGAAAAAGGTAAAAATCACGTGATTTTACATGATTTTTTTCTCAAGGGGGGGGGGGCCCGGGCCCCCCGGGCCCCCCCCCCCCCCCCCCCCTGGATCCGCCACTGACGCACGGCCAGGCACTAAGGAAATCTTCAATGTTAATCAGATACTTGTCTGTTGCCTTACGAAAAAGTTTATATTTAGTCAGGCCTGGATTGAGTCGCAAAACAATTAGTGTGTTTAAAAGGAAAAAAACATATTTTATGACATTAGAAATTCCCCAAAAACCAATACGATTGGAGAGCGAGTACTCGTTTTGTTTTTCTTCAAAACTTACTCAACTATAAATAGCTTGCCCGGATACTTGAGCCACTCACAAAACGCAAATATAGGCCTGATGTGTCGTCAGGGGTGTCGCTAGACCTTTTTCTGTGGGGGGGGGGGGGGGTAAAGAGGCCAACGATTACCGACAAAACAAGCCACCAACTACCGAAAAAATTAAATGTCCCAATATCTACATATTTAACCCAATAAACCCGGGGCCTTAGGCTAAATTGTTTATGCGCAAATGGTCATTTTCGTCGACGACATAAATATACAAATTATTTCGTCAACTTAGTAAGCATCATAGCTCATTTTTTCCTCGCACAACCGAAGCATGGAATAATCTCAATCCGACCTTAGTATCCCTGACTGACTCAGCAAAGTTTAAAGTAGCACTCCTTCCGAAATAAGTCCACTCTCTGCCACCACGACCTCCAGTTTAAATTCCACCAGGAATCTTTTGGAGGAACAACAACCAAGTACCAAGTACCAAGTATGTTTAAACCACTTCAATACAGCAAATATACGGAAATATTCCAAGAGAGCACCATAAACTAACGTACGCCCTCTCGATCTCACATAAATTGCATGGTGGTAGCGCTCGAAGTAATGCAGCGACTTACTTACTAGACGTATAGAGATCTATAGTGCCTACATAAAGTTCACGAGAATATTTAGGCTTATATAGAGGGTCTACATGTATATGGCAGAGGCACAGGTAAGTTAAAGAGTCAGTGATATTTGATATGATCAATGACTTCTCATAATATCGCGATCGGATCTGAATGCGCTACAACTAGGACTTACAATTAAACTGAAGAAACGACCATGATTTAATTGCTCCAAGATCCAGGGAGCTCCGCCGCGACGCGAACGGCGTCGGAGGAGCTCCCTGGACTGTGGACTCTTGAGTTAATCTATTATCTAGATGTAGGCCAAGCATGACTAAGTTAGACAGATATAACCGTCTCTGCGTCTGGTATGGGTAATTCTTTAAAACTGATATTTGTCAACCTTATCCATACAGTTTGGTCTATTATGAATATGACAGGCACAGCAGGTGCTCAAAGGGGGGGGGGGGGCACAGACACACATTTTCGCCTCCCTCCCCCCCCCCCTTCCCCCGAAAAAATATGTAACTTGAATAGAATCACCATAAAAATTATATTCCATTTGATTAAGAAGACAAGAGAGTAAACAGGGGGGCGGGGGCAAACACATTTTCAATCCCCCCCTCCCCCCCCCCCCCCCCGAAAAAAATATGTAGGGTCTAACTTGAATAGATCTAGAATCACCTGGATCCCACCAAGGGCCTTGAGGCTTTGTCTCTTGCTTGCTTGCTGGGTTACATTATCAGGATTGTCGTAGTCCGTAGTAATTATGAACAAGAGTTAGTCCGATTTTATTCAATCATGCATAGATCTACCAATAGATGCATATATAGATCTACCAATTAGCCTAGACATGATGTTTATTCAATTTAATTTTCTTCATTTCTATGCAAGATCTCAAACTTGAATAAAGACAAGTACTACTGAAAGTCTGAAGAGCAGCATGAACAAGCGCAAGCAGAGGGTAGCTGTGCTTGGTGCTGGTATCACTGGGATATCAACAGCTACAATATACAGTTGCTGTGCCCCAATACTGAAGTCACAATCATCTCGGCAGAGTTCTCGCCGAACACAACTTCAGATGGCGCGGCGGGTTTCGTTCAGCCATATCTTGCTCCTGGTACACCAAGAAAAGATATAGAGTGAGTCTTAACTTTGTCTAGAATAATAACTAAAGTAAAAACTGTGGGGGGGGGGGGGGGACAAATTAACAAACAGATGGCCTAATGCTTTGGTAATGGCAATAGACTGGCTTTAAATCTTCAAATCTATGGATGTTTCTTACCTTGGCTGGGGGGAAGAGTGATGAGTTATTCCATTAACCTGTTATTAATGAATGAAATATGTATACCTGTAATCCAGCCTGCTTACATTACGTGTTGCTATGTTTGGCAAGTGTGGGCAAGCATGGGGCAATCAAGACCAACTTTTTTTTTTTAAGTATGCCTAAATTAGGTCTTTTAAAGGTACAGACCAGTATTGGAAATGCCCCAATTAAAAAAAATGAAATGGAAGCTCTTATTTCCCATCATGTGAAAGAATATGTTTTGACTATTACATGATGATAAAAATTTTGCCGGGAAACCGCCTACTAATTGATATATTTGGTAAATTAGTTTATCATTAGTATGTGAGAGATAAATGCACGTGTCGCGCACATGTGCGTAGTCCCATATACATCTTTCTGTGTACAGTGATTGTAACTTTACGAAGACTGGGCCAAATTTCTTATCATTTTGATGATTCCAGAACCTTGCAGTACACACTAATACTTATATGCTAGATAATCAACCTTTTCTGATCGATTCCACAACATTTCTTTCACAATGCAATCGCATGACCATAACTGATCTTTATCTTTAATAAACCTTAAATTCTTCCTGTGTATAAAAAATCACCCTCTGACCAATAAAACTGTTTCCTGTGTATTAAAAAATCACCCTCTGAGGCTCTGACCTATAAAACCGAAAAAAACTAAAATAGGTCTATTAATAACCCTTAAAATTCTTTCCTTTGTATTAAAAAATCACCCTCTGACCTATAAAACTGAAAAACTAAAATAGGTCTATTAATAACCCTTAAAATTCTTTCCTTTGTATTAAAAAATCACCCTCTGACCTATAAAACTGTAAAACTAAAATAGGTCTATTAATAACCTTAAAATTCTTTTCTGTGTATTTAAAAATCACCCTCTGACCAATAAAACTGTTTCCTGTGTATTAAAAAATCACCCTCTGAGGCTCTGACCTATAAACCGAAAAACTAAAATAGGTCTATTAATAACCCTTAAAATTCTTTCCTTTGTATTAAAAAATCACCCTCTGACCTATAAAACTGAAAAAACTAAAATAGGTCTATTAATAACCCTTAAAATTCTTTCCTTTGTATTAAAAAATCACCCTCTGACCTATAAAACTGTAAAACTAAAATAGGTCTATTAATAACCCTTAAAATTCTTTTCTGTGTATTTAAAAATCACCCCTGACCTAAATGTATAGAACTGAAAATCTAGTTCGTTCAAATGACCCTGAATATCCACAGTCCGTTAAACATGGACATGTCAGACAGTAAGGCTTTGTGCATTTTCTAATAATGGCTGTCAAATTAAGTCATGGAGGTGCTTGACCCTGCGCTTCATGAATATCTTTTGTTTGCCCTCTTGAGAAGAATACTTCCACCTGTGATACATCAAATGTACGGTCGATGCATAAATCAATAATGATTACACCACATTCATAAGCCATTATTTGTAGGTTTTACTATTTTTTGACAAATGACCTTTATATCAAATTATGTTTTTCTTATAAATTGGCTGCGTTCGCAAGCTTCTTTCATAATTATATGCACATGTATGTGCTGCATTTTTTTTCTTAAACAGGAGATGGTTTACATCGACATGGAAGCGTCTGGCCATGCTGATAAACTCAGTTGATGCTGGGAAGGCTGGGGTGCACTTCACATCAGGCTACAATGTCTTCAAGACTGTTGTGTAAGAGTTGTTCACATATATATCAGCTAGCCATAACAAAAAATTGCAGAAAAGGGCCCTGTCTTTCGAATTCTGATGATCCGAATCAGTTGCAAATGAACTTCAGTGTTATATTAATAGACCAGTTCACGGTTAGCACATGTCCCAAATGACCCGGAATATCCACAGATCTACAGAACATGAAGAGGTCCCACTTTGTACATTTTGAAATAATCAGTTCTACAGCGATGGAGGTGCTACATGCACATAAATAGCCTTTGTTTCCCCTTTCAAAGAATACTTCCACCTGCATCATAGAGTGCACTGCTTGTGCATAAATGAATAATGATTACATCACTTTCATGAGCACCTATCCAGTATTTTGTCTCCGTGTATTTCACAATTTGGTCTTGCAATGACCTTTATCTGCTCATGCTCAGACTGCAACTATGAACTAGCTTATAAGTTGCAAATGAATATAAGTCTTATATTAATTGCAAAGGTTTGTATAACTGTTTCATGTGCATTGTGAGTACCATCTCAAGTTATTTTATGTATGTTGTACACTATTGATTTTTTACTAAAATGAAAGATGAATTGATTTGAATTGAACCTTCTACATTCAATAAAGAAATAGGTAAATGTAGCTTTTTGTGTTTATTTCACAATTTGTGATTCATTGTAAAATCACATCTCATCATAAGATAAAATCTGCTTAATATCCAAAGTGAAATGTTATCATTGTTATAAGGCAGGGCCTAGGCATGGCTACATTTAGGGTGCACTTAACATCGGGCTACAATGTCTTCAAGACTGCTGTATTATTTAAAGAAGAGTCTGATCGAGGTATTCACATATAAGCTACATGTAGTCTTTGCAAAAAGTGTTACTCATCAGGGGGGTGTTTCATAAAGCTTTGTGTAAAGTTACGCATGACTTTACGAATGACTTGAATATGAAGAGCAAACTGTACATTGTAAATGGGATTCTCAAATCCTTTTGATTGCATAAGTTAAAGTTGAAATATGCAGATGTACATGTAGATTCAGCTTATCATTATTAATGCAAAGTGTATTTTGGGCTAAAATTTAATTGAGATTATGGGAAATACAGTCACACTTTGTTAAAATGTCAGGAAAAGCTTGGGCATCCCATTTGGCTCTTCATATACAAATAATTTGTAAAGTCATTCGTAACTTTACGCACAGCTTTATGAAACACCCCTAATCCCTTTTTTAAAACCAAATTTATCACAACTCAATTTGAGTTTTTATCTGTTGCAGTACTGTATATTCATACGGCAGTACGTACAAGAGATACCGGTAATGATAATACTAATAGGTCCATTTGTATAGCGCAACTACAGTACTATGTGAATACATTCTACCTCGCCTAATATGAAGTATCGCATGATTACCCCGGCTATATTTAACAGTGCATGTACTCTGTAGGCAATTGGAACTTTGTGACTGATCCCCATGACCCCAGATGGTTTAGACCAGTCGCATCTTGAACACCACAAAGCCTGTGGAAATATTAGAGAACAGGAATTGAATTGAATTTTTTTATTCATTGTCATACAACAGAAATCCCTTTCCATTGGTTGAACGATAACAAAGATCATGCTTGTCACAAACAGAATTATTTATAGCAAAGAATTGTAATGAAGTGTATGGGACTAACATACATTATATGATCACAACATGGGAGAATATACAAAATGAATTATTGTAGGAATTCCTCCTTCTCCTCATTTCTGTGGTTTTGTGGTTTTTCTATGCGTTTTGAGCAGTATGCATCCTCAATTGTGGTGAGGCAACATTTGGTCCGGTGGCAGAACTTTGCTCCAGGCTTTTTCTCCTTAAAAAAATATAGGGTAGAAAATGGGATGTTGTTGTTTGTTGTTGTTTTTCCAAGGTTTGGTTTAGGAACATGTTATATTGTTGAGCCCAAGGTTGAAGTTACATGTATGTCCTTGGTTCGTGTTGTGAATTCTAGTGCTGTGACCGTATGTACGGGTACACATCTGAAGGACCACTATACATGTACAGTATAAAAGGGGGAGAAAAAAAAATCTCCCTTTATTCAGCATTGTAAATTGCTGTAGTCAATATTTCACCAAAATATCCGTCATCAGTCTAAAAATGAAGTTTAAATTATCTTGTCGTCATGCAAACAATGCACATCATTACGGTCTGACTTTCACATGAGCGCGCGAGGGTTTCGTGTGCTGTACCGTTACTACAGTAACAACTTTTCCAATGCCGTCGAGTAAGTTACTGTCGAGTCTCTTCTCTATTGACAGATGATGTCACAAGATGAATGAGATCTGGAGCATATTTTTAGGGTGGGGCTTAGCAGGTCTGAGAAGATTATTTTTAAAAATATTAGAAAATCTATGAAATATATTTAGATGTTTGAAAAACAAAATATTAGTTGTATGCAGACCTGCACATCAGCAGGAATCAACTAATGTTTGGATGTCACCCAACCTTTATAGGATGAAGCAGTTCAGATCACTGTGCCAAACCGAACACAAATCCTGCATGCTCAATCATGTGTGCATGCCAACTGTTCAGATTAAAGAGGAACATTCCTCTTTTTGGGAGAAGATAATTATCATTTTAATGCAGGTGTTCCTCTTCCTGTACAAATTTGTCTGTAGTATTGAATAGGAGAGTTAGGATTGTTCCTCTTTTTTTTTGAAAATAGCATAATTTGTACAGATTTCTGATTTTCAAATGTTGGCATGTATGTGTGTGATCCTTTCATCATGGTTTCATGAAAGGCAGAACATGAACTTTTCATAATCCCAAATTATTTGTGTATCTTTTCAAACCACAACAATGAAACAAGTGTAGCAGCAAATAGACTATTCAGAGCTCACACATTAGATGTTTTTTCAATGAGAAAAGGTTCGGTGATTCCATTTACATACATGTTTCAATCATGTCTTTCACACTTGACTTGACACCCCTGGCGCTCCTGTATAAAATTTATCACGGCAACCATTACAGAGCTCAAGCATTCTCCAGAACAAATCTTAACCTCACCTTGGCTGAGCGTGGTACACTTGCCTATGATCATTGTGATATAGATGAATGAATGAAAATTCACATTCTTTGTTTAAAGGTAAAGACCAGTTTTGGAAACGCCCCCCTCTCAAAAAAGAAATGGAAGCTGTTATTACCAATCATGTGAAAGAATATATTTTGACTATAAATACGTGATCATACAGATTTTGCCGAGAAACCGCCTACTAATTGATATATTTGATACATATTATATTTATTTGGACCTGATAGATATAAGGCACGTGTCATGTAGTCCCATATACATCTTTCTGTGTACAGTGCTTGTTACTTTACGAAGACTGAGCCAAATTTCTCATTTTGATAATTCTAGAACCTTGCAGTACACACCAATACTTATATGCTAGATGATCAACCTTTTCTGATCGATTCCACAACGTTTCTTTCACAATGCAATCGCATGACCATACATGCAACCGGTCTTTATATTTAATGTATAATCATATTTGTACTACCTTTGTTGACTCACAGTGGTACTTTTATTTGAATAATCTTTTTCTCTTTTTTTTTCATTAATTTTTTTCTTCTTGACTGCCCAGGAGGAGCAAGGTACATTTTCTGGGGGGAGTTTCACAAAGACTAAGATCGACTTTAAGTTGGACTTAACTATGGCAAGCCGTTCATGCCACTTTTTGCTCTCACCATTAACTGGCATTGGTCGCTCAAAGGATGTACAAATCATGGTCACAAATCTGGAGAATTTACATTTTTTCATTATTATTGAAGGAAATATAATACCTAAAGATCATAATAATGAGAGCAAACAGTGGCATGAATGGCCTGTCATATTTAAGTCCAACTTAAAGTCGATCTTAGTCTTTGCGAAACAACCCCCTGATCCGTCATCCTTTCTGTTTATAAAATCATTTAATTATTATCTCCTTATTTCTGATGATAGAGGAATGTATGAATGCATGTATCAGTTTGATTTGATTTGTATTTCCTTTCCCTATAGCCCGATCCTGAATGGAAAGATAAGGTGCTTGGATTTAGGCATACCACCCAGGAAGAGCTCAAGGAATTATTTCCATCTTTCAAGTATGTCACATTGTCAATTGATTGATAATGAAATAATACATTGTAATTAGATCATTTTATATAGCGCAGATGCTATATACATTGTAAATGTACCCTGCTGCCCTGTGGAGAAAAATAATACACCTAACAGTGCTACTTTAAGCAGGGCTCCCACTTAGCCGAGTTGGAATCTCGAGTTGTGGCGAGCTGGCGCGATCTTATGGCAAGCCGTTTTATTATTAATTGATATCAATAAAACAATTCTTGTTATCAAGAAATAATTTTATGTTGTAAAGCAATGTTAATTCTTGATATCAAGAATTCGATTTCGTGATATCAGGAATTCGATTTCGTGATATCAAGAATTGAATTCTTGATATCAAGAAGTATGTTTTAATGATAAAATTGCTTTCCATAAGATCGCGCCAGCTCGCCACAACTCGAGGCTCCAACTCGGCTAAGTGGGAGCCCTGCTTTACAGACACACATTAACAAAATATGGGATTTAGTGACCACCTGTATAGAAAGGCTGTTTGGTTATTCAGACTCAATTTTTTCTTTTTTGTTAGTTTCCCTTAAAACAGTGTTTCTTATTGAAACATGTGGTAAAAGCCTATAAACTTGACTAAAAATACCGTTTCGGGGGTCTCCCTTTGATGGTCTTTTTATACAAGTTTAAAGGTATTACAAAGTTTTGGGAAATTTTGAAAAATGGGTGGATAGTGATTCTTTACAATTTTGATATATTTAGATGCCCCTGTGGATGTATCAAAAGCACTAGAAATTTTAGCCCCTAAAACGCTTCTGCTTTCGAGAAAAATTGAATATAAAGATTTACCGGTGCTCCCGGTAAATTTTGAAAAAAATTCAAACAGCTCCTACGGCCGTACAATGGTAGCTGCGACCATGAAAATCTCAGAATATGTAGTTGTGGTATATAATTTCCGAACGGGAATAGCTAATCGGTCAATTTTAGTCAAGAAAAATTATTTTACAGCTTAATTAATATCTTGACCTTGAGAGGGAGCTATCCAACATAAAGGGTTTATTATTTACAATTTCATAACTTTAGAGTCGATTTCGACCGCGACAACGATCAGTGAATATTTTAGGATCGCATATGCTTCCAATATGTTCATTTGAACCAAATTCACGACCCCTTACCAAAACTTTGTATTACCTTTAAGTTAAACTGCATGTACATGTATGTTATTGTCATCACACTAGTGTGAAAGTAGTAAGAGAAATATCATTTGAATGTTATTTCCCAAACTTTTTTCCAGTTACAAGTACAGTTAAAGATAAATTTGCTTTACAAATACTAGGCCTACATAATGTCATAAGGTGTACAAGAAACCATTTCCATTTTAGGAGGAAAAAAATGTTCATCAATATCTGTAAAATCAGTTAAAGACATCCTAGAAGTTTAACACTTGCAGAATATTATAAGTAATGTTTTCCCTGTAGAGACATTTATAATCCAAAATATTCCTTCAGTAATTGACTTGATTTTTTTCTTCAAATTAGGCATGGATGGTTCTTCACATCAATAATTTGTGAGGGTCAAAGATATATTCCATTCATGACTGAGAAGTGAGTATCTCATCCATTTTGCAAAAAATTAAATAAAACATAGTGGCCCTAATTTGTTAAATAATATTAATAATCTGGATATATATTGCACTTAATACAAAATGCTGTCTCTAAGCGCTAGAGTGATACAGATATTGTATACATCTTCCAATTTGTGTGAAGAATAAAACAGATGAGTCTTTTTTTCTTCTCGAAATTCCTCTTGATATATTTTGAGGTACTATACAAAAGACTTGGCTGCAGATTGGTCAGCCGCAGCGATGTTGCAAACATCTTTCAAATCATGTGAAGAATAAAACAGATGAGCCATTTTTTCTTTTTTATCATCTTTTTGTTAATGATTATTATTTATTGCAAAATAAAACTATAGAGATATACATGTATATTATGTAAAGTGAATGAGACGTCATATAATTTGCTTGTTGTGCAAAATATTGTTATTAAAGATAAAGGTGAGTTCTGGTAATGCGATTGCATTATGGAAGAAAAGTTGTGGAATGGATAAGAAACAGTTGATCATGTAGCATGTAAGTATTGGTGTGCACTGTAAGGTTCTGGAGTCATCAAAATCATAATGAATTTGGCCGAGTCTTGGTAAAGTAGCAAGCCCTGTACACATAAAGCTATATATGGGACAACACACATGGTGTCAGGCACTATGAACATGACTGACAAAGAAAGCGGACAAAATATACAGTTCCTCAGGTAGACAAAGGAACATCCCTTCACTGCTATTATGTAAAAAAGTGAATATGCATGTGACACCTGTTCTACACATTTTTTACATAATAGCAGTGAAGGGATGTTCCTTTGTCTACCTGAGGAACTGGATATTTTGTCCGCTTTCTTTGTCAGTCATGTTCATAGTGAGGGCTAGTACTACCTTGATTTCCTTGTCTTTCTATGCTCATAACTCAGCCAGTATTATAATTGTTATTATCCTCCAATCTTGATTCATTTAGATTTTTAAAGAATGGTGGAACAATGATACAGAGAATGGTGACAGTTTTTGCTGAGGTGAGTGGTTTGAATTGCTCTACATTATAACAGTGCCAAAAGATTTTGACATTTAGGAACAATAACCTTCAAGAAAAGATTATAAAACTGTGTTTTCTTCCTATATCTTTATCTGTATAACGACTAGAGATACCGTGCTAACCTTTTTCATTTTAATAGAGATATTGGAAAGCAAGTTTTCATTGAGTGTTTTCACAATGTGTAAAGGAATAAATTCACTTAAAGCCCGTCTCCACTAGTTTGGCCTAGGAGATTAGACCTCCCTGCAAGGTCACTGACAGGTGGTTATCTCATCAAATCAGCTTTCAATTAACATACACTGTAAGAAAAAAACGATCATGGGGGACCAACAGGCACCGATTTGGCATTGTTTGCTATATATATATATATATATATATAGGGGCACAAGTAGCTATAAGTAGTGCAGTGGGGCTTTAATATCTGTTAAAGGTACATGTATATGTGCAGATGCACTTATTCTAGTGGAGGCTTTGCAAAATTGCACGCTTACGGTTCTTAAAGAAACTCATTGTAGAATGAAATTGATTATTTTGGTCCTGTAGCAGGACTACCCCCCCCCCCCCCCCCTGAAAAAATCACCTACCGGAAAATTACCCTCCGGAAAACTACCTTCCAAGGACATCCATCCACTTAGGACAATAACTCCTCAGGACATTACCCCCTAGGACAATTACCTCCCCCCCCCCCCCCCCCCATGGAAAATTACCCCCACCCCTGAAATTACCCCCTACAACAATTACCCCCCTGAAGTCCACCCTGATAATAAGTTGGTTTTGATATATTTACTTGTTAACTGTATATGGTTGGATAAGGGTTGGAGTTGATTGTACATAACACGTAGGTTAGGATGAGGGTTAGATGGATTTTTTCCTGGATTGGAATTATATTTTAGCTTTTAATAGGGTGGAAATTAAAGGGATAGTTGAATTCTGTTTCCAGACCACAAATGCCTTCAAAGTGCACGGTTATTGCTCTTATTCTTATCTATGACATTTCTAGTGCCCTTTTAAATGTGTGAAATTTAGTCAATACGATCATACCAATTCAGCTCCAATTTTTAAAAAATGTGGTGACCGTTAATTAATTAATAATAACAATACATGGGCCGGCTGGCTGTGCGTAATATAGCCAACATGAAAAAGCCATCATCGGCATTAGCTGAAATGCTACATAAAAGGCGCTATTTCGTTTTTTCAATGGCTTATTCAAATTATTGAATATTTGTGGTGGTACACAAATATTAGAAATCGTTATATTTATGGATATTTCAGCCGTCTCTGAACCGATTTTGATCAAACAAAGATGATTTTTTCATTTAAACTGTATGTTCTTTCAAATTTGACACTCATTTTTTCATTATCTCACAAACAAATTATTTTGTGTAGCGCCTTCTGCAACAGAATTCAACTATCCCTTTAACCATGGTGCAAAGTTACTATTTTACCATGCCTAATTTAATTTTTTTTCTCCTTACTCCTTTGCAGCTAAGTGGTCAGTATGATGTCATCGTCAACTGCACAGGGATCGGTTCCCGGTTTCTTGCCAACGATGATTCAGTGGAGCCAGTGAGAGGTCAAGTCATGAAGGTATGTACACATCTTTACTTCTCTATTTTCCTTCCCTCAGTCGCCATCTTGTTTTCTATCTTTATGTATTTCTATTTCCTTATTTTTCCTGTCCATGTGCCTTTCTTTTGTATTGCAACCCATGCTCTCTCTGTCGCTGTATGTATTTTTGTTGTTTCCCTCTGTCTTGCTCCTTTCCCCCTCTCTCCCTTCTCCCTTTTCTTCCCTCTCCCCTCTCCCATCTCCACACTCCCCTCTCCCCTTTCCCCTTCTCCCTTCTCTCCCCTCTCCCATCTCCCCTCTCCCCTCTCCCATCTCCACACTCCCCTCTCCCCTTTCTCCTTCTCCCTTCTCTCCCTTCTCTCCCCTCTCCCATCTCCACACTCCCCTCTCCATATATACTCCCCTCTCCCCTTCTCCCTTCTCTCCACTCTCCCCTCTCCCATCTCCCCTCTCCCCCTCTCCCCTCTCCCCTCTCCCATCTCCACACTCCCCTCTCCCCTTTCTCCTTCTCCCTTCTCTCCCCTCTCCCATCTCCCCTCTCCCCTCTCCCCTTTCCCATCTCCACACTCCCCTCTCTCCCTTTCCCATCTCCCCTCTCCCCTCTCCCCTCTTCCCTCTTCCCCTCTCCCCTCTCCCTCTCCCCTCTCCCATCTCCACACTCCCTCTCCCCTTTCTCCTTCTCCCTTCTCTCCCTTCTCTCCCCTCTCCCCTCTCCCCTCTCCCCTCTCCCCTCTCCCTCTTCCCCCTCTCCCCTCTCCCCTCTCCATCTCCCCTCTCCCCTCTCCTCCTCTCCCCTCTCCCCTCCCCTCCCCCTCTCCCCTCTCCCCTCTCCCTCTCCCCTCTCCCCTCTTCCCTCTTCCCCTCTCCCTCTCCCTCTCCCCTCTCCCCTCGTCCCCTCTCCCCTCTCCCCTCTCCCCTCTCCCATCTCCACACTCCCTCTCCCCTTTCTCCTTCTCCCTTCTCTCCCTTCTCTCCCCTCTCCCATCTCCACACTCCCCTCTCCATATATACTCCCCTCTCCCCTTCTCCCTTCTCTCCACTCTCCCCTCTCCCATCTCCCCTCTCCCCTCTCCCCTCTCCCCTCTCCCATCTCCACACTCCCCTCTCCCCTTTCTCCTTCTCCCTTCTCTCCCCTCTCCCATCTCCCTCTCTCCCCTCTCCCCTTTCCCATCTCCACACTCCCCTCTCCCCTTTCCCATCTCCCCTCTCCCCTCTTCCCTCTTCCCTCTTCCCCTCTCCCCTCTCCCCTCTCCCATCTCCACACTCCCTCTCCCCTTTCTCCTTCTCCCTTCTCTCCCTTCTCTCCCCTCTCCCCTCTCCCCTCTCCCCTCTCCCCTCTTCCCTCTCCCCTCTCCCCTCTCCCATCTCCACACTCCCCTCTCCTCTCTCCCCTCTCCCCTCTCCCCTCTCCCTCTCCCCTCTCCCTCTCCCCTCTCCCCTCTCCCCTCTCCCCTCTTCCCTCTTCCCCTCTCTCCCCTCTCCCCTCTCCCCTCTCCCCTCGTCCCCTCTCCCCTCTCCCCTCTCCCCTCTCCCATCTCCACACTCCCCTCTCCCCTTTCTCCTTCTCCCTTCTCTCCCTTCTCTCCCCTCTCCCATCTCCACACTCCCCTCTCCATATATACTCCCCTCTCCCCTTCTCCCTTCTCTCCCCTCTCCCCTCTCCCCTCTCCCATCTCCACACTCCCCTCTCCATATATACTCCCCTCTCCCCTTCTCCCTTCTCTCCCCTCTCCCCTCTCCCCTCTCCCCTCTCCCATCTCCACACTCCCCTCTCCATATATACTCCCCTCTCCCCTTCTCCCTTCTCTCCCCTCTCCCCTCTCCCCCCTCTCCCCTCTCCCCTCTCCCATCTCCACACTCCCCTCTCCCCTTTCTCCTTCTCCCTTCTCTCCCTTCTCTCCCCTCTCCCCTCTCCACACTCCCCTCTCCATATATACTCCAGTAGCTAGATATGAACAAATTGTGTTATCTCTGAATTTGTAAAACATGCATGGTGAGGTCTGTGTTTGTTCTGTTCTCTCTTTTTCTTTTTGTTAGTTACATCTGTATGATATCTCTGTTGAGCCTGTTTGTCTCTCTAGCTTTCTCACTTTCTCTCCGTCTCTGTCTCTCTCCTTCTATATCTCTTTCCTTCTCTTTCATTATTCCTTTTTCTCATTCTAAATGTCTCTTTCTCATGACGTTGATGAAAGATAATGCTGATAGATTTTCATTCTCTCACCCCCCCCCCCTTCTCTCTATTCTCTCTCTCTCTCTCTCTCTCTCTCTCTCTCTCTCTCATCTCACTCATCGCAGTCACATGAAGACCTGTGCATTATCTCTCCCACTCTTCCTCCCTTTCTCTCCTTTCATTCTACCTAGAGTCCTTTTGTGCATCTATATTAAACTCTCCATAGTATAAACTATATTTTAATCATCACTGCACAATGTTGCGCCCCTCAGCAAATAGTACTATTGGAGTCACCTCTTGCGCATAGTTTTAACCAGTACCTCGAATAGAAGGCATGGTATATTTGTTTTATATCCTGCATAAAAAAAATTATTAAAAAAAAAAAAAAAAAAAAAAAAAATATTTAGAACAAAAAAATTGTCAATTTTTATCTAAAAAGATTTAAAATATTTTGTTTTCATTAAATTAAGATTTGAAAAAAAAATTGATTCAACTAAAAAAAAAATTCACATTTTTTTTTTCAACTCCCAAATAGTAAACCAAAATAGTACTCTCATATAGTACTTCCTAAAAATAGCTCAAATATTTTTGGTCATGTGACGAGCTCTCAACCAATCAGAAGCCGACAAATTTTTGATGCAGGATATAATATAAACTATATTTTAATCATCACTGCACAATCATCAATGATCAATTTGTAAGGCAATCTGGAGTACAGTTATGACCAAAAGGAAAGAAACAAAATCCTTTTGGCGTGATTAAAATTTGTGCTTCTAATTCTATAACATAAAAGGAAAGCTGCATTAAGCCTGAAAAGTATTGACACAAGATAATGTTTTATTAACTTTCCATAAGGGGAGGACCTGATTGTTTGATACAATACATACATTTACATGTTTGTATATACATTTGTGTGTTAATATATGCATAAGGGGATGAACTCGTTATTTTGTTTTGTATGATACATGTATGTGTACATGTAGGTTTAAATGTATTGGGCTAATTGGGTCACAGATGGAAGTTCACTTGGGATAAGTGGTGAGAGGGGAGGGGGGGGTGTGGGGGGAAGGCTTGGTTGTTAAGATCTGTTTGAATGTTAATAAATCATGTTTCATTTCATACATGCATTTTACATTAATATCTATCCATGCCTCGCTTGAATAGGTTAATAATAGTGATAATAATGGACAGTGCTTGTTCATGATTTGCGCAATCCTCTTAGATGCGCTTTATATTTGTCTTTTTAATCAATATATTGATATACACTTCATCAATTTGATTTCCTACATTCTTGAACCCATTGAATGACACTACATGGACATTGTCATATATATATATATTGCCCCAACCTCATGTTATGGCTTACACATAGAATAACGTGTACGATAGCTTCAGAAGATGCTGTGCTGTGTTTCCTGTTCTTTTCCTTGTGTCCACTGTTTTCAAAGTTCTTTGTTATTTTATTTAGACTATGCATATCTGACTACAATTGCTTTCAGGTTCATGCGCCGTGGATCCTGGGTTATAATCGTTACCGAGGAGACCCGGGTAGTGGGGCAGATAAGCATCATATTTATCCCCGGTGAGATTTAAAACAAAAAATGTTACAGTCAGCAGAAGCATGATAAAATACCACAAATACCAAAAAAAAACTTTTAGCCATTCCCTGCAACGCGCCCTTTGTAACAAATAACTGTTATCCATCTGTTTCATCTAAAAATGGGAAGTCTCTTGTTTTGATGTTTTACTAATGGTAGTTAATTGCTCATTCTTTCATCTATGCATGCAAATTTTCCATCCATCGACCTCATTATTGCGCAATACATGTAGTTATACAGGCACTTCAATGTAATAAAGATAGTTATTTCATTTCATTTCAATTCATTTTATCTTCATTGATCCATGATAATACATAGAAATTCTGTTTCCATTGGCTTCGTTACAAGGTACCATAATTTTACAATTTCAAATGCACATAGAACATAAAAATAATCACGCTAACGTTTTACAATTTTTATATATTTTCCTACATGCATATGATTATTTACTTACATAACATATACAAAACAAATCTTTATGTTTTCAATATACATATTGGTTTCAGAATATTGAAATTATGATAATAATAAAATATATTTGCCTGGTGTAGTATCATGACGTGTATCCTGTTAAAGTACTTTGATGTACATCTACATACATTTAGTTATGAACTGTAGAATTATTAGTTATGATATAAAATAATTATAATATGCCAAGTGTAGAACTATAGCTTTAGTTATAAACACAGGTAATTGTTTGGGGCCCAGAACCTTTTATATCACATAGCATATTTCAAGGGTTCAGTGACACAAAGACGTCACTCAATATTTTGCCAAAAAGAGTATTTGATATCAAAATGTTCAGAAAAATGTGGGCTTTCCAGGAAACCCAAAGACTTAACTCCTGAAGGCCCAAGTGCTCAGTAACACATACATTAAATCACTTTTTCTCAAAGTAGCCAAAATGGAGTTACGTCTTTGTGTCACTGACCCCTCGATTTATGCTTTTGTTACTTGTCACCCTTGATAATTGCAATTCATTAGTCTTTAGAATACCCAACAGCCAAATTTACTGATTCTGCTTCTCATCTTTTGACAAACTCAAGAGGGTCATTTCTGTTTCTGTTTCGGTTGTGTCCGTATACTCAGGGTTAAAGGTAAAGACCAGTATTGGAAACGCCCCAATTTCAAAAAATGAAATGGAAGCTCTTATTAGCAATCATGTGAAAGAGTATGTTTTGACTAATACATGATGATAACAATTTTGCTGGGAAACCGCCTACTACATGTAATTGATATATTTGGTAAATTAGTTTATCTATTGTTGTGTAAGAGATAAACGTATGTGTCGCACACGTGTGCGTAGTCCCATATACATCTTTCTGTGTACAGTGCTTGTAACTTTACGAAGACTGGGCCAAATTTCTTATCATTTTGATGATTCCAGAACCTTGCAGTACACACCAATACTTATATGCTAGATGATCAACCTTTTCTAATCGATTCCACAACGTTTCTTTCACAATGCAATCGCATGACCATAACTGGTCTTTATCTTTAACTGTACTTCACCAACGTTTTGATTAGTATAGGCATGGTTGTGCTATGGAAGGAGAGGTGTTTCACATTTGAAGTTTCTGCTTGAAGACTGCACTGGAGGTAGTAGACATAACTGTTTCCTTCTTGAGTAGGTTCCATTCTGCTGCTGTCCTGTGGAAGAATGAGTACTTGCGCCCGTCCTTCTTAATCAGTACCCTCCGGACCCGTTTAATAACACTACTTGGACATTATGTTGCCCCAACCTCATGTAATGACTTATGTAGAATAACATGTAATGAATAAGATGCTGTCATGTTTCCTGTTCTATTCCTTGTATCCACTGTTTTCAAAGTTCCTTTTTTTTTATATTAAGACGTACATGTATGCATATCTGACTATAATTGATGCAGGTTCATGCACCATGGATCCTGGGTAATAATCGTTGCCAAGGAGACCCGGGTAGTGGGGCAGATAAGCATCATGTTATTGCCCGGTGAGGTTTTGTTTCAAATGTTACAGTCAGCTTTAGCATGATAAAATACCACAAATACCAAAAACAGTTTTAGCGGTTCCCTGCAATGTGCCCTTTGCAACAAATATCTTTTGTCCACCGGTTTCATCTAAAAATGGAAAGACTCTTTGTTTTGACGTTTGACTAATGGTAGTCACTTAATCATTCATTCATTTATGCATGCGATTCTTCCGTCCATCCATTCATCGACCCCATTATTGGGCAACACATGTAGTGCAAATGTTTCACAGGCACTTGAATATATATTAAAGATAGTTACATGTATTTTCTTTTATTTCATTTCATCTTTATTGCTCAATGGGAATATATAGAAATTCTGTTTCCATCGGCTTTGTTTACAAGGTACAATCATTTTACAGTCACAATGCACATGCATAGAACATAAAAGGAATCACACTAACCTTTACAATTTTTATATAATTTGCCTACAGTCATATGATTATTTACTTACACATACAAAATGAATTTTACGAATGCATTACCATTATATCTTATATGTTTTTAATACACATATTGGTTTCAGAATAATGAAATAATATTAATATTAATATATGCCTGGTATAGTATCATAACATGTATCCTGTGGATGTATATCTACATAGTTAAGAACAGTAAAATAATCATGATGTGCCAAGTGTAGAATTATAGCCTTAGTTAAAACAATTGAGCAAAAAGAATTTCCATTTTCGGTTTAACTTACCGTAATAAAATTTAGAGTGGACTTTAAAAGATTATTATTATTATTATTATTATTATTATTATTATATCACAAAGTGCATGCTTTAGTTTTTTGTCGATCACCCTGATAATTGCAATCCATTAATCTTTAGATTACTAAACAGCCATATTTACCGATGCTGTATGCTTCTCATCTTGTGACAAACTCAAGAGCGTCATCTCATACCACTTTCATCCCGAAATCTCTTCACTGGCTCCCTGTACATTGAAAATCATGTAATCTACAAAACTGAAGCTATCAGGCTCTAAATAACCTGGCTCCAGAGTATAATTATTTCATCCCTTGTAACACCCAATTCCACATCTTGTTCCATTTTACGTTCATCTAGTAATGTTAGGCTTTAGGGAATCCGGGCTAAAAGAAACACTGGGGGGGGGGGGGGGGGAGGGATAGAGCATTCACATCAACAGCTCCCCTGTGGAATAAGTTACTCTTTTTCTCCTCAAACAGCCACTACCCATCAAACTTTCAAAGCCCACCCAATTAAAGAGAAGGTTGAGTTCTGGAAAGAGGTGAAAAATAATTTGTGAGCGTTATCATTCTTATTATGCAAGTGTGGAAGAACATCAGATAAGACATGTTCCCTGAAAAGCATGGCTCTTCAAATGCCTTCATATTCAAAATATGTCATGTAACATGTAAACTCGGGGGGTAGGATTTTTACGCCACGTGTTCGTGTAGTCCCATATACATCTTTCTGTGTACAGTGTTTGTAACTTACCAAGACTTGGCCAAATTTCTTATCATTTTGATGATTCCAGAACCTTGCAACACACACAGATTCTTATATGCTAGCTAGATGATCAACCTGTTCTGGTCGATTCCACACCGTTTCTTTTACAATGCAATCGCATGACCAGAACTCAACTTCATCTTTAAGTTTCCCTTCTTTCAATTCATTGACTTCATCTATTTTTTATTGATCTACTTCGGAGCTTTTAAATTGAAACTGTTTTGTAGGCGCCTTGAGCGTCTCTAAAGATTGTTATATATGTGCGCTTTATAAATAACTAGATATTGTCATTATTATTATTATAATCGATACAGAACAATACAAATGATTTCTGCTCATGTTTGCCGGCCCTTATTTCTGAAGTATAAACCCGACATGAGTTTCTGTGAAGCTGATCTTGTAACACCTCTGTCGATCCCAAATCTTTCTATTTTGTAGGCAGGATTTACAAGAAATTGCGTAACAGCAACCTCTTTTTTTTCTCTCTTTGTTTCTGCCCCTAGATAAAGGCCCCCAACCTTAAACAATTCAACGTCTACGAATATAATGACGCTTCTGAAACTTACATTTTTGCACGGTAAGCAAAAAGCCAATTGAAACCATCTCACAAACAGTTTTTTGGCCACAAAGTCAAAGCGATTTTACCATCATCAAGCATTCAGTATAGCCTAGATAAGGGTGCAAAAAGCAACCCTTTTTTTCTCTTTGTTTCTGCCCCTAGATAAAGGCCCCCGTCCTCCAACAATTTAACGTCTACGAATATAATGACGCTTCTGAAACTTACATTTTCGCACGGTAAGCAAAAAGCCAATTGAAACCATCTCACAAACAGTTTTTTTGCCACAAAGTCAAAGCGATTTTACCATCATCAAGCATTCAGTATAGCCTAGATAAGGGTGCAAAAAGCAACCCTTTTTTTCTCTTCGTTTCTGCCCCTAGATAAAGGCCCCCGTCCTCCAACAATTTAACGTCTACGAATATAATGACGCTTCTGAAAGTTACATTTTTGCACGGTAAGCAAAAAGCCAATTGAAACCATCTCACAAACAGTTTTTTTGCCACAAAGTCAAAGTGATTTTACCATCATCAAGCATTCAGTATAGCCTAGATAAGGGTGCAAAAACCTTTGCACTTAATCTCAAATTGATTAATCTCAATATCTCTGAAGGGAAAAAAATATTTAAAAATATTTGAGGGCCTACTTTTCAAGCTTGCTTGCATGAAAATAATACTCTTTAATTTGTTTTACACTGTCTTTGAAGTTTGAACTATATGCAAATTTTTGGGGACTCTTTTTGGCATTTCGGGGGCAAATTCGCCCCGAGCCCCCATGTATTTTTTCCCTGTCTCTCTGAACCAGCTACCGGGTATCTTGGTTACAATTTTATAATCAGCAACACATTAGGGATACAGGGGTGTTAAGGAGACTACAGAAGGGTTTCAAAATGAAGTTAAGCTGCATCATGTACCACGATATACATGAATTGTCACTTTTGTTGGT